CAGGCCAGACACTTTGCATGGATGTACATATGGGCCACCTCCCAAACGGAATGCGGCCCAGACGACCAGATAGTAAAATTCTGCTTGGCCGCAGCCGACATTGCGTCGCGAAAGTATGTCGCTCGCTGCAGCAGAGGGATGCGGCATCACGCACGCAAAGCAAAAGCTGGACGGAACGAGCTTGAACGATGCTCGCACAGCAGCCCACGATGCCAATCGCCCATTGACTCGGTCGCGTCCAATTCTGGTCCTTGGTCTAACCTACCACACGCCGGTGCCCCGTACGCAGTGCTCCGTTCTGTCGCGACAACACGCAGTCAGTCGTTGAGGAGAAAGAAACGGCTTGTGAACACTGCGAAGTACGCAAAATGCCAAAATAGGACAACATGGCTGTGTTTTGATGCCAGGGTGTGTCTTGGGACTCAAAACATTTCTCCACAAAGTAGCACTGGTTAGTGTTCAAAGAGGGGAAAGCTCCATCGACAATCGGCCCGGACGCACACACCGACAGGGGGAGGGGAGTAAGAAAATATTATTCTGGGGACAGGGGCGTGTTGGTGCGGTCTTGGCGAGCACTACGAGTACAATATTTTCGTACACTTGTCTCCTGAGAGTCGAGGCTTGTGACAGACGTTCGAGTGGCTTCACTTTGTTCTGTCGCCGACGACCTTTGCACCTTTGAGCCTTTGACGCCCTGTCCGAGTCGAGTGCCTCGTGACGTGTTTGACCGCTTTTCTTTGTCGTTTGGGCTTCTCATTTCTCGTCACTTTTCTCTTTCTTGTGGTTGTTACAGTGTTTTAGTGATTTGGCTCATGTGACATCTTTTGACGGCCTCGAAGCTTCCTTGTGGGTTGCTTCCATTCGCAGCACTCCCTAATCGCATCGTTTGGCTCGATGTCCCTCTCTTTACACAGTACGTTTTCATTGTTCGTCATGCCAAGTCAACCCGTTTCGGAAAGGCTTTGAACTCCACCCATGTCTCGCTCCAGACTGGGCTAGACCAGATCGAGCGCCTCGTCCGATTGCCTTTATGCTTTTTGTCCCGTTTGTCCCTTTTGTCCCGTTTCCCTTTTCCCTTTTCGCACTCTTCCAGACAGTGGCTCGAGTGGTCCTCGGCAGCCCCCAGGCACTAGAAACGAACGGGCCCGCCGAACGTTCTTTTCTTTCGTCTGTGGACACATCCAGGTGACCTTGTGGACGAAACAACCGTATGTCAATGTACGGCCAGTTCTTGGCCATAGTCCACCATCGCCCAACATCACCCTCAGACGCCCACACGCGCCCACTTTAAAAAGGCCCGTCTCCGAAACAGACTACATTGTATGGAGCCGCAGTCAATTGTCTGTTTTCTTTCCGTTTTCGTATAAATGCCCCGGTGTCATGTAGCTTTCTATACGCAGTACTCGTGAGCCTATGATTGTGAGACGGAAGCTGGCCCACCTCTCCGTATAACAACTTTGTTCTAATCATGACTGGCAAATTGTGTTCTCACGCGTCGTGGGCGAAGTACAGAACAGCCCTTGCCATGCCGCTGCAAGCCGAACAACATTCCGACGAGCATGGACTGTGACGACGAAAATTTTCGTACCGTCACGCTCAATGAAAAAGATTGTGGGCCTCTGATCTTTTCAAATCTCGCCCACATGGGTGGGCCTCACATAGGTGACCTCCCAGTTCTTTGATCCACTTTACTCACTGCAAGACAACATTCAGTAAAACGATCGACTTGAACAGTGTCAAATCCCGGAGCCGTGGTTCGCCGTCACGAGGATCTGACCGTGTACTCTCCCGCGCCGGGCACCGGGAAGGCCGCCCTATATCCCACCTTGTCCATATTGGATGTTTTGTGCCGCCATTTTGAGGAATGCATTTCGGTATGAGAGACTCCGTCGTGCAGCTTGCAGCGGACCGACTGTCTTGCAGTAGCCAGAGCTCAAAATCAATATCCAAGTCCGGTGCGGATTGCCAAGACCGTCACGTCCCAGTGGCCTGTTGGGCACACTTGGCATAGGTTGTGTAAAACTCCAAAGCGTCTAACGGCGTACGAAAGTATTAAAGGCACATGACGGCTTTGCTCCGTTGTCCAGTACATTTCGCCCAACTGTCAACGCAACTGTCAACGCAACTGTCAACACGCGAGATGGCAGCACAAGACAGCAACGCGACACCTGCTGCGTATGAAAGCGGCCGTTGTTTTGAGGTGTTCCAATAAATACCACCGCATGCATATTGGGTGCTTTTTCGTACTGAGCAGACTGATTCCTGTTTTGTTATCGGCCACACCTCCCCCTCCCTATTCCACACCAAAAAGGGAGCTTGCGACCGAGAAACGGCCGCGGTGCCACAGCTCGACAAAGAAAAAGAAAGAACAGGGAACAAAGCCCCGTCTTAGCTGGATGAAGCTTTCTCTGGTGTGGACAGGTACATACGAGCCACTGTTACAGAAAACGCAAAGCTAAAGCCAATATAGGAATAAGCCGCAAGCGACACTTCCTCATATGGTCGTCCCATCTCGCTCAAAGGGATGTCTTTACTTATTTACTTTATTTAAAAAACTTATTCGTTTGTGGGTTTGCGACTCGTGGCGAGATATGTACATAGAACACAGAGAAACCCCCATGATAACCCCGTGGAGATGAAACCTGGCGGGGAGGTGCCAAGCGAAAGAAGCAAAAGCACATACATGACACACAGCTAGTCAGTTCGTCCGACGTGCGCCCGCATCAGCTATGCCTAACACGGCCGGTCATGTGTCTGCACGAGGACGAGATCTTGTAAGCGCGTAGGTGATAATATTGGCCGAATATGAAACCACCTGGACTTCCGGCTGTCAAGACGCAAATAGCTCTTGTAGAGGTTCGTAAGGGACATCTACTAAGCGCCGTGTAAGACGCCGTGCCTCTACCCACAGAAGATTTCAAGGTGCGATAACAATTGCAGCGTGAACCAGTTGTTCATATCTGAACGCAGGCTGTGGATCGGGAACGTTGGATCGCACTGGCGCCACCTCGTAAATTTCAAATGCCAGTAACGAGAACACTGTGGTCTTCCCAGCACCCACCTATTAATGAGTGCAGCAGAAGCCGATATCATGCTGCTTGTCCGCTACCGACGCTGTCTGTCTCTACTTATCGTGTCTCTTTATAAAATGTATAATCAACGTCACAGTATTGAGCTTACACACTATAGACGCCTATATATGAAAAACATTAGTCACCCGCACTTTCCATGCACAATACGTCGTGAGTCTCTACGATGATAATTTCTCCAGTCTCTGGATATAGTGATCGTCTCCATACGCCCCAATCTCTTCCCCAACGGTGGCAAACGTTTCCTATACCTTAGCACGCCGGCGAGAAAACGGAGCACATCAGTAACGGTGAATGGGGCTTATTCCATTTTCGCTTTCCTTTCGGCCCTTTGCTAGGTAATATTTTCATGTTCATGTCCACTCTTATTTTCTTATTACCGTATTTCCCTCCTCGAGCGTCACCATACTCATGCAGGCACATAGTTTAGACATACCCCACCGGTTGTCCCAAGGTGTGTGCGTATAGAAGTTGACTCGCCCAATGGAGAACAGCGGAAATGGAATATGGGGACCGCCAGGACAAAACGTTGATGAAAGTGTATTGCGAGATTATATATATGCAGTTGGAGAGGTGTCTACTTACAGTCAAGCCGCCGAAGGGGGTCGTCAAGCAACCAGAATAACGGATACGGCTGGGGGGGTTGGGCAGGGGGGGGGTGTATCAAGAGATGCAGGACGAGACAGACCACCACAGAAAGAAGACAGAGCTGACAGTAAGATGGCATTCAGTTGGGGAAATGAGGAGAAGCTAAGAAAACGTGGCGTTTCGGTTTGGGGCAACCCCATCTCTACTTGGCGCTGGGGTGAAGAGTTATCACGGTCTGGCATTCGCGATGTGTGAAATTGGCCTCAAAACATTTTTGTGCTCTACAACAGCACGTTTTACCCGATCTTGCGTTCCTGGACAGTCGCTCTCATAGGATGCAAAGGTCCTCCGTCATGATGTGGCTTTCTAAATTCTCGCCGACGGCCCGAGATATTCGGCGAGAATGAACCATCTGAAGCAACAGCCCTTTTGGCCCATGTGGCCCTGCATGTTTTGCGACATACATTTCGGCATAATTGGGTTGTGAGGGCCCGTACATAAACGTACATAACAGGCAAGCCGTGGGAAAGTCGACTTATAGCTTGTGCTGCAACAGCGACGCCGACATGGTGCCCATCCCGGCGACGGAAACCATTGTAGTTGGAAGATCTGCGGCTGCCGTATATGCAAAGCACAAGCACAGCTGTGTAGCAGCTGTATGTGTCATAAGGAGCTGAGCGCCTGGGATTCCGCAGAGCCAAATATGAGTTAAGTATCGCTCCGCAAAGCCGCGACGATACCGTCCACCATTCTAATGTGGTCATTTTCTATATTGCTATATCTAGTAGCAGACTTTGAAAACTGTTATACCCGACCAAACACCTTATTTTTCTCCCCTGCAAAATCACGAGCCGGCGTTGTGGACGACCAAAAGGGGCAGGATGGACGAATCAGACAATACCTCGCACGTCAAACCTCATATATTATGGTTGAGTCAGTCATATATGCCCAGAGGCATCTCCTCAGCACCTAGATAAAAGGCCCAGTTGCTACCACTTGTCTGAATATAAGCGCTTTTGACTCTAGTTCTGTTCCCTCGTTGCATACAAATCAGCACCTCGTCCGCGTGTTGAGTAGGTTGAACCGTCGCATCTCATTGTCGTTTCGCCAAAACAAGCATCTTCAGCCTGACCACCGTTTTCAAGGCCCTTTCAAATGGTGTCACTGTGCTTCGCGCTCCTGCAGGAAAGCTGGGTCTGAGGGGCCAACGGGTCGCGAGGCTGAGGAGTTGTGAGGTAAGAGCGCGGTTCCGTCGGATAGACGGCATCGTGTGTCTTTCGTGTGTCTCTACCGGCGTTTTGGCATGATATCGTCTCATCGTGGATGAACGTCTCGCCGGCCATTCTCGATGCGCCGAACCGGTGTCCTCGTACGGTCCGCATGCGAACACAGTTTCGTTTATGTATTGCCAGCGGCGCAGAGTCTGCATATATTCCTCGTGTCAGGAATCACGGAGTCATTTTCGACCAAGCGCCGGGGCATCATGAACACGCAGAAAGGCGGTAGTCGTCTGCTCCTTACCCATACTCACGCTTCATCTATAGCGGACCTGTGTAGCGCACTTGTGTATCCCGATCTGCTGTGTGTTGACTCTGTATCGCCGCTGTTGTCACTCGCTCTCGTTTGGCCGTGTCTCGCTTCGCTTTGCCTCGATCGCTGTGTCCTGTCCTTTCGTCTGGACTCGACAGCAGAGCCATCCCTTTTTTCTACGTCTTTCCACTCCATCGTTCTTCCTACCGTGGACAGGTGGCTCCCTCAACGCGTACACCAACCTGGCCGAGATCCGCGACTCGCTTGACCTACTGTGGCGCAATAACGTCAGTCCGGCCGTCGAACGGCGCTGGTCAGTGCCGCGTATACGGCGCCCGGCTACCCTTACTTGTCGGGCAGCGATCCCGGTATATAGCCGAGGTCGGCACGCAGGTCACGGGCTGCTCCGCGGGCTACCAATCCACGTGTTGCACGACCGACTCGGCCGTCGTCGACCAGCGCCCAGGGTGGCGGCGCCGGACCTGGCAGGCCGGCGCTATAAATGACTTCTACAAGGGCGCCTTAACAACGACGGCCGCCGCCGCCGCGCGGCGCACGTACAGGGATGCAACTGGAATAGCAATCGGTTCACGTCAGCCCGACCACAGCCGGGCTTTCTACCAGTGCCGGTGAAAGATGTGACCGCCCGTTTGTAAAGTAAAGATGGAAATTGGGTTGATTCGCTTTCACTTTATTTTGCTACATTGTATTCCATATCGGTATAGCCTCTTGGAGTGGTCTCCTTAATATGAAATGGGTAGTTTTAAAGAAAGCTTATAATTATAAATGTCATGTTGTATCGGAAATAAATATTTACGTACAACTCGTCTCCGTCGTATCGATATATAAATATAGACACTTCTTAGAAACCAGGTTCGCCATTGTCTATAAGATGTAAACTCGGTCATTCTCGCAACAAAATTGACCAGAAGATCGAATACGGTCCTGGTCTTACAACCAATCCGATACAAGTGATTTCGGCAGCTGTCGCAGAAATGCCTACGCCTGCCGTAACAAAGATGCGAATTGTCCTGGGCGTCGTTTACTGTCATGACCAATAAGTCAAAAGGGCAGTGGCCAGCAAGAGTGGGACAAACGAGAACGAGGCGTTGAGGAAGTGGTCGGAAAGTGTCGACAGTTATCTCAACAAAGACGACACCAGCAGTGGATAAACCCTGTCGTCACAGGAAACATTTTGTCGGAAGCAACCATGCACAATTGAATACCACTACTGCTCTTATGGTACTTTCTTCGTACCATAAAGGGTCTCCCAGCCCAGACGGCAATGGATGCTTACAAGAAGCCTTGGGCCGATTTTCAGTGGGTTTGCTGCACAAGAGGTGAGGGCTCTTGGCTACTAGCAGGGCCCCTAACCATTAGCAACGGTACTAACAACGGGCCGCACCGAGCTGTTTAGTGAAAAGGCACGACTGGCACAGATTGTGAGGCCCTCTTGCAGCACCTTTTCTTTTTTACACATATGTGTGCATCTATCAGGAGTTACGGTTCCTCGTGTCAAGGGCAGAATGAGAAGGGAGGTGGTTGGGGTGGCGCAAGGCTTGCGGCCTCTCTCTTTGAGAATCAGGTAAAGACTCCGATTTGAAAGCTGTCTAGGTAGAGACTGGATTGAGCAGCGAGGGAAGCTCGCCGCCCCTAAACAATTGTCAAGCAACATGCCAAGCTTGTTTGGAAGCTTTGTCTGGTGACTCGCTTGAGACGCCACATCACATGCACCATCACATGCACCATCCCAGGTGCCATCCCAGGGACCGTCACCACCTGGTCGTGAAATATCATCCTACTCGTAGGTCTTGTGTTATCTGCCTCGCTGTAATCGTACTAGTCACGCTCGTCTTCCTCGTCATCAAGCCAAGTGAAGGTACCATCCGAATGCTTATGGTAGTAACGTCCAGTTTCGGGGTCCTTCTTCCAGTAGCTCTTGTGCCTGTGCCTGGAGGATGCGTACGATGACGTCTGCGATGACGTATGCGATGAAGAGGCCTTTCGTTTATGGCCGCTGCTGGCGGCAGAACCATGTGTGGTTGGGGCCTTTGACGAATGCGGCGTCGAGTGCGAGTGGTGCGATGTACTGCCCTTGGGGTTGGACGATGTAGGGGGCGTCGGCTGGTAGACAGGCTGTGGTTCGACGTCATAATCGCCCTCGCCCTCGCCCTCGCCCTCGCCCTCGCCCTCGTCCTCGTAGGCGAGTAGCGGTTCGACGCCCGACGTAGGCAAGGTCGGCACCGTTGTAGCGATAGGATCGAGACCACTGCTACGCTGCTGCTTGTAGTACTCCTTCAGCTGGTCCTTTAGAACGTACGATTGTTCCTTGGCGTAGTCCTGGGCGTTCCTCAGTCTCTTTCGACCCTCCTTGTGTTCCGCGTGAGAGTTGACCAAACTTGTCGACTTGATAGGAAACTGGTGGTATTCTAGCGTGCCGTCTTCTGAATCAGCCGCATAGTGTGCAAAGAAATTGATGTTCTTGCCGTCCGTAGTGAATGTCGTAATTGAGGCGTGGCCAGGGGGGTCGGATTTTCCCAAGTGGGAGAGAGCTTGGTTCCTCGCGTGGACCAGGGCTGCTCCGTCATATCGGCTCTGTAGTTCTGCTTCTCTAATGTCTCCCGTGGGGCCCTTCCACTCTCCCGCTATATGCGGCAGCGTCACGGAACCTGGGTCGTCCTTATATAGAACAGCTCCGGCGACATACTCGTCGATGGGGAACGGGAGGTACTCCTCCATCTCGAGTCCCTCCACGAAGTCGGGCTGTGGAGCAGATAAGCCATTATTGAAGCCAACGTCTTTTGGATAGCCCGTGAATGCCTGGTTGAATTCTCTCGTATAGCCCTCGTCGTGGTACTCCTTTAATAGCCTCCCACTGGTCTCGATAAGCATGGTGGTTTCGTTTCTAGCTTGCCCAGCCATCTTGGTGTACTGCTTATACACAGACTCGGTTGGCGAGGCTGTCTCGCGGGACTTGGCGTGCCTTTCGTAGAGGTCTTCGAGGTTTGTGGGTGGTTTAGAGTGTCGTGGTTCGAGAATGCCATTCTTTCGGGTCTGGATAGCAAATCCAGACGCGGTCGTCGATTTGGTCTTCGTCGATCCCGAATCGTCCGAGGGGTCTGTCGCCTTCTTCTTGCCCATCTTGTTGAAGCGTGCGAGATTCTGCCGTGTCAATGGTGCTGACTCCGAGGTCGGTCGCGCTCGCTTTACTCGTGGTTCGGCGTCGTCGATGTCTCGTCGTTTTTGTGAAGGCGGCGTTATTGGGGTTTGCTCTGCTTGCGTTGGTAGAAGCTCCGCTTGCGAGAGCTCCGGGGGTGATGGACTCCCGTACATTTGTATGGTAACGAGAGGAAGAGGAGCAGGCTTGGTGTCGGGTCGGCCGCATGGGTATCGTATGCAACACGTCGTTGTCGCGAGATGTGTTTTCGATGCGTTGTTCATTGGGCGCGATGCAATTGTAGGCAACAGTGGGGGACAAGTGCCTGTGATTGGTTCTCCGCGGTTCAAGTCGTGTGGGGCCGCTCATGTAACTGTCCAATAGGGTGGCAGTATTAGCACCTGGTGACTGTCATGGTATTGAGGATATTCATCGTCGAGCTCTGTAGCCTTGTCGAGCTGGTGGTGGTTCTAAAAGCGAAATATGAAAAATTAGGTGGATCTGCAAGATCGTGGTAGCGACAGTTCGTAGATTGTGTGTGAAATCCTTCGCTTGACCAAGTTTGTCGTTTAGTCGCTTCGCTTTGATGCTTTTTGCTGACGAGTTAGACTTTTTTGAAATGGTAGGATTTACAAATAATATAAAGTTTTGTATTCCAACTTTACTATTTATCGAATACCCCGTGATGATGCCAAGGAATTCATTGCTTCAAGCTGGAGAGGGTTTACGCAGGCGCTGTCGCAGTGCTGCCTCCATTTTGCAGGATTACGTCACGTCCTGAGCCCAACGATGCCTGCCTGGTCGCGGGCCGCTGATGGAGTATTCGATGGATGTCCACAAGACTTCTGATCGAAGGCTCCCGTCAGCTCACCTCTTTTTTTTTCTTGGTGTGATTGTGCTTTGTTTATTCTCTACTTTTGTGCCGAGCGTTTGATGGGATGTGTATGGCTACATGTTTTGTTTATAATTTTCACTGACTCTAGCGTTAATAATTAATCTTTCAGTTGTGTTAAATATTTTAAAAGTTAAATACTTCTAGACAAAATTGTCACATTTAATGAGCCAGAATGCTGCTGTTGTTTACTGCTACTCCGTACTTTCGCATATCGACATTGGGTAACACGTGCCGTAATCTCAGCCACCTTGGAAGCGCAGCCTCGCCAATCGTGGCGGTGAAAAATGGGTCCCAGCGCTTCCCCTCTGACAAGGCCCCACAATTCTTCTCAAATCATGTGCCTTCAGCCGCTTTGCCCCTGCGGCGGCAGGACCAGACCTCTGCTGTGCGGCAACAGAACACCCAACCACATCGAACAACGCAACGACAACAATCCTTCCACACGGCATACACCACACGCTGTCACCGCATGCACGGCTCTCGCTCCCAATTGCTCGTCGTCGTGTTCCACACTGCCCGCCCATGCCGTGGCGGTCGACGCGAAGGTCACAGCGCAGTCGGAGTGCGTTGCCCCTGGCGTCTTCCCTCCCCGCCTTTCGGGCATTGACTTGCGGATATCAATTCGATTGTCGACGATCGATTGGACCACCTCGGCTCTCGAGCGACGACCCGGCCGACCGTTGACATCGTTTTGTTTCCTTTTGTCTTCTCTGGCCGTTTGGAGCCTCCCGTTTCTTGCCGTCGCCAACGGGCAGTCGCCAAACGCAGGCCACTTTCTCGCTGAACTTCTTTTCAGTTTTCTTTCATTTTTTCCTTCAGTTTCCACTCAACTCCCTTGTCGACATGCCTATGGCAACCACAGCCAGCCTTACTCTGCTGTCATAGCTCATACATTGGCTTCTCGTAGCTACATACGGACAGAGCAGCTACCACAGCTACGCAGCTGCCGCGGCTACCCTTGTCCATCGACCCCCACAGCCGACCTCGGCGGGCTCGCGACTCTCCATTGTTCCACTTCGCGGTCGGAGACGACTCCCACACGGCGGACAAATCAAGGCAGAGGACAGCCTCAGTCGCCATGGCGGCCACAACAACCGCCCGGCGCCACCAGCCGTGGCACAGCATGTCCACCGCGAAGGCGACGGCGGCCTCCTCGTCCTCGTCCAAGAAGCCCTCGAAGGTCTCCAAGACTTCCAAGACTGTCTCAAAGACAGCATCAAAGGCCAATGGCACCGGCATCCGGCCACACGATCCGCGGCTGGAGCTGTCCCTGCGCGCTTTCCATCAGACCCTGGCCAAGAAGCGCCCGCGGCAGGAAGCGTTCCCACACGACGACATCTTCACACTGCTGACGGCAGCCGCCGCGACGACGCCGCTGATGCAAACGACACAAACAACCGGCACCACATCATATGCCTCTCACTCACCACTTCCTCAACTTCCGACTACACCCTCCTCCTGTCTCTACGACCCGGTTTCGCCGTGGGGTGTTCGCGGTATTGCGTACGACCCGGCGACGCCACAATGGGAGCTGCCCGGCGGCATGGCTCTACCTGCGTGCGCACCTCTTGCCTATCAGTTTATGGCCGGCAGGACAACAGAACCGACGGCTGCCAACGAACCACCACAACTGCATGCACCACCGCAACCACGAGAAGAGACAGCGACAAAGCCATGGAAGCCCAAGAAGAGCCGGTTCTTTGGTCCCGGCCTGCGGGAAGTCTTGAGCATGATTCCGTCTGCACCGGCGCCACCGCCACCACCACCGCCACCGCCAACGCAACAACAGCAGCAGCAACAGCAACAGCAGCAGCAACAGCAGCAGCAACAGCAGCAGCAACAGCATAAACAGCAGAAACAACAGCAGAAACAGCAGAAACAACAGAAACAACAAAAACAGCAACAATACCACGAACAACAGCATCACCAGAAACGACAGCAATGCCACGAACAACAACACGTCTTACCTCCGTCAAGACCAAACGGCGACCAAAATGCCTATTTGACGGAATGGCGGTTCGTACTCAGCGATCTTGGCCCCCAGCCGGCCCAGCAGTCACCACAGCTAGCAACGGCCACACCGGCCACGCCCAGCACGTCGGAGGCGGCTTCGGTAACAGCAGTGACAAATGGCAAACGGCGTAGGAAGCCGTCAATGAAGGCTCAGCTGTCATCGAATGCCACTGGCCGACCGCCATTGTCAACACCGTCAGTGTCGTCAATGTCAGCCGTGCCTGCACCGACCACGCCTCATGCCACGCCCGTTCCTCCGCCCCTCACCCCGGCCTCGGTTCCCGTCTCGGTTCCTACCTCGGTTCCCGCCAGCGGCAAGGCACCCACTACAAACGGCCAAGCGTCGCGCTGCTGCCCTATGGAGGTACCAAGCATTCTCCACATGATTCTCGACCAGACAAGCGACAATCTCAAGCCGCAGATGGTCGACTCGTACGTCAGCTATGTGCCCCGTCTGTGCCATGACCACAAGAATAAATACGAGCGCCTTAAGGCATTGATGCAGCATGGCCTCAGCAGCACAAGCCGCGGCCGTGCTAACAGCCACCATGGCCCACCAACATCTGTGCTGCCGCCGTCATTGCCGCCGCCATTGCCACCGTCAGCGCCACCTAAGAAGAAACGCAAGTCATCAAGTCATGCCGCCGCACCACTCGTCCCGTCACCGTCATTGCCACAAACGGCTCAAACGGCTCCGCCTACCCAGCCAGCGCAGTCTGCTCCTCCTTCTCCCCTTCCGTCTCCTCCTCCCTCTCATCCGCCATACACTGTCGACCCTTATGGTATTCGCCCGGCGATCAACGCCGCCAGGGATGACCAGTACCGCCGCCTCATGCTTGATGAGATCCAGGAGCGCTTCGCCGCCAAGGAGGGCGTCGACTCTACCCACGGCGACGTCACCAACCGTGTCATCCACAGCCTGCTGAACATTGCTCGGCCGCCCAACACGGACGCCTCCAAGGGCCCCCTGGACGTGCACACCTTGACCGGCAAGGAGGCGTGGACGATGCTGGACAATGGCTCGCCGCACGAGCCCGTCGTCACCACGATGGAGCAGATGTTCCAGTGGCGGCCCAAGCTGCGCCCCATTGCCGAGCTGTTCCGGCGGATGGAGAATCTGGATCGTCGCGTGTCGGTGCAGGTGCCGTCGCGCCACTGCATGGACGACTCGTTTGAGTCGAGGGACTTGATCCAGGTGAGGGATCGGTTTCTGGGTCCGGGCGGCTCGTCTGCGTCCTGCGACGCCGACGATCCGTGGAACATTCTGGACCTGCGCAGCCCGCTGCCGGCGGCGGTGCTGCCGCGGTTCCTGACCAACGAAAACTGCCAGCTGCTGCCGCGCCTGCGCGACGAGGTCCTCAACCCCAGCCGGGCCGAGCGCGATACGGCCGCCCGCGAGCAGTGGAACGAGTGGCGCGACGTGCTCGAGTGGGTCCTGCTGAGCCAGGGCGGGCACAATACGTCGCCGCACACCGACAGCCACGGCCTGGGCACCTGGATTACGGTCCAAGAGGGCCTCTTTGGCTTCGGCTGGCTGTCGCACCCGACACCCGAAGAGCGCGCCGCCTGGATGGCCAATCCGCACGGCTTCCGCGACGGGCACTGGTGCTACATGGTGCTGGAGCCGGGGCAGACGGTCTTTTTCAACTCGGGCACCGTCCACTTTGTCTTCCGGCTGCGCCGCGAGGCCACCCTGGCCCTCGGCGGCCACGTCCTGCAGTGGTCCGGCATCGAGCGCTGGCTGCAGGTCGTCGCCGCGCAGATGCAGAACCCGCACATCACCAACGAGGACATGGAGTGGAGCGCGCCCAAGTACGTGCGCGTGGTGGCCCGGCTGGTCGAGGCGCGCCGGCAGAGCGGCCGCGTCGAGGAGATGGGCGGCGCCGCCGCCGTGGACCGGCTGCTGGGCCTGCTGAAGGACTTTGACGCCCTCTACATTGCCAAGACCGCCAAGGGCCGCCCGCCCAAGACGCCGAAAACGAAAAAGGCAACAAAGAAACCGCGGGTGGCGCAGCGGTAAGGACCTTCTCCCGGTAGCATTGCGTGCCGGCCGGCGATATGGGGTCGCGGTCCCTTGTTACGGGTGTATCCCGAGATTATTTAATCGTCTTTTTTTTTGAAAAAAAAAAAAAGAAAAACATTAAAAAATCGACATCGATTCAAACAACCATTGGCGAGAGGGCAGGAGGGTTATATGAGATGGGGTTCTAAGAAAACGTGCACAAGGCAAGGCGTCTACGTGGGTTGAGATACCCACACTAATATTTATTCACCTGCGGATGAAAAACGGGAAAGCAAAGGGGAGGCAACGGACTCCAGGCGTTATTTCTTCTGTCAGATTTTCTTCTTGTCTAGTTTCTTTTTTTTCCCTACCCAACGACTTGATTTAGTGGGAGCATAGAGAGTGGGCAGGATCGAGGCAATTGCAGCAGTAAACTCTTTTTCTTCTTTTTGTCCCATCTTGCTTTTGTTTATTCCTTTTCACTTTTGCTTTTTGAATCTTTTCTTCAGCCAACTGTACGATACAAGACATGAATAGGTGGTGCTATGGAGAGTTTCAGCAAGTTTGGTTAAAGGGGCCAATAAATCATAAAAGCATCACCGTATGGCGAGTTCGCATTGAATCCAAACGCATTTACAATTTACACTATTAAAATATCAAATAGCAGACTCTCAATGACTGTGGGTATAGTTGACATAATTGTACAGATGTATGAGTAAGAAACGGTAGGACCTCGATGCCACCAAAAATCAGAATTGTAACGTGTCACCTAAAAAGACGTGTCCCTGGTCATATACATATCACAACAATAAATAGCAAATAGGAAAACCGTTCCTCCTTTCACGCGCAAACGCTTGCCACGACAGCCATGACTGCACCGTAGACGGCCGCACAGCAGAGCAAGTCCCGGCTGCTTTGGCTTGGCCGGCCACTTGTGGACGAGGGGTGTTCGTTGTCAGCGACACAGAAGGTGCCCGCCTGCGCGTAGGCGCCAAAGACGGTAATCGCCACCAGGAGCACAACAGCCATTCGACCGGCGACGCCCGGTATCAGTGCAAAGGCCGGAATCGGCACAAGCACGGCCACGGCCATGGGAATGACGAGATGTAGGACGCCGCCCGAAGCCAGTGTGGCGCGGGACCAATCGACTGGCCCTTCGTCTTCTTCTTTTCCTTTTGGCCGTTTAGATGCTGTGCTCTCTTCTGCTTCCACGGAATACTGCGACTCTAATGAAAGAGTACGGGCGGCCGTCATCTTGTCTCTTCCTACCAGCTCCTCCTTTTCAAAGATGGCTGTCGTGGCACGAGACGAGTTGCACGACAGCGCTGACGACTCGGAGGACGCAGACGTGGATGACAGTGTTGGAGATGGTGGGTGGCTGTTGCGTGCACTAGGGAAGAGAAGGCTCGAGCGGTTCATGCTCATGGAATTCATGGAGTCCATGGATTGCACAGGCATCGGCTCTTCGTTGAGCGATTGCAGGTACGAGGGTGAAGACGAGAGGCGCGCATCAGAGCCCGAGGAGGTTGCGGATGACGGCGAGCTCAGACCGGATGACGCCTCGTCCGACAACCGGGTCCGCTTGTGACGCGGCGGAGCCAGAGTGACGAGATCTTCACCCGCATCTAAGAACCGCGTCTCGATCTCGGCAATGGGCTGTTGCGTGTCGAGGTAGGAGCGGTAGTCGCTAATGTCGGATAGTGTCGGCGAGGGCAAATGCTGCGTCTCGGTAAAGGACGACAAGACGTGGTCTGTTGGTCAGTTGCTGTACGCATTCATCGTATAGATAGTATAGTGGACTTACTGTATTGCCCAAGTTTATAACCGATTTTGCCCAGCACGTCCGTCTTGTGCCACTGCAGCTCGCCACCAGTGAGCACTTCAGCCCGGCGCGAAGCAGGAAGGATGCTGTTTTGCAGCCGGCGGGTTTGTGTGTCCGCTGTGTCCAGGCGGTGGAGCTGCTCCTCGAGCTCGCTGAGCTCATCCTGGAGGTGTAACAAGATGCGGTGGTTCAGAGCCTCAAACTTGCGATACAGCGGTTTGATCGAGAAGTGCGGCGTTTGCACACCAGTACTCCCACTACCATCACCACCGCCGCCGCCACCACCGCTGCCTGTGCTTCCGTGGCTGCTTCCCGGGCCGCTACCGGAACTCCATGCACTTTGTGAACTCTGTGTGGATGCCGCCCCCACACTACCCCGGCGGAACTTCATAATGTGGGACGAGTGAGACGACAGCTGCGAGGCCAACAGTTCGTAGCCCGTGAGAGGCAGCTTTTCCGCGCGTGGTAGATGTTTCACGTGGCCGGCGGTAGGTGCTCGGGGATTCAGTTCTTTTGGAGGTAGGTGCGGCAGGTTGGCATTGCCCCTGGGCATCTCTGGTGTTCCGTAGCGATAAGCCCGGGATTTTTGTTGTTGTGCTGAGAGATGAGCTTTTGTCTGAGGCTGGCCTCTGGATTGGGTGCGAGGGTACACGGTTTGTTGGCGATTTTGTTGCTGCGGATGCGGGTTTAAAGGCAGCCCGGGATAGTCGAGCTTACCATTCAGAGCCATGGCCACTGACGAGATGCCTGGCATGCGCAATTCCAGTCCGGATGTAGGGTCTGGTTTGGGTGTCCGCTCGTCTCCGCTTTCCCCGCCCTCGCTCGTTTCGGTATCGGCAGAGCTGATATCGGAGTCGCTCCCGCCATCATCGAGAAGTAGCGTCTTGTCGTCGTCACTGCTTGCCGTCGTTACGACTGGTGGTGGTGCCTCGGTGCTCTCTACAGCCGACTCCGGTGTGGCGCCACGCCGCGGCCGCCAAACAGCGGCCTCTGCCACAACACGGGTGATACTTTCTCTGGTGACGGCGGGTGAATCCGGGTCGAGAAAGCTCAGTGCATTTGGCCGCTGCTTCTTTTTGGCCGGTGGTGAAGTGGTGTGTGCTGCCTGTCCTGCAGGCTGGGAAAGGCTTGCACTGGTGTGACTGCTGTCGCTGATGTGTGCATGTGGGGCAGGCGATATGTCGAACCGGCGAGACGGTGATGCAGACCTTGGCCGTCGCAGCCGTTGACCTGTTGTGCGAGGCCGTGTCTTGATGCCATCGGCAGAGCGGGACGATCCCAGAGCTGCTTTGTACGCCTCCTGTCGCTCCTGTTCACTCGAAGTGATGCCGTAAAATGACATTGTTGTCGGGACGTCCGCCTCAAACGGCTTTCCCTCGTAGTGCCGTATCTCGTGCGCCGACCATGAGAGGGACTCGGCACCCTCCGTCAAAAAGGACATCTGCTTGGGAGACATGGCCTGCCTAAGTTAGTCATGGCATGGCAATGGGACTTGCGGCGGCGCGAGAAGTGCTTACTAAAGAGATGGTGGGTTCAGTCAACTCTCGTAGGAATCGGCAAAGTAGTCACGAGTGCCTCGTGATGCTGACCATGGCCTTGCAGTGAGGAAGGCAGCACGGTGATCGTCGAAGATGGAATAGAAAAGGTGAATGACAAGGCGACGTTGTAGACGGAATAAAGAATTGGAATGGGGAAGAAGAGATGCCTGCAGAAATAAACGGACGCGATGAGGTTGCCGGGGATATGGTGAAACGTCGGCCAGGCGAGGAATTCAGGGAAAGAGTGGTGAGAATGCAAAGGATATGTAAAAGAGAGCGGCTTGCGAGTAGAGTTAGAAGACGAGATTCGACTGGCAGAATGAGAGTGAGGAGTTTTGCGGGGACGTATTGACCAAAACAGTATGCGATTTTGTGTGCTTCTACCCCTGCTTGTTCACTTTTCCCAGTGATGAGTTGTCAAACATGGAACTGGACGCTCCCAGACAAGGGGTGGCGGGAGGAGAGTACGAAATAATCAGAGAAAAGCGTGGCAGAGCCAGAAAGCTAGAAAAAGGAGGCAAAATGCAACAGGAAAATACGGTGCGGATTCCTAGTCTCTGGACTGAGAAGGAGTAACGATGTTTGCCTTAAGTCGAAGGAAGAAGGAACGAGCGAAGTCTGCGATGTCGTTTGCTGTTGCCTTTCTGCGCAGCAGTCGAGTCGGTCTCTCTTTCCGTTTGGGCGCTCTTTCCACTCGTTCCTTCCTTGACGCCCGCACAGAGGATGCCTTTTGTTTTACATACAATTCTGACTGGCAATTTCCCCCGTTTGTGATTACATGGATTTTCAAAACGCTGTAGTCGGTGTAGTTGACAAAGGGCCACAACACTACTTACGCGTGCCTGTTTTGTGTCTGTTTTCAGTTGTTTGCACGTCCGTTTGAACGTCAAAAGTCGGACGATTTCCCCACAAAAATGAAATGCTTGGCAGCGCACAAGGAAGGAGGCCAAACAGCGGGATATCGCCATCGAATCGATATGCACAACGGGAAGGAACGAGCGGAGGAGCGTCGCCAACAACATGTCCCCTGGCGCTAGCGGCGTCGCAACCCTGACTTCATCCGTTTCCTTTCCCTACTTTGTACGTGTACTTCGTATTCTCTCACTTTCGTCTCCTCCCATTCACTGTCACACCGATGCAACGATCCCCGCAAACCCCGTCGAGATATGAACCAGGTTCTGTGTTAATGGTTGAAATTTCCGCCAATGACAGGACCCAGCGACCTTTGAAAAGTCCACGCTGCGCTTTTTGGCCCATCCACAATGCAGCCATCCGCTTGCATCTCAGAACAATACTTCGTACTACGAGGCATGTGATGCAACCCTATCTGTTAACAGCCTGCACGACTGGCCTCCATTCTGCGATATTCCCGGCCCCCTTGGTTCGCCCAAAATATGGGGAACAATGTAGGAGGCCCGCGTATCAGCCTTGTTCTGTGCGCGTTTCAGAATTGTTATGTTTTTGCGCAGCTACTTTTGTGCCCGACGGTGTACTTAGTTTGTAACACTCCTCACAAGCCGTACGTCTTCGATTTATTTGAAATATCGCATTAGAGTCCGCTTCCTGTTTTTCGTTTCCTGTCTCCTATTGGTAATGTGGCAAATGTTGGACATTGTCATATGCTTTTCTTGCCTTGTTTAATGCTTTGCCAACGCTTGACTTTATATTCTACTTTCGAGTGGATAGTCTGCTAATAAAGTATGGGGGCATTAGGCGAAGCCAGGAAGCGTAGTCCATATGAGCCTGCTCCGTATGTCGTACTATGAGGACAGACGCTTGCTGAAGTCCTGCGGAAAGCAGGGAAGTAAGCCTTCGGCCGCACTGCCAGCAAGTCGCGAATTTGATCCACCCTGCCGCTATCATTCCCCGTCTCCGCCAGTCCCACTGCTGCGGATGGCGCAAAGCTCGGGACACTCCACAATTTTTAACAAAATATCCCGGAATATATAGAAAACGGGCCTCCGTACGACTTACAAAGGAGAAGTGGTCACCATATGAAAGAATCTGGGTGCCCACGCTGGGCCGCTGTCTCGACGGTTTGGAACCAACGGAGAGGACCGAACTCCTGCTTGGCAGCAAAAATGGTGGCTCGGCTTGTGTAATCAAAACAAACCGGAATGCCGGCGAGATTCCATTCTTCAGATTCTCCCTGGCAATGTGCTGCTTAACATTCAGGACGGCCACGAACACTATAAAATCCCCGGGCCAGTCCTTGCCTTCCTTCTAATCGCCCGCCACAACCGCTGTTCCTACTTCCAAGGTACTTTTTGATATATGACCTCGCGCCCTATATGTCCATTCCACAGCAACCTTATCCAATGTGCCCAATGTAAACAAAATGCAAATAACCAGGCCTCCAATCTGAAAGTGCAGGGAAGCAATAAATGACAGCGGCATGCTCCGGTCGTAAATCGTGAGTGAATTGTGTTCTGGTATAAAATAGCGTAAAGAGGGACGTCTGCCACAAATTAATACATAAAAAATAAAAACAAACGCGTGAACATATAAACATCGTACACTACAACGTCAAACATAAGGCTTTTGATGTCAGTCGAGTCGACGACAGATATGCAGGCACGTGTCGTAAAACAATGACGGTGACAAAACAGACTGGATAACAAATAAGAACAGACAAAGGAAGCCCGGCCAAGAAAAATACCCCTGGGTACGCCGACAAAGTTCCGGTAAATAACAAGCAAACGTAAAACAGAAGGGAAATAAAACTAAAAGAAAGGAGAAAAGAAAAGACAACACCCGTTGTTCCATTCTCCAGGTGTAAACAGACCTGGTAAGCCTCGAGGTGAAACGGACAACATCGCAAAGAAATCGAATTATTGGCGAAGAAGGCTGGCTAGGAAAAGACGCGAAGACCCGGGGTGAAGGTGTTGAAGGCATGGAACTCATGCCCGTATCCTTAGAGTGTCCGGATCTGTTTGGCAGCGCTGGCCCCCGACAACAGGCGATGGCAGTGCTCACCGGTCTCGTCTGCTCCCATCTCTCGTTGCAGAGCCCTCGCCGCTAGGGCTGCCATTTCCATCGGGGCCCCAGATCATGTGCCTACCGCCGCTGTTTCCAATCATGCGAGCGGCGTTCTGAAGATAGTTCTGGATGTTGTTGTCGCCCACGCAATGTCCGTGTCGGATCAGCTCCATTCGTAGATTCAGAACTTCGTCGACAAGGACCTCTTTTTGTGCAAAGAGATTGTTCCGCTCCTCGGTGACCGCACGCTCGTCCTCTTCGAGTTTCGAGATGGCCGCCTTGGATTTTGCGCGGCACTTTGTCGCCGCCATTCGATTGCGTTCGCGCTGGATAATTGGAGGTTGGTTTGCTTCGGCGCGTGGACGGCCGAGAGGCGCGGTTGAGGTGTCTCGACTCGCAATACTTCCTCCGAGTCGCCGCCCATAAATGTCGGTCTCGTCGTCGTCCTCATCGAAGCCACTGCTACCCATACTGCCGCTGCCAATAGATGTAAGGTGTGGCGTGTGCATACTTGGTGTGTTTGGTGTATTCGGGGTGTGCGGCGCCGAAAATGCTGGAGAAGAGGCTGTGGCTGAAGATGGCGTATATTTTTGTCGGCTGCTTCCTTTCTGGCTCCTGGACGTTGAGGAAGCACTCTTCTTAGATTTTGTTTCGCGCGCCTGCCTCGACTTGCTCGTCTTGATTTTGCTAGAACCGTCGTCATATCCAGCACTACCGTCATGTGGGATTCCACCGTTGTCGACATAGTCGTATGTATACCCCAAGGTGGCTTTGCCTCTCTCATAGTCCTCGTCACTAGCGTATGTAGCATGGGCAATGTGCGACTCGTGCGCATGGTACGTATACGCGCCGTTCAAAGAAGTCGTAGACCGTTGATGTGACATTACAACCGACGCAAAGGAATTGTCCACGGGTGCCGGTGGTATGTGAGAAAGTGTGCTGTTGGGCGTCATCGTGGACGAGGTGGTACTTTTGTCCATGGAAGCCGCGTAGTAGTCGGTATCCGCCTCCGCACCGTCTTCGTGGTTCAACAGTGCCGATATTGTCGCTCGAGTAGTCGCGGGAGCCGAACTCGGCTGGTTGTAAAACTCCTGCTGCCACCCGTCTGCATGGGAGGATGGGTAAGGCATATCCGCATGGTCAGCCTCATGGTGGCCCGGTGCCGCGCCGTGCCGTTTCCTGCCATGAGCATGGCTTCCTGAAGTCTTGATTCCGCGCATCTGGGAGTTGCGGCTCTCTTGCTTCATGTCGAGGTGTTGGTGGCCGTAGAAGTCGTCGAGCCCTGTGCGTAGCAAGTCGATGGTGTGTCCATATCCTAAGAGAGAGATACAGACCAAGATTGAAATCTATCCAGGCACCGATTTGCTTTTAAGTCGCACTTTTCCGAATGCTCACAGCTTGTGCGCTGTGCTACTCTAGCGCCCAAAGAGCCGCACGGATATTGCAAGAGTGGTTCTCGAGGAAAGTTAACGCAAATGGGAAAAGCATGGGAACCCAGATACATATAAGTCGATAGACTAGGTATGTGCCAGAAGTGATCAGGGATATGGTAGGACAGGCAGAAAAACAATATCTGGCCTCGCTGGGCGTAAGGAACCTAAGAGAGACAAGCAAGTGCAAGAACGAACTGGAATGGGGCAGCCGTTGGAGACGCCCGAAACATTTGAGGGCAGGGACGAGGCTTTGTAGAGCAAGGGAAACGCAGCCCAGGATACGGGAACCGTGTAAGAAGATGGACAGGGGTTGCTAAAAGGAACTTGAGGATACGAATATGCTTATAAATGTACAATTGAGAAACAATCAATAAAAACAACGGGATAGAAAAATGAGCTATTTGCGCAAAGAGAAAGGTGAGAGGGAAAATAGCATTAGTGACAGAAGAATCGGCACAAGAATCGAGCCCAAAATGCATTGGACAGTAATGGACAGCGAGCAAAAAATTTAGGCATTTACATAGATAGGCAGGGCTGGGGGACGGCTAGTCCAAGGCTTGTTCGTCGCGGTGTGAATCTTGTCGCTGTGGTCGTCGGGTAGGGTAATACATAAAATACATAGAAACCGAAAGGATAAGAAGGAAAAAGAAAAAAAAGTATCGGCTTAGCATCGGACAAAAAGCCCGTAAAAGTCCGTCCCAAACAAAATGAGGCAAAAAAAGAAGAAAAAAAAAAACACACACAAAGAGGTCGGAGAAAGAACTTCAGGGTCCTAATTCCTTTCCGAGCAGAAACTGACGAATGTCATGTTCGTGTGAGTGCAGTTGTGTGATGAGTGGGGTGCGTCTGTGTGTCAGTGGACAAGAGGGCGACGAGGAAAAAGAAAAGGGATGAGCGTCTTGGGTAGAGAAGGATCAGCAGACGAGCAGCACACAACAAAGAGGACAGAGAGGTGGAGGGCCATGATTTGTTTAGAATCCGAGGCGGGCCTCTGCGGACGGCCCCCCTTTCGTGCTGTCTTTCGTATATCGACTGCGATTTGCGAGCTCTGGTCGGCATAGGCCCAAATGTAGTATTTGATTGTCAGCCTTCTTGGTTGTGTCATTTTTGCGTCGTTTCTTTACTTTTCAGCTTCCCATCAGCTATCCTGTGTGCATCTGCAAGACCTCTGCAACATGGGGGTGGTTCATTACGCCTGTTGGCTCTCGCCTCAAAGGTGGTCCCCTCTTTTTCCCCTTGTGATTTTCCCTCTTGCGGTCCGCTCTTTTGGACCGACCAGTTGGCTCAAGCGACAAGCGCGCGGGACAAGTGGCTCAACTAGCCCAAGTGGCTCAAGTTCGGCGAGAAAGGGGGTGGGCATCTGTGCATAGCATTCGACGGAGGTCCTCAATCAGGCCTCCATGGGAAAATGGGTTGGAACGGGCCTCGACCGAGGGTTGCAAGGGGCGTGTACGAAATAGGCCGGAATTGTCAGCGAGGGTGACGGGTAGAGCCAATAAGGGTAACCCGAGGTGAGGCTTCCCGTTGGGCAAGCTGGAATAGACTTGAAATGGATGTGTCCAGAGCGGATGGGGGGTGGTGCGTATTCTGTTGTACGGCTTGGTGGAAGATAAATTCGTACAAGGACGATCACGACGTTGGGTCGAGTTGGATGCAGGGGGTGGAGGCTTGTCTTTGTTTGCACACGACATGAAAGGGAAGGAGCGGTACGAAGTACGGAAGGGACGAGAGGCAGAGAGGACAGGGGGGGGAAAGAGCGAACGGCAGACATCCGTGGCATCGAGGACATTCTTCCGTAATGTCAGCCACAAACCATTTTTTTGGAACGAGGAAGGTGCAAAGTTCGCGAATAAACGACGCACACCTAGGCAGTGCTCTTTCTCCATACGGGGTATTGTTGTTCGTGCTCTGTCATTAGGAAGGCACGATAAAGGTGGTTGACCATCGCGGGAGGAAAAAAGGCCCCCAGTGTCGATCCCAATGTCACCTTTGCGTGTCCACCGGACAAAGACAAGAAACCCCCAGAATAACACAAATTGACGACGAGGAACAGGGCGATAGTTCTCTAGCCTTGAATACGACGTCACGGACATGAATGCAACACCGAACTCTCCCAATACATGTTAGTGCCAGACGTGCAGATATAATAGTAGGCGGCAGGCGCTAGCGATAGAGGTCGGTATGGGAAAGAGCGGATTGCGATAGACAGGCTGACAGGGCATTTGATATGGCAGTCGCGAAGCACGAATTGATATGCGTTTCGGGATTCGCAAGCTCGCTAGGGCAAGGACGACCAGGCACTAGGCACTACTCCATAGTGCTTCGGGCAGGTACGTATCGAGCCAACGACACAACAAACCCCGACACGGCCGAAATTTGTAAACCGCGTTTTTCAGATGCAGATGCAAAATGCAACACAACCCAAACCTCCCGCGAAAGCTAAACCTCCACCCTAGCTTTGCATCAGAGACCCGTTCGCTTGCCCCGTTTGCCCCGTTTCTACTGTATCGAACAGCACAAGGCGAAGCCCAATACTGAAGACCAGTCCAAGCGCGAGTGGCATGTAACAACAGCAAGACTCCATAGCAGTCCAGGAACAGATCTTCCCTTGAGGCTGACATTTCTACAGGAAGCAAGGCCCCAGCAGCGTATTACGGGGTACATAGGGGTGATGAAAGAACCCTACAAACAGCGAGCAAGAGCAAAACCCGAGCATGTGTCATAGTTATCACATTCGACTTGGCGTTGTCGTTTGGGGGCTGCCTTTGCTGCTTTCGGACGGCGCCTTTTAGGGGTGTGAAAGCAACGTTCTGTTTCTAAAGCTACGGTGCAACATCGTCTTGGCGAGGACCAGGATTGAACAGGGGGATATCTCGGCGGGTGGTATACCAAAAAAAAAAAAAAAAAAAAAAAAAAAAAAAAGAAAAGAGAGAAAGACAGAGAGCAAGACAGCAACGTGGAAAGGTTGCCCGACGAAATACTAAAACAGGGATGGTCTAACAAAAAGCAGGACCAGAAACTCCGTCCGACGTACAGAAAATGGAGGAACTGCTTCGATACACTGTAGCAATGACGACAGTGTGGGAATCAAATCGAAGATGATCTCGATGGCCGATGTTGCATTTCCCCCAACAACGAACCTTGGACAGGACTTGGCCAAAGCAAGAATGCAACTGGCTTTGGGTCTTGTTCCTGGCTCGCCAGGCTTCTTGGCCCTTGCAATCTAGCCAGGGTTTCCTCTCCGTATAGCAAGCATAAACATCACCGCGGACAGAACGAGGATACTATCCCACAATCCACAATGCTTATGGCTGGACAACTGCTGGCTAGGACCTTCCAATACTCGCAATGATGACAGCCAACGGCCGGTTCCAGAAGAGAAGATCGTCCAACGCACGCCGTTAAATGCCTCTGGCAAGGCCTCGCCTCTAGCCTAGCACCGGCAATCCTTTGCTGTTTCTGTCCACACACTAGTCGTCAGTCTTCTTTGCCGGCTTTCACTGGTTGTTGGTCCCAGCCGCAAAGGCAACAAGCGGCGCCTCGCGCGGGATCCGCTACGCATCGTTTTATACACGCTCGTCCGAGTTAGGCAAATCCATTGGGAGCAGAAATGACCAGCTGGACATGACAAATTGTGACCGCTACAGGTTTGCACAGAATGTCCAATACAACTACAGAATACTCGAAGCGGTAATAATTGGCGCCAGCCACCAGACACCGCCGGACACAGCTACTGCGCATTTCTGCACATTTCTGCACATTTCTGCACATCTCTGCACTTCTGACACTTGTAGCCGGCTGGCGGTGTACACCTACCAATTTCGGCTGGCCAAACCCGACACAATGCATGCAACCAACTTACCAAAAGGGACGGCAACAACAACAAGACCAGAACGACTAGAAAGTTCAGGCAGACTGCACGGGACGTTTTGAGCAGATAATCAAAAAGGTAGTGAAAGCCGCGTCTGTGCCGAAGCCTTCGCAAGTCGGTCCCTGGCCTGGCATGCCCGATATGCTGTGTTTTTCTGTTGTTTCCGAGACTCGGGCAATACCTCTGCCATTGCTTCTCTTTGTTCCCTTGCCATATTGGCTCTATGACCTACGTCGTGCGGCCTGCGCTTGCCTCCTCCTGTCTCTTGTCGATCTCTTCCTTACTCACGGCAAGACTGGCATGTGGGGGACGCATTTCAAGTTGACCATTCGGCGAAAGGGGCGGCTGCGTACATCGTACTCTCCCCTTTTCTTGCGGTTGCAGTTAACCGGGCCCCTGCGTTCACCGTTCAGACCACCTTCTACGGCGTATTTTCTAACAAATAGCAGGTCGGCGACTGGCGTCGATGGTCCGGCCCAGGACGCACGACGTATAACTCCGAACATCCTTCGTCTAAAGGCATTCCGTGCCAGTACGTGCATGCAAGAGCAATGTTCGGACGAACGCGCTACCTGAACAAGATCATCTGCAGCTGCGGGTGCTTTTCTGAGTACCAACCCTTCCCATCATGCAGCATGCCCATCTGCTGCCTGCGGCACTTAACCATTACCGCACATCCGTCTACTCCGTTCTCCTAAATGGCCACAACATTTCTTCACGGAGTATGTCGTACCTTGCACCTGTTGGCATTTGGTAACTCTACAATTTACACATGCTGATCACCAACAGCAACAAAATGGTCACAAACCAGTGGCCGGCCCCGCCCACAGACACGGAGCAATATTCAAGCTTGTTCTTCACAATCCCACAAGTCTTGCCTTGCCGACCCCCCGATGGAAAGCCTCGCATCCAGACCGCCCCGCCAGAAATGGTGTCCGGGCACAGCGATTGGCCAACGACGAGAAATCATCGTCGCGAGCGGTCGGTGCTGAATGTGTCCTTGGCCTGGCCTGTGCTCAAAGAGGGACAGAGGGGCAACTCCCAGCGTTTCTGTCGGTTGGCGGGCGGCCTTACCAAACTAAGGGGCGTGCCGCCGGCGGATGCACCCAAACCCCTGCCCTTTCCCCGTCCCTCGTCCATGGGACGGCGGCACGGGCGTTTTTAGCATTTCATGGAGACTGCGTGCCGTTCTTATTGTGCGTATTTTGTCCCTGCTCATGACAACATTCTGATGGCATACGGCGGCTAGTTTGTTCCAATTTGTCCCCTTCTGTCTCGTATTGCTACCTCCTCCGCAGCTGATAATTCCGACACCTCTGATGGGCCTTCGGGGCATCTGCCTTTTCTGGTCCTTCGTCTCTAGCCAGGGCCAAGAGACAAAACGCCACCATATGTGGCAACAGCACATCAACAGCCAAATACGTTTTCGGAGTGGGCAAACGTCATACCTCCGTGACTCCGCTGGTTCGGCGACCTCGAGATGAGCCAGTGCCAGTGTGGGCAGCTCATGTTAGTCTAGTCGACTTCCCCGTCACGGGCAAGTCGGACAACCCTTACCAGCCGTTGCTAAAGATGCACGAAAACGACAGGGTCTCCAGCACATAACGGCAAAGCGTTGAGCACTCAATCCATAAGCCTTTGTAATGTCTAACGCCTTTTCTTACCGGTTGACCTTGACATTTCAGAACTTTATTCAAGGATAGGTGTGTCGGACAGGACTGTGCGTTGGCCCGCGAGACCAAACAACCAAAGGATAAAAAGTAAAACGGGGAAGCAATCGACATGTCTCCGATGAAAGACAAAGACTGGAAGGCTTCAAGGGCCAACAGAAAATTCCACAGCAGAATCACAAGCCCACAAACTCACAACAACAAAAACACTCAAAGAAACAAAAAGAAAAACCGAGAATGGGGAAACCGAAAACCGAAATGGGACACTGTCCTAAACCGAAAACAGGCACGGCACATACAACACTGGTGAGTTTCAACTTGCATCTGCATATGCAGCTAAAATAAATGGATGACAACGCTAGGACGGTGCCAGTACAGGATCGTCGATGCACAACAAACTCCTCCCTGTGTCTGTCCCTTCTGACTTTCTTTTTCTCCCTTTTTTTCTACTTCGCCCTTATGTATTGTTTCCCGACAGAAGGGAAATCCCTGCATAATAAGTCGTCTTTTTTGTCACAGATACGTATTTGTGATGACTCCTTTCACTACACATTTCAATCTCCATCGCTCTCGCTTTCACACATTATGTGAAATTGTGAAATTTCTTCTGCCGAACAAGAATGCATCCTCCATCAACTTTCGTGTTGAAGAGTGAAATTTTTAAAAAAGACAGTCTTTTGAATGTCGGAGTGGCTCTCTACGGTACCGGGCGGTTCGTCTCTCCGACAAAATAGGGCGTCACACCGTCTGGTTGCATTCAATCGGCGACGTTCATCACAGTTGCCCATCCGGGCTGATGCATATTTTGTTACGCCTATCGCTTCCCTTTTCCACCGCGGATTGTTCGACGACGCCAATGTCAGCTAGACATCAGTACACTGTACCATGACAAATTGTTGCTGCTATTTGTTGTATTGCTCCCTTTTCCCCACTGGGAGGCGCACGAATGAGAGGCTGTGCCGCGACATAAACCCAGGTAGGCGAGACCAAGAGCCCAGCAAAAACGACACTCGGCACTCCGCAAAGTACACAGTGGCCGCCGTGGCCGAGACCGTGACCGGGATACAATGCATGGAAAAGAAACCGAATAAAAAGAAAAGTTTGCCGTCCTCAAAGGTGTCATACATGACGCAGAAGCCCGCTTCCCCAAGGAATGCCCCATAAAAGCAAACAGCACAACCGGTGGAATATTTTTCGACACGGACCTGGCCGGGCAGGGCAGAATCAAGAGACACTACGGCTTAAATTCATAGGGAGTCGCCAAGGGTTATGAACGTGGAAGACGAATGGCGAAAGAAAGCTGGCGGCAGATGCTGGCTCTATCAAACAGGGGAACGGGTTTTCACGTGGGTGTACAACGCCGTGAGGCTGATAATAGTTGTTAGGTACCCGTTTGTTGGTACGGTGCTAAACATCTTTGCCGTCTGTCAGCTTTGTTCAAGATGCAACTCTGCAATGGTACCCAGCCAGTGGACGCATAGAGAATGCTCAATGCTCTGAAAATGACGATTCTAGGTCACATCAACGGGCCCGATGAGCAGAATAAAATCTTTAAAACAAATAAAAATAAAAATAAAAAATCAGCGAGAATGTTCAACATTGAAATAGCTATAAAGGGTCACAAACATCACGAAAAGATGGAAGCTGAGTCTAGGTCGCCTGTAAAGAAGTAGTATGGGCCCACATGTTATTTTCGGGGGAACGGAGGGCTTTTACCCTGCGGCAACAACCCCTGTACTGTCTGGACAGGGATTGTGCATTTGGTTTTCGGCATGACGATGGTGTGGCGATATCCAAAATGGCGGGACACCGCTTCACTTCGACGAGGACACACCGCATTGTGTCTGCAATGGTTCGCGGCGTGACATTGTCCTATATCCTGACGAGCCGAAATAGGGTTTGACAAGAACATTTCGCCCATGTGTCGGCACAATGATGGGGCTGAAATAGTTGCGCGATGGTTTCGCTGGGACATCACTATCCGCTTTTGATTTCATACTCCCATTGTCTGCTTTTTGGTCAACCAATTTATTTTATGTCTGATTTATTTTATCCTGGAAGGAATAGAACAAAGTAAAATAATATTAGGTGCTGGTTGTTGCAACCAAAAACATCCCCGAGGTCTGGTTTGAGATGAAATATTTCAAAAGGGTTCAAGTAGAAATTGAAAAGAATAAAATGGCAGAAGAAATCCAGGATAAAGAAGGAGAAAAATGCAAGGAAAATTTAGAACACAGGAAACAGGTTTCAAAGGCATACCCCAAGGAAACCAGGTGAAGGACAACGAAGGTCCCGAAGCCTTACAATAGAAGAACGGTGGCCACTAGAGCCGGGATAAGTGCAAACATCGCCGTCGACGCCATGCGGCCGGCCGATGCTGTGACAACGGCGGCAGGGCCCGTCGTTGTCGCCGTGCTGCCCTTGCCGGCGCCTCCATTGTTGGAACCACCACCGCCGGAACCACCACCGCCGGAACCACCACCGCCGGAACCACCACCGCCAGATCCACCACCACCACCGGATCCACCACCACCGCCAGAGCCGCCGCCGCCGGAACCACCACCATGACCTGAGCCACCACCGCCAGAGCCACCACCGCCGCCAGAGCCGCCGCCGCCAGAACCACCGCCGCCGGAGCCACCGCCACCACCGGAGCCACCGCCGCCGGATCCACCACCGCCAGAGCCACTGCTGCCGGAACCACCAGAGCCACCGCTGCCTCCGGAACCACCACCGCCCGAGCCACCACCACCGCCACCACCACCACCGCTGCCGCCACCGCCTCCGCCATGCCCACCGTGACTGCCACCACCGCCTGCAGGAACGGTCGTCGTGACGGGGCAGACGGTCGTGGTGTAGGAAATGGTTTGAGTCGTGGTGTGGCCGAGCTCGCAGTGGCCACCGTTGTGCGGGCACGAGGTGACCACGTAGCAGGTCGTCGTATAGACGGTGGATGTGGACAAGTAGGTAGAGACAAACTCGGACGAGCTTGGTATCGAGCTTGTCGTGGTGACGGTCGACAGAGTCGTGCTACTACCGCCAACGGTCGACTTGATGGGACCTGTAGCAATGCTCGACGGGCCGGTAGGGATAGACGAGGGACTCGTCGACGAAGGACTGGTAGACTGGCTGATAGGAACAGATGAAGGACTAGTCGAGCTACTAGGTATCGAGTGCACAGAGGAGCTACCCGAGGGGCTCACCGACGGCGACGAGCTCGGTGGGATAGACGAACTACCCGAGGGGCTCACCGACGGCGAAGAGCTCGGTGGCACAGAGGAGCTACCCGAGGGGTTCACCGACGACGAAGAGCTCGGAGGGATAGACGAACTGCCCGAGGGGCTCACCGACGGCGAAGAGCTCGGTGGCACAGAGGAGCTGCCCGAAGTGCTAACAGACGACGAAATTTCACTGCTAGACGACGTCGCAGAGGAAGAGCTCGGGCTCACAGACGACGATGCGACGGGGGAGCTAACTGATGAAGAGATGCTTGAGGGTGTCGAGCTTGGTAGGACAGACGAGCTAGCTAACGTGCTCACGGAAGATGGCGTGGAGCTAGGCGGCACAGACGAACTGCTGGAAGAGCCAGCTGAAGAAACGCTGGATGAGCTCACAGACGATGAGAGAGACGGTGTAGAGCTCGGCGAAACCGAAGAGCTGACAGAAGACGAAACATCGCTGCTACAAGGCGGCTCGGACGATGAGCTTGCAGAGAATGATGAGACAGAGACAGAAACTGAAATTTTCGAGGGGTTGACCGATGAACTGCTCGACGGGTTGCTCGAGATACTGCTCGACGGGCTTCTAGAGACGCCCGACGGGTTGATGGAGATGCTGCTCGACGGGCTGCTGGAGATACTGCTCGACGGGCTTCTAGAGACGCCCGACGGGTTGATGGAGATGCTGCTCGACGGGCTGCTTGAGGAAGAAGAGGGCACGGAGGGGGAAGAAACAGACGGCGTTGAACTAGGCGGAGCAGACGAGCTGACGGAACTGACGGAGGAGCCCTGGCTGACCGATGTGGAAGACACGAAGCTGGGGCTCACCGAGCTGCTGATGGAGCTCGCAGAGGAGCTCACCGGGCTGATAGATGACGAACCAGCCGACGAGCTTATCGACGACGAGCTTTCACTGCTGCAAGGCTCCTCTGATGAAGAGCTTGCAGAAGTCGAAATGGAAGAAGATGGGACCGAGGATGACGGGACCGATGATGACGGGACCGAGGATGACCCCGGGTCGAACGAAGACGAACTAACTGAAGGCGAGACTGATGGTGACGACGCCGACGAAGAAAGAACCGAAGATGACGAAACAGATGATCCCGGGTCGAACGAAGACGAACTGACTGAAGGCGAGACCGATGGTGACGACGCCGACGAAGAAAGAACCGAAGATGACGAGACAGATGATCCCGGGTCGAACGAAGACGAACTGACTGAAGGCGAGACCGATGGTGACGACGCCGACGAAGAAAGAACCGAAGATGACGAGACAGATGATCCCGGGTCGAACGAAGACGAACTGACTGACGACGAAACTGATGGTGACGACGCCGAGGAAGAAGGAACTGATGAAGTTGGAACCGAGCTCGAGCTGGGCAACGATGAAACAGACGAGGCAGACGAGCTAGCAGATGAAGAAATCTCGGAGGACGAGATTTCGCTGCTGCAGGGCTCTTCAGAACTGCTCACACTGCTGACAGACACGGACGGACTACTGCTGGGCGGCACCGAAGGCGACGACGACGGCGAGGACGAAGCCGATGACGACGGGGTGCTTGAAGGCAAAGACGAGCTTGGGCTGGGCGATGCCGACGAGGAAGCAGATGAGCTGGCGCTAGATGAGACGGACGAAACGCTTGGGGAGCCGCTTGGGGAGCTGCTGGGAAAGCTGCTGGGCGAGACACTCGGCGAAGAGCTGACCGACGAACTGGGAGAAGAGCTGGGCGAAGAGCTGGGCGAAGAGCTGGGCAAAGAGCTGAGCGAGCTGCTTGGTGAGCTGCTTGGTGAGATGCTTGGTGAGCTGCTGGGCGAGACACTCGGCGAAGAGCTGACCGACGAGCTGGGAGAAGAGCTGGGCGAAGAGCTCGGCAAAGAGCTGGGCGAGCTGCTTGGTGAGCTGCTTGGTGAGCTGCTGGGCGAGACACTCGGCGAAGAGCTGACCGACGAGCTGGGCGAGCTGCTGGGCGAGCTGCTGGGAGAGGAACTGGGGCTGGAACTAGGGCTGGAGCTGGAAATTTCGGACGATGAGCTTTCACTGCTACATGGCTCTTCACTGCTGCTTGACCCAGAGATAGACGAAATCGACGAAGCACTTGACGAGGGCGAGGATGACGGCGTGCTCGATAGAATGCTCGACGAAGCAGAGGAGCTGCTGCTAGGCGGCACCGAAGACGGGGACGAAGATGAGGCCGGAGTACTCGAAGGTAGCGACGAGCTAGGGCTGGGGGAAGGCGATGACGAAGGCGACGAGCTGACGCTGGGCGACACCGACGGGCTGACGCTGGGCGACACAGACGGGCTGACGCTGGGCGACACCGACGGGCTGACGCTGGGCGACACAGACGGGCTGACGCTGGACGACGCAGACGGGTTGACACTGGACGAACCCGACGGTGTACTGCTTAGGCTCGAGCTCGGGCTAAAGCTCGGGCTGGAGCTGGAAAATTCGGACGACGAGATCTCGCTGCTACAGGGCTCTTCGCTGCTGCTCGACCCAGAGACTGACGAAACAGACGACACGGACGAACCGCTTGGGGAGATCGAGGATGAAGGCGTGCTCGAGGGAAGAGATGAGCTGGGGCTGGGGGAAGGCGACGAGGATGGCGACGAGCTAACGCTGGATGACACCGATGGACTGTTGCTTGGCGACACCGATGGGCTGACGCTGGGCGAGACCGACGGGCTGCTGCTGGGCGAGACCGACGGGCTGACGCTGGGCGAGACCGACGGGCTGACGCTGGGCGAGACCGATGGACTGCTGCTAGGCGAGACCGATGGACTGCTGCTAGGCGAGACCGATGGACTGCTGCTAGGCGAGACCGACGGGCTGACGCTGGGCGAGACCGACGGGCTGCTGCTGGGCGACACCGATGGGCTGCTGCTTGGCAAGCTGCTCGATGAACCGCTCGGTGAATGGCTCGGCGAATGGCTCGGCGAATGGCTCGGCGAATAGCTCGGCGAAGAACTAGGGATCGAGCTCGAGCTGGAAATCTCGGACGACGAGATTTCACTGCTGCAGGGTTCCTCGCTACTACTCGATACGGAGACCGACGACGAAGGTGTGCTCGAGGAAGGAGGCGAGCTTAGGCTAGGAGAAACCGACGGAGATGAGGATACCGACGGGCTGCTACTTGGCGAGATACTTGGTGAGCTGCTGGGCGAGACACTCGGCGAAGAGCTGGCCGACGAACTGGGCGAAGAGCTGGGCAAAGAGCTGGGCGAGACACTCGGCGAAGAGCTGGCCGACGAACTGGGCGAAGAGCTGGGCAAAGAGCTGGCCGACGAACTGGGCGAAGAGCTGGGCGAAGAGATGGCCGACGAGCTCGGGATCGAGCTAGAGCTCGAAAACTCAGAGGACGAGATTTCACTACTGCAAGACTCACTGCTGCTGGACTCCGAGGCAGACGAAGAGACGGGCGAAACGCTCGACGAGGGCGAATAGGAGGGTGAGGATGAAGGCGAAGACGATGACGAAGGTGTGCTCGACGGCAGAGACGAGCTCGGGCTGGGCGAGGCAGACGAGCTGTAGCTCGACGATGCCGAACTGCTGGGGATCGAGCTGACGATGCTGCTGGAACTGCTGACACTGCTGGCACTGCTGTAGCTGCTGCTCACCACAGACGACGATGACTCGCTGCTGCAGGGCTCTTCATCGTCCAAGACGCAGTTGCAGTTGATAGTCATTCTGGCCACATCGTTGGGGCAGCTTGCGGCCCAAGGGGCTGGCACATTCACGGACTGCTTGACTGGCGGATTCAAGAACAGGTCGCACCAGGTCACGGGATCCACCTGAATGAAGTCGTTTAACATAGCATCGACGCACGCGGGGTCACCCTGTTATTGTGAGCATGTAATCGTGGTATAAAGTTTGCCGGGGAGAGACTCACACAGGTGCCAAGAACGGCGGCGACTTGGGAGCCGGCCGCGAGGACGGCAACGGCCACACTGGTGGAGAACCGCATGATGCCGGTGTTGTTTCGTCGTGTAAGCTGTATTCAGTGCCGGCCGGGATGATCGATTCGGTTCGAAAGTAAATCCAAGGAGGAAGAAAAGTCTTGTCGAGTCAAGCCCTCATGATATCCGGCTCGTCGATGTAGATATCGAAGAGACAGATAGCAAATCCCTTCAACAGCAAAACGAGTGGATGCTTTGAGAAGGAGAGCTGACAAGTGGTTGCGGGACTCGAAAGAGAAAGAAAAGAAAGAAAAGAGAAGGTAAGTGGAAAGAGGAAAAAAAGAAATGAGAAAAGAGAAAAGAGAAAGAAAAAGAGACGAAAGAAACAAGACGAAAAAAAAACAGGAGAAACAAACGGGGAAATAGAAAACAGAAAAGAGCCTCCAGGATAGGTTGGAGGCTTATCAAAGATTCAATGCATTTATTGACAAGCCAAGCTCATAAAGCACATAAACCTTCCAATAGCTTCACATGCCATACAAGGCGGCAGTTGCCCATATTTCCTTTTGCGGAGATACCCAGTACTTTGCGTGTACCCGCCGCTCTTTCAACACAAAATTGCTTTGCGTCAATAAAACGTCGTCAAGTTTCCGAAAAGGGTGGCATTTGGGAAACAAGATATGAAAACAGTGCGTGAGATGTAAATGCCACGCCAAGGTACGGCTGAAGAGGCGTAAGATACATGTCAACTGTACAACAGACCCGGGTCGGTCTCACCCCTGAATTGATAGTGAAATCAAAACAAAAGACGCCACACACGAGGGAGGGTGGACAGGAAGTAGTGGTGTCCAGCACCGTTGGCGCCACAAACTGTTGAATGCATAACAAGCCAATTTTTGAGACTGTTTCTTTCTCCCGGCGTCCCTTTACAGCTTGGTGCCAACGGCAGAAATAGCCGGGAAAACAAGCGACAAAGAGACAAGATGACGGCTTTTTGTTTTCAGACTGGCATCCCAAGAGTATTGGCATCGTTGAGGGGCGTGGACGTTCAGGGGTGTCGTATGGTACGCGGAGGAAAAAGCGGTCTTCTCAGTCGGGCGTCTCGGCCCCTTGAGGTACGAAGGAGACGACGAATCTCCGTAGACAGTGGTGTAAAAATAGGGCGATATGTCACCTTTGGTACTTTGAATTTTCGTCTTCCCAAAGGGGTAACATCTTGGTATGGCCACGCCATATATTGAGTAGCTCCACCAGGATGCATACTGTGTATGTCGTACTCTGCATGCCTAACGTTGTGCTGTTGGAGAAGGCGGGATACGGGATTGCACCAGGAAAAGACATACTGATACTGGGACAGAGGAAGTCTCTTCCGGAGTCGTTTCGGACAACATCTTGCAAAATCAAGTGATCGATGGAGAATGTTTGTTTCGCGTGAGGAATAAGCATTTCTCGCCGCCCATCAGGCAGTTCGAAAATCAGACGAAGATGAACAGGGCCGATAAGACAAAAGGTCAAAGATGGGCCGAGAAAACAACTTCTATGAGCCACGAAGCGAAAAGAGCCAATCCTCGTTGGGCCATTGGACGTGCCTGTTCTTTGTCTTGCAATCGATACTTTGGCCCACAGAATCGACGACGAGAGCTGACATTTTCAGGTCCTTCCGGTAAAGAGGCGTCAAGGATCTGGAACCTGTCGGTTAGCAATAGCCCGGTCAGGGCGGGTGGTCGACGTCGCTGGAGCTGCCATGAGGGTGGACAAGTACCCTTGCACTGCGTATTGCCTGTTCGTTGGACTGTGGGAGGTTGGGGGGTAGAGGACGATGAGGGCAAGGATGACAAAAAAAAAGGGGGGGACCTGCAAGGAAGGCTGAGACGGGAAATAATAATCGGGAAGGAGCCACTCGGTCCAGTAACGATGTGTCTGGCAAGAGCACGCACGGTCCAATGCTCTATGACGGGAACGCCGCAGAGGCAAGGCGGCAAACGGCAGTCACATTTTTAAGCAGCGGGGGAAGGGACGACCTTGCTCGGATCCCTAACCTGGAAGACGACAAACGGCGAGAAACGACGATAACGACGAGAAAGACGAGAACGGGTTGGGGGCAGGTCATCATGCCAGAGACGAATCGTTTCAGTTCTGCAATGAATACAAGGGGAGAAAAAGCCCCAACATGTTCTGAACGGCGTAGGCGTACGATTTACTGTTTTGTTGTCCTCTGTGCTGCAAACGTCCTCCAGAATAGGTAACGGTCCAATATTTGACACCATTTTATACGCTTAAAATCCTTCGTCTGTCTTCCCGTTGCTTTTGCCCTGGGCCCTGGCCGTTGGGACCCCGTTTGTCAGTGAAAGTTTCCTCATTCGGCGACCATTTGCTGGTCAGGAGAAAAAGTGGCGGCCCGTAGATCGTTCTTGACGGTGTCCCGAGAAGTTGCCAACAGTGGGGGTTCCTGTCAAACTGGGCATTGTGATTGGCCTGCTGTCATCCACTATCTCTCTAACCTTCTAGGCCTGCCGCTAGGTACTCTTCGGTCTCTTAGGCCTAACAACGCGCTAAATTGGGACAGCGTCTGCGATATAGACGCCCAGCCGGGCCCGTTTCAGGAGGTAATGAATCCCCTCAGTGCATTCACAGCGCCTCACAACGGTTCGCTTCTTGGCACTACTGAAAACCATCGATAAAGCATGTAGAAAGTCAGTTGATTCACTGGCCCGTATTATTTGCATGGTCCAGATGTAGGGACGAAAATAGGAATGACGGAGGCAGCTGTTCTAGCTTGTGGAATGCAACTGTGAGATACAGAGTACTCAGTAATTAATTACACAAGAAACGGTCGACCTGTAAATTGACCGTTGACGCATTCCAGAGCGACTGGAATGACCACGAGTAAACGTGCGCAAGGAAGATATGAACATTCTCCAGCCACATGCTGTGAAACACAGTTATAACGGTCGGAAGTGTACCTTTAATTTACTTTTCGCATTGCGTACTCCTTACAGAATCTGTCAGCAACGTGCGCAGCCATGAGACAATATTGATTTGAGCTGACGAGCTACTCCGTGGCTTGTAATGCTGCAGGGAAGCACAATCCAAAAGGCAATACAACATATGGCTGAACATCATATTTTCCGTTAAGGATGAGTGCAGTGCGTATAGTACATGCTGGCCATTATAATGCTGTACCGTCTTTTGTGCAAGGTGTATCATATGGTCATTGAAATGTACAAATGCACCTAGATAACTTCCGCAGCGTCCCTTTGCAATCGTCTCTTCATCAAGCAGTCGTTGGAGGAGAGACATCAAGGAAAATAAACTCCTACTAAAAATGGTCAGCCAGTCGAGGGCATCTTCCTGGTCTATGGGTCAAAAATGCACCTATTGTACCACTTGGACGACCGGATCACGGTTGTGAATTTTTGTTCGGGTTGCTGCCCAAAAATGCAGCCGCCGTGATGCGCTGTTTTCCAGCTTGCGCCCATGTAGCTGATCTGTTGTCGATTTCCCTGTGTCATCTCCCATGCATAATTGCATATCCCCCACCCCCTTGGCTCTGTGCTCTCCAGCAAAGTGATCAAAAATGTGACTGAATAATGCTTACCAGAAGTGCCCTCTCCACTCCTTGGGGGCATTTCACTGGAAAGATTGTCAGGGTGTGAGTTGGAATGGGGTGTGCCCAATATTCCCAGAATAGAGCGAGGAAGAGATATCACCATCGAATAGAGTCGGCCCACGACAAAGACGCAAAGTGCGATGTATGTTGGTCTGTCAGACTACATTCGCATGACGCCTCAGAAACACCTCGTAAAAACGACGCACTTCCTCTCGGTCGGCCTGAAGCCTCCAGACGGGACGCTGCAGAGACGCCACCGCAGGTCAGCCTCACAGAACTATCGGATATTACAGGACAAAAAGGGACATAAGAAAATGCAATAGTTCTCGTTTTGGACATAAAACTATTGCCTGCGCTTGTCCGTGTTCGCGATGTACACGGTGCGAGAGGGCTTGTGGCTTGCAGGATACGAGGGCAAACATGCACGGCCCCCCAATACTCTTCCGGCTGCAGCCACGCCAATTATTGGCCCACCCTTGGAAGAGCCAGGACAGGGGTCTGCCAGCCGCACACCCTTCTCCATATTTAGGGCAGAAAGGGGTGCCACTTAATTGACTGGCTCGATGGAGGGTGGCTCAGGTGGTTTTGAGCCTCATTCTTTTCAAGTGTTCAAGTGTTCAATGAGAGAAATGCTGAGTGTTGTGAATCATGAGTCGAGGGAGAGATCGTAAAGCGAGATTGTGGTGTCAGAAAACTGCGAGTATTAAAATCACCATCGTCCCCAGAAAACAATCAGTGAAGAGAATGAATGGGTGATACAATCACGAAACGAAACATTAATGAGTTGGATTGGTATGTTGTAACAAGGGCAAGTTCTGACGAGACTGTTGAGTTGTAGGGCAAGACTTGCCTTGAATACCATTGCTGATGATATATGGTCTGACGTAGAAGAATGTGATTTGGGAAGCCTCAACAAAAAAAAGTATCAAGCAGACATTCCTCGCCTTGTTGTAAATGATACGAGGACCGGCGAAAACTCAGACGTGAGGATGACAAGGTAACAGCTTATGCCGATTGAAATAAACAATACGATATCGCGATGCGTGACCTCGGCTATGATTTTCTCTTACTGTCTTTTTCTTCCTATTTTGTCAATGCGCGACCTTGTCACTTGCCGTGTCCGCTGTAGTGATGATATTTTGTTTCCATGTCGCGTTGTTTGTCGCTGCTTTTGCTTCACTTCTCAGTAAACCCCGTGATCTTGCCAGTTTATTGTGCAATGCGTACCCCACACGATTTGCGGTTGTCTCTTTGCGGCTGTTTGGCACCTGCCAGGTGACACAGGCCACTTTTTTTCGTGCTTTCCATACGTGATAGGCGTGACGCGGTGAGGGGAAATGCAATGAGCTGTGACGGGAAAGTGAGTGCGTCGCTCCTTCTGTATTGAGACGATGAGAGGCGAATCCGTAAACATATCGCGAGCATCAAAACAACTTGGCAAGAACAGCCCGGACAGTAAAGGGCAAGAGCGTCGCGCGACAGCCTGGCCATAAAACGGTCAGTCACTGCGCATTACTACTGTAGAAAAGCACAGAATACAGCGCACAACGCACAGCGCAGAACGCAGAACGCACAATATTCAGCAATCACCAGCCCACCAAAACTGCGCGTTGGGTGAATGAAAAGATAGACGGGAGATCAAACGGATCGCAACACGCACGGGAAAGCCAGACAGGGCAGCGAAACAAAAGGACAGCTAGAGAAGAGACCGTCCCCGGCATCGGTGTCCTGCTGAAAACAAGATTAACGCGACGGGCCACGATCGTGTTGACGTTGACATTGCGCTTGCATTGAGTCTCATATTGGCATCACTTTCCGAACTACCAAACCTCTTCTGGACTGACAAATAGCGGCAGACCCTGTACCACGAGGACTCTGCCTTCCACCTGTCGCCTCCGTTCCGTACAGATATCGCATCCGTCACGGACAGTTTGCCTGATTGAACCCCGTATCATCCCGGACTCTGGTAGGTGCTACCCAGGATTGCTACAGTTTCACTGCGAGAGAATTAACCCGGCTGAAGTCGAACAGGATCTCCAGAGGCCAGCTTGCTTGTCACAGGACCAGCAACGACGTATAAGAGTCGCTCAACGCCAGGTGAACAGTCAACCCCCGTCCCTCCAAGGATGGCTCCTGGCACCGGCGGGACCGCCACTGGCGGCCGGGACCACTATGCCGTGCTGGAGATTGCGATGACGGCCGACACCACCTCGATCGCCGCCAGCTACCGCCGCCTTGCACGGCTCAAGCACCCGGACAAGAACCGCGCCAATCCCAACGCGACGGCCGACTTTCAGGCTCTCCAAGAGGCATACAGCGTGCTCAAAGACGAGGCGCGGCGTGCCGAGTACGACCGCCAGCTCATGTACAAGCGAGGCGCGGCCGGCATGGGCTCGGGTCGGGGACCCGGCAAGGCGGCCGGCATGCCGCAGTCGTCTGGGCGCGCGTACGCCACGGCCGCGGCGACGGCAGCGGCCGCGACGGCAGCCGAGATGCTGCGGAGAAAACACCAGCAGCAGCGGCAGCAGCAGCAGCAGCAGCAGCAGCAGCAGCGTCGGCACGACCACAATGAGGGGGGCGAAGGCCTGCATTCATACCACAAGAACGACTCTGGGGCGCCTCCAATGATGAACCCGAGGGGACCGCCGCCGCCGCGCAAAAGCGCGATGCCCTGGGCGGCTGCCGTGGATGGTGGCGATACAGACAGCACGCGAGGGTTCTTTAGCAACCAGGACGCGGGGACGGGGCCGGGGCACGGCGGCCGCATGGGGGACGGCGGCACGAGCGCCTACGCGAACTCACACTACAGCGGCCGGTCGTACCCGCCGTCGCCGCCCAACAAGCCGCGGTGGCCCAAGGAACCGCCGGCCAAGGACCATGCACTCGAGAAGCAAATCCAGCAGGCTCGCAAAGACATTCGGGCGGAAGACAGAACCATTCGGAAGCAGGGACGCGCCACAAAAAAGGTTGCAGACGTCATTGCCGCGCTCTGGCAGGCTGTGCACGCCATTGAAGACCAGATGGGCCTCGTCGTCCGTAAGAAGGCACAACTTGAGGCCCAGTTGGCGGTCGCGCAGCAGTGGCACAACGCCTATGTGGCAGGCGCGGCCGTGGCGATACCGACGCCGCCAGTGCTTTTGCCTGTCACGGACGACCCGGCTAAGATTGTGGAGCGGCTCGAGAAGAACCAGCGCGCCCTCGCGGGTCTGCAGCACAAACTGGCCCAGACCAACAGAGAGATTGACGGCGCCATGGGCCAATCGCGGTCGATGGCCGCCGCAACCCAAGAAGCGCACGAGCGCAAGGCGCAAAAGGAAGTAGCACTGGGCGAGTTGTGCCGTCGCTGGCGCCTCCATGAGTTCGGTACCAGCGGCGATGACGACGCCAATGCGGCAGACGGGTGGCACGGCTGGTGCGGCTGGGAGGAGGGCGATGTGGAGCCCGACAGTGATGAGGACGACGACGAGGATGACGCTGAGGACGATGGGAGCAAGTACGACGTAGCTGGCAGCGGGGTCAATGAAGATTTAGAAGTGCACGGCTGGTCGACCGGGGCGGCCGGGACGACCGGTGCGACGACTGGCGACTACTGGTGGTACAGCTCCGACGACACGAAAGGCAGCGGCAGTGGCAGCGGCGATACCGTCCAAGCAGGCGAGGAAGGAGTCTCGTTCACGTACAATCCATCTGCGTCGGAATGGGGCCCCAGTGCGGACACCGGTATTTCCGCGACCAAGAACGGCACAAACTACAGCGTGGGCAGTGAGGAGCGAAGTGAAGGTAACAAAGCAGCCGGCAGCCCGGCCAAAAGTGACCGCGAGGGCAGCATCTTTGAAAGCCAAGCAGAGACAGAAAAGACAACGAAGGCAAATACAACAGATGTGAAGGATGAATCAGAAGAAGAAGAAGCACAGGCAACAGCAACAGAAGGCCTCGAGGACAGCTACACTACGGCGTCGTTTGATTATTATCCGTCCGCGGAACAGCCACCCTGGTCTCACGGCCCGGCCATTCCCAACTGTGGCCAGTACGACTACTTTGAGGAATATGGGCATTACAGTACCGGATTTGATCAGCAGGCCGATCCTGTCGACTACGCGTCGTACGTGCAAGCAGGGCATGGTGGCGATGTTATCAACGATGCCGACGACAGCATTCTGTTCGAAGAACACGCCGGTGGTGTGCCCCTGGATAGCGACTACCAAGGTAAGGGCAAGTTGGGGCAGACATCGGGGCAGAAGGGACGGGGACATGATACGCAGGACAACGTCGGGCAAGGCTCGGCAGGCAAGACAGAAGAGGCAGATAGGAGAACGGATTCAGGGTCGACGTCTTTTACAGCCACAGGCCGCAGAGCTGATCAGCCCCAGGCTACTATTACTACTACTAGCACAACGAGCGCCGAACCCACCAACGCCAGTAACAACGACATCGACGAGGAGGAGGAGGAGGCGGAAGAGAGTAGCATGGCTGGCTGGCACGACGACGACAATTCGGGCGAAGACGACTTGCTCGTCCCCGAGGCCGATGCAGACGAGGAGGATGAGGACGAGGACGGGTTCAATGTCGACCTGCTGGGCCCGCTGGAGACGGCCCGACGGGGCATGGGCCAGCACATGCCCATCTACAACAACAGCAGCAGCAGCAGCAGCAGCAACAACATGTTGGCCATGTCACCGGCAGCGTCGCCGTCTCCACCACGGCGTGCACCACGGATGGCGCGGGTCCGTCGGGCTCCGGGGCAGTCCGCTGTTGCAGCGGCCATTTCCAGCCTGACCGGCGATGCAGATGCCAACTCCCAGAGCTGGCGGGCTGGCAGCGAGGCGGTGGCAGAGCAAAACACAATGGTTGACCACGATGCGCGGGAGCAGGCGTGGCGGCAGGCCATGTGGCAAGGCTGGTGATGGGGGCCCTGGGCGAGGACTTCAGCATGAATAGTTTTGGGGGTAGTGATGGGGCGACGGCGACGACTTGATCATGAATGGCTTTTGGGCAGCCGGCAGGCAGGAGCATGGCGATGCGGGAGACCATCTCGAAGCATATGGTCACTCGACAGACAGATCATGATCAGGCCATGCTTGGTGCATTTGAATTGGCATTTTCAGGCGGCGATAGGACACTCGATATGGAGCCAGGGCCGGCTGGGAACTAGGCAACTCACTGAAAGCTTGATTCCTACGTTATTTTCTTCTAGACTTTTCCATTTCTTGCTAATTTACGACTTGTATCGTGACCTTTTGCCTGGAACTTAGTTCATGCGATATGGAGCTGCGTCTACAATCAGACACACTTGTCCTACAGTGGTAACGCAAAGTGGTCGTCGCCTCGGAAAACATGTTCCTGGTACGGAATACAGTCAATCGAATGAATCAACAGGTTTCCCCAGGTTTACCACTTTGCGCTACGATCAATATGGAAAGGCCCGTGGAGTTCGTCATGTCCAACTTGCACGAAGTATCACTTTGCCTTCTCTCTGGCCTGCCAAGACATAAAAAGAGGAGGCAAAAGAGCACAGACAGAAAGATGTGCAAAAGGCTTGGAGGCTTGGCGTTTCTTCACCGGGAGTGGATCGAGTTGGACGATGGGCAGGCAATGGGCAGCCCCTTTCCCCCTAAGCTGGCCTCCCCGGCCGTCCACAGTCTGTTGACAACAAGGCGACGTGGAAAGAGTAGACGAGGAGAGATGTGGCCAACATGTTTGACGGAGAGAGTGCTGCAAAAATGCCTTGGCGGAAGAATGCCGCCGACAGGAGCAGTTTGACGGTGGCTTTCTTGCCGTGGGGAATTGAAAGAGAGAACTAACGACTTTACAAATAAAAACAAGAAAATAAATAAGAAATAAGAAATACAACTCCGCTTGTCCCATCCAACCGGGACAAAGCCGTCGCTGTGAGAAAGGAGACAATAAAAAAGGACCACAATTCAAGGCACGGCAACGGGTGCAACGCTAGGTTGACAGGACGGGCCAGAAAGAAACGCTGAGCGAGGGATCAGAGACGGCACTGAACACAACTGCGGCCGTGACGATTGACGGCAGTTGCTGATTCTGCTTAGATGCAGCCCCATCTTTCTTTTGCATCCCCGTCGGCGAGACGACATGAAGGGTCCTGGAAGCCTCTGTCTCCGGTCTCCGTCTGTTCTGGGGGAGGGATACAGATGCAACCTTGTCGAGAGCTCTTTCGACGTTTCCGTCTCTGTGCTTCCATTCAACTATTTCTCCGATTGGGTTGTTGCTTGTACGCCGATTCTGTACATTGTACAGGTACGACGAGTTCATTTTGAAACACGTGGCTTGTGGCAGTGGTGCATAGGCTGCAGAGATGGCTTCTTCTTCTCTCGTTGCTTTTCACTGCCTGTGTGTTGCTTCTGCTGTTTCCAAGCATCGGATTACAATCTGGGGAACTGGGTTGTGGGGATTGTGGAGACTGACGAACTGAAAATGAAATATGACAGTGTGAGAGTGACAAGTGAGAATGATGAAAAAGGACAGAAAGGAAAGGGGACGCGAGATCTGCTCCACGATGAACAGCACGTCAGGAGTCGAGCAACGATGTGTCCACAGGGCAGTCAGTGCAGCGGCGCTTCGTGCGTCTCCAAAGGCTTCTCGAGCCGATTGTTGATGATTTTCCTCCAGTTGGCTTTGTTCAACAGATTCAATCCAAACATGGGGCCTCTCACACAGAGTCTCGGTCTGAAACCGACAATGTCTCTGTCCTCTGTCCGAATAGCGAGACGCAAGCGACGAAAACAACGGCAAAGGCCCGGATGTGCATTCCTCGAGTCAGGTTTCTGACGGATCAGCACGGATGGCGAAAGATGAGCACGGGAGAGATGTGAGGCGTGAGAAACGCGAGAGATGTGTGAGACGGTCGAGGGTCCAGTGCATGTCGTCGTCGTCGTCGTCGTCGTCGTACTCTTTGGTACACTCTATGTTGTACTGCGTCTGTTGTACTGCGACCCATTTGACGTGGCAGAACGAAATGTCCTCATCGCCTCCTCTTGTCTCGCATTGGGAACTCCTGCGGCTGGTGGTCGCTGGACAGAGCACAGCCCATCCACTCGTACTCTGCCCGTCTCGTCTGCATTCTGAACCGTCTGCACCGTCTGCAGCCGCTGTCCGTTCGCAGCCTTGGCGCATCCCTCTCTTCTCTCTTCTCTTCTCTTCTCTCGCGTCTCTGTCGTCGTTCTCCGACTTCTCCGTCAGAATTTTATTGCCAAAGAAACGATTCGGACAGAATGGCTGACGCTGTGCTCAAAGACAATGTGACGCTCTCCACTCGACCAGTTCGCCCGCACAGGCGTGCCTTGTCACGATTAATGTCAACGACCATACATTTACGAGTTCGGCCACGATTTAGTATTCCCAACTCGGCTCTCTGCAGCTGTACCCTGCACACTTGTCTTTACTTTGCACGTTGACTCCATACACAAACTGCCACCTTTGCACCGGCAGGGAAAGGATGTGACATTGTGACGAAACAGTGGAGGTGGAGTCCCGCGTCTGTCAGGAGGCCCGAGCGGGCGGACGAACACTCTTCATGTACAGGCCTCCTTGCCTGCCCTACTGTGTAGTATCAACCTCCCGACGCAACGCCTTCCCCGCAAAGCAATGATTTCCGCAAGTCCTGAGCGATGGTGGACACACAGACGTGGAATCACTGACATTGTGTCATGTATGTTGTATGTCGACGATGCAGTGAGGCAAGACGTGCCGAAGGTACGAATTAATCGATTGACGACTAGGATGACAGACACGCTCCTACAGGCCTGCCCTTTCTCTCTCCTCTTCCCTCGCCGCCTTCCTGCATCTCTTCCCGTCCCGTCACGGCCGACGGCCATCCGTTTGATATTCGCAAGAGAGAATGTATTACCGCGCACTCCTGACAGAGAGCACTTGTTTTCCCGTCTCTGCGGCGGACTTCGTACACAAATGGCAACATCAACCCAGGGTCCCCAGCCTGGGCTCCAACAGACAAGCCTATCCTCGTCCTGGACGTCGTCCGTACTCACAAAGCAATTACTCCGTGAGGGAAGAGATGGAAACGCGTTCGTCCAAGCGAGACGAGATGGTGGTTGGTGGACATGCTCGTGGCTTGTGGACTGGGGAAGCGTGAGAACAGGGGACTCTTGACCCACATCCCCAGATGCTTGTCCCGGAAACGCCAGACCCAGACCGGTACGGAGAATGCCATTGTACGATATACGACGCAGCCACACGACTTGTTCAGTTGGCGATGAACGACAAAAGACGACAAGGCTACCGCTGCTAGGCCAAGCACAAGGCGCCTTTGGGCGAAACCAAGTGAGAAAGGTGCACGCCCGGTGAAGGGCCAAAACGCGGCGACGTCTGTGTGTTTCCTTGGCACGTATGTCGTCGTCCGTTTGTAGGGTTTGACTATGTGCTTTCTTGCCTTTTGATTACTTGGTTTCTTGATTTTGAATTCTTGACTTCTTGACTTTGTAATTTGTTTCGTCCGAGTGTCCATGTACACTACCTTTTTTTCAACCTTGCTTCTTCCCCCTTCTTTTTCGTTGTTTTTTCTATTTACTCGTATCCAACTCTCCTTCTCCTTCACCCTCGCGCACAGAGGTCCTTGCCATCCCGGACAACACCAGACGCCAGTCACACAACACACACGACACAACCGTTCGTCCTCGACCAGTGGCTCTCTCCAGTGGCCGTTGCAGATCGCCCGCATACAGATATAAAGATACTTCAGATCCCGGATGGGACGCTGGCCGTCGAGTGGAGACTGATATCCACGTCTGCCATCTATCATCGGCCATCTCTCACCATCACCATTCCTTGGCTGCCTCGTAGCAACTGATGACGCCCATCTCAACACGATCCAACCGTCCACTGTTTGTTGAAAGGGCAACACAGTAGCACTACGGACCCACGACAAGACGACGCCACATCCACTCCGCCTGACCCCCGACCAGCATCTTGTCTGCCATGTCTCACATCCCCGGAGAGAACCCGGCCCTCGACGCCGAGACGCGCGTGCCCATCCTCATCGGCACGGCCGTCGCCTTCAGCATCGCCTCGTCCCTTGTCGTGATGCTGCGCATGTACACGCGCCACGCCATCGTGCGCGCCCCGGGCCTCGACGACTACACCATGGTGGTGGCGGCCGTGCTGGCGCTGGGCGTGACGGTGTCCACCATCGTGCAGGCGCAGCACGGGCTCGGGCGGCACGCCTGGCTCGTCACCGACGCGGCGACGACCATGGTGCAGCTCAAGGCGCTCTTCGCCGGCGAGGTGCTGTACAACCTGTCGCAGATCTGCACAAAGGTCGCCTTCCTGCTGCAGTACCGCCGCATCTTCCGCGACGCGCTCTACGGCCACACGCGCGCCGTCTGCTTCTGGCTCATCCTCTTTTTGCTCGCCTGGGGCGTCACGCAGGAGTTCCTCGTCGCCTTTGCCTGCATCCCCGTGTCCCTCTTTGTGCCGTCCATGGCCGCCACCTGCATCGAGAGCCTCGTCGTGTGGTACCTCACGTCCATCATGAACATTGTCACCGACTTTGTGCTCTTCCTCGTGCCCATCCCCGCCGTCCGCCAGCTGCGGCTGCCCCTGCGCCAAAAGGCGCTCGTCATGTCGCTCTTCTGCCTCGGCTTCTTCACCTGCATCATCTCCATGGTCCGCCTCTTCACCCTGCACGCCGCCCTCAACTCCACCGACGGCACCTGGGACAACGCCCCGACCTCCTGGTGGACCACCATCGAGCTCAACTGCGGCATCCTCTGCGCCAGCATCGCCACCCTGCGGCCCCTGATCCGCGCCCTGACGGGGCGGCCGGCGACCAAGATGAGCGGGAGCGGCGGCGTCAGCGGCGGCGGCGGCGGCAGCAGCAGCACGAGCCGCGCGCGCAGCAGCGTCCGCAAAGGCGCCTACCCGCTGCACGACCTGCCGACCATCAACGACAACGAGAGCCAGAGCGGGCTGAACCTGAAAGACGACGAGGATGCGGTGGTCTTTGACAGCGGGAGCGGCCGGCGGTCCATGACGGCGGCGTCGGACGACTTTGCCGAGACGCGGCTGCGAGGGGAGTCGAGGTGAAAAAAAAGAGGTTGCGGAGAGAAGTATAGCGACGCGCTTGTCGTATTGATATCCACTTGCATTTATTTGTTTTGTATACAAGAATTTTCACGTCCATCACGCGTGTTCTTTTGATAAGAATGAAATCTAGTTAATATGGTACACATGAAAGGACCAAAAGGAAACCAAAACCAGAGACCAGAATCCCAAACTATGCAATATTCGTGTGCCGTGGTCTCAAACGCGTCGTCTACCGGAGGACGCGGAGAAAAAAGAAAAAAGAAAGAAACAGAACAAGAAAAAGAAAGAACATCCCAACAGAAGAGAAAAGAAAAACAGACAAACAGACAACAGACAACAGACAACAGACAACAGACAACAGACAACAGACAACAGACAACAGACAACAGACAACAGAAAACAGACAACAAACGCATCGGCGTCAGTACGCGTCGTTTTACGCCTCGGCCTGCGGATGCGGCGTCAACGTCACGTCCTTTTGCACGCACGTCGTCGTGTTGCTGCTGTAGATTTCGCCCATATGCCAGTCGGGGTTCTGGTAGATCGAGCTCGTGCACGCCGGCGTCAGGTCCACGCTGGCCCCGTACGCAAACGTCGCCGGGTACGGGCCGTTGTCCGTGTCGATGCACAGCCACGACTGGTTGACGTTGAGCTGCCCCGTGGGCGCGTTGAACGTAAACGCCGTGGCCGTGTCCGGGTTCTCGGTGGTGCAGTTGTAGACAATGTTGCCGTAAAAAAACTCGGACAGCTGCGACGAGTAGGCCGCGCAGACGGCCGGGTACGCCAGCGCCGGGTTGGTCAGGTTGAACTGCACGACGCCGCCGTCGATCTGGTGGGCGGGCGTGCTGAAGGTGATGGACGTGTTGAAGACAAACTCGCCAATGGACCACGCATACTTGGTGCCCGCCGGCGGGGGGGCGCAGGCCGGGGCGTCGCCACGAGCGGCCACGGTGGGCGCGGCCGAGACGGTGGCGGCGGCCGAGGCAGCCAAGAGGCCGACGAGGGCACGGGGACTTGAGCGGACCATTTTGTGGGAGAGAAGAGGGTTGGGAACGGCGGAGATGATGACTGACGTGAACAGAAGAATGAGTTGGTAGAGTCGCGCCGGAGAGTAAACGGTTGCAGTACTTTCTTTGTTCTTGTTGATGCTGCTGTCGTTGTTTTGGACAAAAGGAAGGGAGAGACACGTGGTATAAATATGTGAATCAAGGCGAGAACAATGCGGATATAAAGTGCAAGGGAACGTAAAGAGCAGCCGTCTGTGGGTGGCGTGGCAGACGTGACGTAGTGAAGGGGCGGGTACGCCTTTGGAGAATGAGCTTATACGGCCGCAACGTTAAAAGGACGGGCTAAGGGTAGTAAAAGACGGAATAAAGAATACGAAAAACGAAAAGGGTTAAAGCGCGGGTAAGAAAAGGTACGGAAAGGCTTGAAACCCGGTTTTGGTTCTCACCACGAAGTTGCGGATGTCTCGTATTCCTTTATTGTCCAAGACATGAAGACAGGAAAAGAAAAAGAAAAAGAAAACAAAAAGGGTGGCAGCCAAGGTGCGGAATACCAATACCAATACCACGAAACCAATCACTGCAGTCGTGGATCGTGGATCTCGGCTTTTGACAGCCTCGTGTCTTACCTTTGCTTTTTACTCTTCTTTTTGCCTCTTCTTCTCTCCCTTTTCCCTTCTTTCCCTCCCTTCCTCCCTTGGTCTCTCCCTCAAACTCAGCTCGCAAAACCAACGTCCCGATGCTTCGTTACGCTGCCCTATTTTTGGACAGCTGCCAGTCCGCGTTCTGCCCCATCACGCGGACGGACACGATATTTTGTTCGTTTTTGTTCCTGCTGACAACTTGACAGCTTGTTCCCTGTTTTCGTTCTCGTGTTGGTCTCCTTCACCTCTGCCGCCGGATGTCTTTGACCTAATCCGACTCCGACTCGTCCACCATTGTCTCTCTATCAATGGACGAGAGTACTCCGTCTGCCGTCCCTTAGTGAGGCCTGCCGATCGCCCTAGCATCATGTCGATCGTTTTGCCCCACAACCAACCCAAGGCAAGCACCGTCCCAGCGACTGACTTTTCTGGCGATTTGTTTCTATTTTGGTCATTCGTCCCTTTTTGTGTGCCGGTCGTTTGGTCGTTTGGTCGTCAGGTTGTCCTCGGCAGACACGCGGTCGCTCCTTCCCGCGAAGCTGCCTGCCTGCCGTGCAACAGGTAAAGCCACAGACGGCAACTACGATCCACGCGTGCAGGAAAGACTTGCACCGTAGTACTTGCTGCCCAACATTGGCTGCCTCTTGCCTCGTTTGCGTGCCTACGGCGTGCTCCATCGACACACGTCCATCGTCCCGAGATGTCATATGTTGTATGTTGTAGTTTCACATCACCGGTTCCCGTGCTCGCCAGTGTTGTACCTGTACTCTGTATTCCGCACACCAATCTCTCGTTTCTCGTATTCCAACCTCGATCATCGCGTCTCGCGATGCGCAGACAGACATGCAAAGCTGATAGGCTATCACGCTGGCCAACGAAAACCCAATGACATCAAAATACGACTGCGACGGAAGTACTCCATACTCCGTACTCCTTGCTCCAACATCTCACTGCACTGCGGTCGTAAATACAGGGCCATTCTCTCTGTTCGTTTCATTCGCGCAGCCCGCTGACCCACAGCCTCAGCATTGCCCCCGAAACCACAATCGCTCCGTTGGTTGGACCCCATTTGACCCATCGAACTCTGTCCATATCGTCAGCCAAGACTTTTACCGCTGATGTCCACGTTATGCCTTGTCGCCGTCCTCGTATTTGCAGCCGATCTTTCTTGTTCTCTCTTCTTTGCCATGTTTTATTTTTATTTATGGTTTTTCATTCTCCCTTCTTTACTGGTTTTACTGGTTCTTTTGTTCTTTTGCGTCCGGTTGTTGACCTACGGAGTCTTGCTGTACTCGCCATCATGGCAATGCACAAAACGAGCAGAAAACGCCCGGCGAGTCATGATCAACAAGTGATGAAGTGCACGCCAGTTGTCTCTCATTTGCTGGCCACCGGGCCACCGAGTCACAGGTCGTTGTGCTGTCCCGGCCCTGCATGGCGCGTCTCTGCAAAAGTCCCTGCTCAGCTGCAATATGCAGCCGAGTTTTGACCTTTCCTTCTCTTTCTCGCGGATTCTTCACCGCTTGGCCAAAACGGCGTCCCCGAGGTTGTGTCCTGTGCATATGTCGTGCTGCCTTTCGTTTGTTCGTATCAGCTGCCTGCTGTGCGACTGTGCCTGTCGTGTCCGCGTACACTCGTTTTCTTACTCAGACCTCAACACGTCAAGAGACATGCAGACTGTGGAAGGTTGAGGTGAGCCTGCAGTGGACGTGGCTTTAACTTGAGCTTCTGCCGTGTTTGCTGTTTGCCCAAGCGTGCATAGCGATGGCTGTTGCACCGAGTTGGATGCTCGCTCTGCCACTGCTGAACACAACTAGAAAAAGAAAGAAACAGAAAAATGAAAAATGAAAGTGACAGCGGAAGCGCGCTGGGCTCATAACCGGCAAGTCCCTTGATCGAAGCGAAGAGTTGTTAGGAATTTGTTTACTTTATATTTTGCTCTGTGGTTCTTGCCTTTTCTTACTCTTAGTGTCTTATCAACTCGGGAGCTGATGCGATTTGAGACGACGTCTATTCGTAGTCTTGGTCCTTCACATCACGTCCTTGTTGCTCTCGTTTTATACGACCCATGTGAGCAAATACGGAGTGCTGAGGAAAGAAGAGACCAAAACATTATATACCTTTAATGACTGTCAGACTACACGGCCAATCGCCTGAACCTCCATGCCACAAGACTTGGACAGCCTCACGACGGACGTATTGAGTGCAGCACCCACTGTCCTCCATCCAGATAACAGCTTCGAGTTGTCCCTCGTGCCCGATAACAGTTGTCAACTATTCTATTGTCAATGTGAAAAGAAGTCATAAAAGAGACACAGCCACAAGCGGCTCTTCTCATATCCTCTTATCGTGTTATCACTCGACCTCCTCATGATAAAAGACGGCATGTCGTTTGTCTTTGTTTCGTGCACATCGAGGCTTATCCTTGGTTTTCGTCGATTTACGTAAAGCCAGGCCACGGGACTTTGCGGAGAGAGCATTAGCGGCGGCAGAGAGTGGCGTAGGCTTCACAGGGGCGGGCTTTGAATATATTGCACGTGACCCCCTCGACAGCATGAACACCGCCTGACCCCTCCCTACCCGACGGTAAGCGGCCTCAGTGAACGCCGTTCGTCAGAACCAGCCTACAAAGTCACATCAGAAAGCACAAAAAGAAAAGCTACGCAAAACGCACGTTGCACACAAAGCATGTAGAGCAGTCAGAGAAAATCATGCACATCGTTATGCCCCGTGGGCCCTGCTGCTTGCACCTTCACTTAGGGGTATAGCCTCGCAGCTCATCTGTCGGCATACCTTCACTTAGGGGTCTAGCCTTGTCGGCCGCGTCGGCTGTTTTGTGGTGCTTTGGGGCACCTTGGGTGAGCCAAAATGCGCCCCTTCTTGTCTGCGTCGGCACACCTGCACTTAGGGGTATAGCTCGCTTCGTCTCATCCAAGCTCAACCTCTGGTCGACGCCCCTTTGCCGCCTCTTTTTCCAGTCTCTTTTACCTAATTGGCGGGGCCGTCCAGCACTTTCTTACGAGACATTTTGTTCCTTTGGCTCGTCTTCCGTTCGTTTTCTTCCATTCTTCTTTGGCGTTTCCAATCTTATCAATGGAGCTGAAGGGTGAGATAAAGAAAAAGGAAAAAGAAAAAAGGGTCAGCAGGACAGCCCCCCGAGGCAGAGACCACGACAACAGGGCAAAGGGGAAATGGAAACAGGACAAACGTGTATATAAATGGGCAACCCATGTGTCTTTCTTTTTGTTAGAAGCTACGTTTGCTATCAATCTACAATCTTTAACTAGATTTACCTCCAACGCTCTTTCCTCTTTCCCCGAGCTGCTCCTACCTTTGTTGCCTCGAAGCTCTGTCACCCCCCACTTCTCACATTCTTCCGATCGCCCCTGCCCTACGTCACGCAGCTACCGGATTGGGACAACGACAGACCACACTTACTGAGAATCTCGGATTGAGAGAAAACAAACGTCGTTGCCCGTCTTCACATCTTTTACAAATCTGATTTTCTTCTTTTTTCAATCTACCTTTGCTCTCCCTCTCGCCGCTCAAAAATGGCAACCAACGGAAAGATGACAACCTCCATGGTGACGTCAAAGTTCCTCGACCACCAGTCCGACCTGGGCGTCGTGGCTGTCGGCTTTTCTGGTGGACAGGTATGTTCTTCGCTCTCCCTTTTTTAATTTATTATTACTTTTTTTTTCCAATATTGTATATTTTTGTACATTTTTGTACATTTTCGACCCTCCCTCTGACCGTTCCAGTGCAAACCCGGCGTCGACGCTGCTCCCTCGGCCCTCATCGAGTCCGGCCTGCTCACCCAGCTGCGCGACGAGCTCGGCTACACCCTGCACGGCGACGACAAGGTCCACCTCTACACCGACTTGGTGCCTGCCAATGACGCCGACTACCGCGGCATGAAGAACCCGCGCGCCGTCTCTGCCGTCACCGAGCGCATCGCCGAGCAGGTCTACGCCCAGTCGCGCGAGGGCCGCCTCACCCTGACGCTGGGCGGCGACCACAGCATCGCCATCGGCACCATTGCCGGCACCGCCAAGGCGACGCGCGAGCGTCTGGGCCCGCGCGGCGAGATGGCCGTCATCTGGGTCGACGCACACGCCGACATCAACACCCCCGAGACCAGCGGCAGCGGCAACATCCACGGCATGCCCGTGGCGTTCCTGACCGGCATCGCCTCGGACGCAAACAAGGACTACTTTGGCTGGCTGCGCCCGGAGCACCGCCTCAGCGTCACGAAGCTCGTGTACATTGGCCTCCGCGACGTCGACGCCGGCGAGAAGCGGATCCTGCGCGAGCACGGCATCAAGGCCTTTAGCATGTTCGACATTGACAAGCACGGCATCGGCCGCGTCATGGAGATGGCCCTCGCCCACATTGGCTCCGACACGCCCATCCACCTGTCCTTTGACGTCGACGCGCTCGATCCCATGTGGGCGCCCTCGACGGGCACGCCCGTGCGCGGCGGCCTGACGCTGCGCGAAGGCGACTTCATCTGCGAGAGCGTCCACGAGACGGGCCAGCTAATTGCCATGGACCTCGTCGAGGTGAACCCGAGTCTGGCACCGGAGCAGGATATGGGTGCGCACGAGACGGTGCGTGCGGGGTGTTCGCTGGTGCGGTGCGCCCTGGGCGAGAGCCTGTTATGATTTGGGAGGTGAAAGAGGAACGAACGTGAAGTGAACAAGAAGCAAGAACGGGAACGGTAATGACAACCTAGACATGGAATGGGACATGGGTTAATGACACATAAGATATTAGAAAGGATACATGAATTCTGAAAGCGTAACCAACATTCGTTTGTGCTACATAATGTCGACAAGAATGACTTCAAAACCGAACGCCGTTGTATGAATGCTAATGTACAGTGGGTTGAGCATACTTGAGCATACATGCTCGTTTACGTATGTGCTGTGCCGTGGTCTACGATGTGCAGCCGCCTCAACCGCCTTAACCGCCTCAACCGCCTCAACTGCCGCGGCGTCGCGCATCCGACTGTGCCAGCAGCCCCGCTGTCTCGTACGTGCCCCAGCCCTCCCGTCGCTCTAGGAAGCTGTCCACCCGCCCGGCGCGGCTCAGCGGCGCAATCGCGGCTTGCTGGCTTTGGAGCGTCGACGAGATCGCCGCGTCGTGCTCGTCCCGCCTCGCCAGAATGCTGGCCCCGTGGCTGCTCGCTCGCGTCATCTGGCCATAGCCGCCCAGAAACACGAGAACAAGCACAACCACGGCAAACCCGCCGTTGGACATGAACTGCTCCGTCTGCTTGGCCCCCGCCGCATCCCCCGACGGCCCCGCCCCGTTCTCCTGTCGCCACCGCTCCCAGTCCTCCCACGTCGCATTGTACGCCGCGCTGCCCTTGCGCTGCCGCCACGTGTGGTCGTACTCACCGCCCGCCTTCATTTTGCCTTGGTCCCCCGGGGACGCCCACCCCTGGCCGTACAGGTCGTACATCCGCCGCCGCCCCGCGTGGCTCAGAATGTCGTTGGCCGCCACAATCAGCCGGTACCGCTCGAGCCGCACCGCCGGCGACAGCCCCTTTACGTGGGCCGGCGTGCCGTGGTGCATGTCCGGATGGTACTGCTTGGCGAGGGCATAGAAGCGCTTCTTTTGGTACGCGGCCGTCTTGTGCTGGCCAAAGATCTCGTACGGCGTCGGGTTGGGCGACGCGGGCCACGTGTGGTGGGCCATCTCTCCGCGACCGTCGGACCCGTGTTCCCGAGGTCGGTGTCGGCCGTGAGCATGACCATCGTCGCTGTGCAGAAACCCGTCGTCATGGATCGCCGTGGCATAGGCGCGCGTGGACGTTGTCCGCTGTATGGGTCGAGCGTCTGGCCGAACACTGGGCCGTCCGGAGACGGGTCGTGATAAAGGTCTCGATAGCCTTGCGAGTGGCGCCACAGTCGTCCGCCGCGGGGCCCGCGTCAAGGCAGCCCGGGCATTGCAACAGTAGGGACAGGCGCCCATGTTGTAGTATGTCGAGCGATTCGAATTTGAGATGCAAACAAAGGCTCCAAAAGCTAACGTCGATGTTCGTTCACGTCTCAATCGTATGAGAAGTGCGGAGTTGGCAATCCCATAGTGCGCACGTGTGGGCCCTCGTCCACCCGTCATTGCCCTTGCCACCACCAGCCGGAAATCCAGTGTGGGAGCTTGGGCGCTGGAGGGCAAGTGCGACTAGCCTCGCCCGGCTTTGCGTCTTCGCACCTTCCACCAAGGCCAGTATCTCCACAATTCACGTGCAACGTCGCCCGCCCACCGCTTCTCAGCACCCGAAGATCGTCTTTTGACCTGTTTTTCCCGCCATGGAAAGCCTTCCCGTTTAGCAAACAAAAAAAAACACAATCACACAACCTCCACCCTCTACTCACTACAACCACAGCCTCAAAAACCACCATTGTGATTTCGCCTTTGGACTGAAATCGATCTCAACTGAACTACGTTTATGTTTCGTCCTACATCTGTGCTCTCTTAGCTTTACTCGCTTCCCTACTCTCGACATTCCACCTCGGACGCTTGCCGCTGTATCCTCAAAAAGCCTCGCGATACCCCTCCCGTTCCTTGCAACCTCTCACCTCTGCCGACTCGCAGCGAACCCTACGGTGCCTCTTACCTCTATCTAAATCGACTCTCATCGACGTGATCGACAGGTCTCTTGACTTTAGTCTTGGCCTACCAGACGAACAGCGACTGCCTGCCTCGACAGCGGCCTCCCTTAGTACCAAAGAGCTGAAAGAATCAGCCAGAAAATCTACAAAGTTACAAATAAACAGACCCAACTCACGGGGCCTCGACGTCTATTACTGGGCCGACACCTCAGTCCAGCCGATATCTACGATAATCATCTCGCCTTGACGACTACCTCGACGCCCAGTCGCAACAAACGATCCTGCAGGCAAGACGACTCTTGACTTGCATCGACGACAATTTCCTTAAAACCACACACACTGCAGACGAACGCTCGACAAAGGCTCTCTCCCTCTGTCTTGAGCGATTCCCCACGAGATCTTCTCTCCCACGCAACCCTTACCTCCACTTTCACCTGTACACCAGGTAGCTACAATGGCCGACGGGCTCGTTGAAAAGTTAAAGTCGGCCACGTTAACGTGCGTACCCCAGCAGGCATGGACAGCCTTGCTGTTTTCTGCTTCTCCATGCCCCTCCCTGATCCCAAAGTCGCCCATGCTAACTTCCTTCTCCGTCCCGCAGCGATGGCGCGCCGCAAGACGATTGGAAGAAGTCTCTGAAACTGCCGCAGCGGGACAACAGACAGCAGACTGAAGTGAGTGTCTATTCCGCAACAAGACCGGCTGCTGACCGCAAGGCCACGGCTAACCCTCCACCAGGATGTTACAAATACAAAGGGCCTCGAGTTCGAGGAGTTCAACCTCAAACGCAACCTGCTCATGGGCATTTTCGAGGCGGGCTTCGAAAAGCCATCCCCTATCCAGGAAGAGAGCATCCCTGTCGCCCTGACCGGCCGCGACATCCTCGCCCGTGCAAAGAACGGCACCGGCAAGACGGCGGCCTTTGTCATCCCCGCGCTCGAAAAGATCAACCCGAAAATCTCCAAAATCCAATGCCTTATCCTCGTGCCCACGCGCGAGCTCGCCATGCAGACCTCGCAGGTGTGCAAAACGCTCGGCAAGCACCTCAACCTCAATGTTATGGTCACAACGGGTGGTACTGGCCTGAGAGACGACATTGTGCGTCTGCAGGAGGCCGTCCATATCGTGGTCGGCACGCCCGGTCGCATTCTGGATCTCGCTAGCAAGGGGGTCGCCGATCTGAGCGAGTGCCCCATGTTCATCATGGACGAGGCCGACAAGCTGCTGTCCGCCGAGTTCACCCCCGTCATCGAGCAGCTGCTGCAGTTCCACCCCAAGGACCGCCAGGTCATGCTCTTCTCCGCCACGTTCCCGCTGTCCGTCAAGGACTTTTCCGACAAGAACATGAGCTCGCCGTACGAAATCAACCTGATGGACGAGCTGACGCTGCGCGGCATCACGCAGTACTACGCGTTCGTGGAGGAGCGCCAAAAGGTGCACTGCCTCAACACGCTCTTCTCCAAGCTGCAGATCAACCAGTCCATCATCTTTTGCAACTCGACCAACCGCGTCGAGCTGCTCGCCAAGAAGATCACGGAGCTCGGCTACTCGTGCTTCTACTCGCACGCCAAGATGGCGCAGCAGGCGCGCAACCGCGTGTTCCACGACTTCCGCAACGGCGTGTGCCGCAACCTGGTGTGCTCGGATCTGCTGACGCGCGGCATCGACATCCAGGCCGTCAACGTCGTCATCAACTTTGACTTCCCCAAGAACGCCGAGACGTACTTGCACCGCATCGGTCGTTCGGGCCGGTACGGCCACCTGGGTCTTGCCATCAACCTGATCAACTGGGAAGACCGGCTGAACCTGTACAACATTGAGCGCGACCTCGGCACGGAAATCCAGGCGATCCCCGCGACCATCGACAAGAGCCTGTACGTCTACGACAGCCCCGAGAGCATCCCGCGGCCCATTGCCACGCTGGCCAAGCCGTCACCGCACAATGTGCCACCTCACCAGCAGCAGCAGCAGCAGCAGCAAAGCAATGGCAACCAGTCCGCCCCGGCCGGCCCTCTCTTCCAGCAACACAACCCCTTCCCAGTGGTGCCGCAGCAACCGCAGCAGCAGCAACAGCAACAATACCAGGGACAGCTGCAGCAGCTGCAGCAGCAGCAGCATAGGGGCCAGGTTCAGCCGTCCCTGCCGCAAGCACATGGTGGTTGGCAGTCGCGTGATGGCGGCAACGCCAACGGTGGTGGTGGACGTGGCAACTACAACAACAACAACAACAACCGGGGCCAGTCTTCCGGGTTCCGCGGCGGCGGCCGTGGCCGTAACAACGGTTACCAGGGCGGCGGCGGCAACAGGAACAACCAGCACCAGAACGGCGGCGGTCGTGGCCGTGGCGGTCAGGGTCAGGGTCAGGTTCAGGTCCAGGTCCAGGGCAACAACACACCGTCTGCCCAGCAGTAATGTGCTCCGAACATCTTGTGCTTTATTTCCCTTTCTTCTCCGACACGACTTTCTTTCGACTGTATATATTCTCTCCCATGTTACGACTATCTCGGCATTGTTCATCTTTCTCCTCGACTTTCTCTGTCGCTGCAGACTTCTTTCGAGACGTCAGTTCTTTTTCTGTTTCTTTCTTTTATCCCGACGGCGAACAAACGGGTGCTTTCAGCGCACGTAACGGCAGCAACATTCATTTGTCTACTCTTTTTTTCCCTGTTGTCTTCCTTTTGTCATGATGATGTTTGTAAGAGCCATCTATTGCTGTATCAGCCGTCGTTTTATTTTGTCGTCCATCTCCCCCTTTTCTTTCTACTCTTAGTTGCTCCTTTTTTTTTCTCTTGTCTGTTCTGCCGTTTCCGTCTCTGTTTTATTCAGGAGATACCAGGCATGCGATTTGGGCGTTTCACGGAAAGGGGTGCCTGTGGATACGAGGGTATGGTCGGACGAAGGATTTTGTCGGTTGGGAGGAGGATGGCTTCATTGGGACGGACGAAATAGGACATTTGGTGTCCCGCCTGTCTGGAGGTGATGTTGAGGAGACAGACCAAATGTTCTCGGCGTTGGGAGAAAAAAGGACTCGGCATTTCTGACTGTGTTTTATGCTACGTTGTCCTGTTTGTTGCGCATTGCATTCTTGTCCTTGCCCGACAGGGCAAAGCAGTCGGGAGAGGAAGACGAAACGGGACGGGGATGGTTGGAGCTGGGACGGAACGCGGTCGAAGTGGCGAGGAAAGATGGACGGTGGTATGCGACTTTGTTGGCGGTGATGTCGAGGGACCGACAAGCAAGTGTTGCGTGTTGAAGCGATGTCCTGCGGGTGCCGCTTCCACCAACACAGGGGACGACGAGACGACGAAAAGACGAAAAGACGAAAAGACGAAAAAGAGGAGGAAAACGCAACCAAAAACAAAAAGAAAATTACTAAAAATGCTTGAGAGTGCTTGAGACACGGCTTTTCTTGACAGGAAAGCTCTCTTGCAAACGACTAGAATAGAGATTCCAGGAGGTGTTGCGCAACGAACGCACCAGACAATACAAACCACTATTCTTTCTCTCACTCTGCGGATTTGGCTGGACTGTGCATTGGCTCTTGGAACGATATGCGTACAACTACGACAAAGACGTCACTTGTCAGTGTGTCCGAGTGTCCGACTTGATTTGCACTGATTTCCCCGATTGGCTTTACGCAGGTCGCAAACACACATCTACGACCTGAGTTCACATCGCCATTGCTCACAACTACAATGCGAGCCTACACAGCCCTTCTCGCTCGCACGGCGGCATGGGCCATGGCTGTACCGGCGTGCACAACGGCCACTTGGGTATTCGACTACCACTCGGCCACGCCGCCCATCACGTCGTACCCGACGACGTCCCCCCCCCCCCCCCCCCCCCCCCCGACCAATGTACGCGTAGTATGAGGCGGATATGATGGACCGTGTGTACTTGTGGACGTGGTGCGGTGATGCTGGTGCAGCCGTATGTAAGGGTGAGGTGTGGCAGTCGTAGTTGTGGTGGTGATGGTGCATTCATACCCCGTAAGCTGACTGTGTTTTGACGACCGGACTTTTTTGTAGAGGCCGGTGCCGAAGCGGACAGCTAAGCGTGCGGGGCCCTAGGGACGTGGATGGTCAGATCTCCGCCCGGAGTTTCGCTCCAAGCAGCTCTTTGCCGCAAAAGGAAAGAAGCGACAGCAGTGGCTCCGTGGAACCACCGTAATATAGCGATGATATATATGGCATTGGCTCTCGTCCAGTTTCACATTCTTCTGTTAGAGTTTTGCCCTACATTTCTTTCCTTTCCATTTTCCATCGTTATCACAGCGCCACCCGCATCTACACCCAGCATGGCCGACCGTTTCTCGCAAGCCGTCAAAACGGCGTTCGCCGTCTTTGAAAAGAAGGACAAGGACAACGCCACAGGCTCGTCCGCCACTCTGCGGCTGACCTTTGGCAGCCAGGCCGACGGCGCCGCCCCCGTGGTGGTCGACGCGACCAATGCCGGCACGCACGTGACGCCTGTGCAGGCCACGCCGGAGCCAGCGCTCGCGCTGGCGGCGGCCGCTGCGGCCACCGCGGCGCCCGACACAAAGTACCTGGCCATCTCCCTCGACCCGGACGCGCCGTTCCCGTCGTTTCCCTTCTTGGGCCCCATTCTGCACGGCGTCCAGGCGGATCTGACCATCGACAACACCACCGGCGACGCCGCCTGGCGCCCCCTCACATCGTCCACGCCGCCCACCCTCCACTACATCAAGCCCGGCCCGCCGTCGCCGAGCGCCGCCCACCGCTACATCTTTTTGCTCTACAAGCAGCCCGAGGGCCTGGACGACGCCGCCATCCGCGCCAAGATGGGCTGGGCTGCAGAGGGCCCGGCCGTGACGCGCTTGGGGCGGATGCGGTTCGTTGTGGGCGACCTGGAGACGAAGCTGGGGCTGGGCGCGGTGGTGGGCATCAACTACTTTGAGTCGTCGCAGTAAGCGGTAGCGGCGACCACGGGGAGCAGTGGGAGGGATTCTGAGCAGTGGGCGCAGTGGGAGCACAACTGACAAGAGGACGTTTGTTAGCAACGGCAGTGATGATCGCAGCAGGAAATGGACGCGTATGTAGATGAATACCCAAGATCCGGTGGATGCACGTTTGACAACAGATAGACACAAAACCACAATCAACACTGTTTTGGCACCGCTTCCCATCAAACCCTGCATGGTGGACAACGACTGGTTGAGAATGCCAGAAAAAGATGACGACGGTGGCGGCACATATGGGCGCCAAGTGGCGCCTGTGCATAGGGCTCGACAGGCCTGAAGGCACCGCGCCCCGCTGTAACCCTCTAAAGTCAGCGCTGATGCAGAACGCGCTAACCTCGATTGGGCAAAAGTAAACAGCACTTCAACTAACACGAGCGAACACCGCAGACGGCGGCGAGAGAGAAACCACTTGGCAAACTCAAACACGCGATCCACTTACAAGGACTCGCAAGGCGACAAGCGAGAGCCTCTCGTCTGCGGGACAGAGAAACGAGGTCGTGCAAAGGCGCGTCTGGAGGTGGACCTCTTCGCGGCTCCGGGGCCCGTTTCGGGACCCTCTCGTATGACGGGTTTGTTTACTTTGTTTATTGTCTCCAGATCTCGTCCTCTGCTCTTGTCTCTCTATCCTTTCTCTCTTTTGTGTCTTTTCTTTTGTTGTCAATCTCTCTCTCTCAATGTTTGTGTCACTACATAAACGCGTCTTTCTTCTTTGCTCCTTCCGCGCACTTCCTCGCTCCTCGCTCCTTCCTCTTTCCTCTTTTCTCTTTTCTCTTCCTTCCTTCAATTGCAGCCTAATTATCCCCTTTTCTCTTGGTGGCCACCTTCTCACCAACCCATCATCGCCGTGTCTTCCTCCTTTCCTTCATCATGACTGACCTTCCCATTGCCCTCCGCCGGACGCGTCGCAGCACCTCCTCGCTGTCGGCCGCGCATCATGGTGCCCCAGCTGATATGCCGACACCTCCATTGACGCCATCCGTGTCCACGGCCTCTCCATCATCGGCTGATTCTGGCCCTTCCACGCCGTCCTCCAGGCAGACAAAGACGCCGTCTCGTCGTCGCATCCCGCAGTCGAGGAAACGCGACGGCACTGCAAAGTCCAAACGCGTCCGTTTCTCTGACCCAGGGCCGAGGCTGGTAGCATCGGACAGCACAGACACTCCTGCGTCGTCGCCGTCCGGCTGCAGCTGTTCCACCGGCTTGACACCCTTCATCCGTCGCACCTCTCTAGAGACAGGCCTTCCCGTCAGCGGCGATGTCACGTTCCTGCCTCTGCGGCAGGTCCTCGGCGGCCGCGTCCAGCGTCGTCTGCGGCGGAACGGCCTGAGCGAGGAGATGAACAAAGTGTACGCCGAAAAGGCGGAGGCAAAGAAGAAGAGGGCTGCCGAGGCCGAGCGCGAGCTCGAGCGGCTGCGCAAGGCGGTGGCAGAGAAGGACGAGCTGATTGAGCGTCTGGAGGGCAACGCTGGTGACGACACCGTGTTCCAGGACAACGACCGCGTCATGGCCCTGCAGCGGGAGGTCGGCATGCTCCGCCGGCAGTTGGCCAGTGAGCAGCAGCGCCAGCCCCAGGCCATGGACAGCCACGACCGCACGCACAACTGGACCATGGCCGCCCGCGACCCGTTTGCGTCAACCCTCAGCATCGACTACGCCAATGGCAACAGCTACGTCGACAACGGGTATGGCTTTGACGACGACGCCGACGACGACATGACCGAGGCCATGGCCGATGTGGACCACCCCAACACCCCCCACATTATCGACGTCGACGGTGCCGATCTCTTTGGCGACGACACCATGGCCGAGCTGCAGTGCAGCACACCGAGCCGGCCACGCCGCCAGCAGCCGAGTGCCGACGCCAACAAGGACGACAGCCAGCAGGCCATGTCGTTTGCGCAGTCGTTTCCCACGCCACCGGCAACGAGTCCCATTGTATGGGCAGACGATGCCGAAGTGGGGATGCCCACTGCACCCACGACGCCGACAACGCCCGTCACGCCGCATATGCACCTCTTTTCAACTCGCCGCATCTCCGCGTCTCCCGTGTCTTCGCCACCCCAGCCACCACCGGCATCTCACATGGTCGACATGGATGTCCAGGCGGCACTGCCAGACCCCGAAACACAACACCTTCGCGGCCTGGTCACCGACCTCGTGCGCGCCCTCGCCGACAAGACGGCCGCTCTCGAGGTCCTGTCCAAGGCATTGGAGGAGCTGTCTCCACAGGAAGATGAGACGGACTCTGGCGCCGCCCGTGACGCTTCCGACATTGTCGCCCGCCTCGCCGCCGCCTTCCGTGCCGCCCGCCTCGAGCTCGAGTACCTCACCCCCGGTGAGATTGAACTGCCTCTCGCCGCGCCCGCCGCCGCCGTCCTCGATTTGCTGCTGAGCCGTCTGCGCGCCCTCGCTCAGCAGGTCCAGGCCGCCGATGCCCAGATTGACGAGTACCATGCCCTCGAGGGGAGCCTGCGGCAGCAGCTGGGCGCGCGCGTGCAGGCCATGGACGGCATGGCCGCCGATCTCGTGGCAAAGGACGCGACCATTGCCGCCCACGAGGCGACCATTGCCGACCTCAACGTCGCCGCCGACCGCTTCAAGGGCGCCCTCGCCAGCTACGCACGCGACGTGGCGGAGCTCGAGGCGCTGGTTGGCCGGTTGGAGCAGGATGCGCAGCGGGCCACCGCCGAGGCGGCGGACGCCAAGAAGGACATGGCCGCCGCCCAAGCACACGTGGCCAAGGCCCGCCGCGCCGCCGCCACCCACGGCCAGGCCCTGGCCCTCCGCGACGCCCGCGTCCACGAGCTCCGCGGCGAGATTGGCGAGCGCGACGCCGCCCTGCGGGCCGCCCAGCGGCGCGGCCACGAGTCGGCGCGGCAGCTGAGGGAAGACAATGCGGCGCTGGCCGAGCGACTGGCGGCCGAGACGCAGCGCGCCGCCGCGGCGAAGGCGGCCGTGGCCACCCTGCAGGCGCTGCTGGATGCGCCCGAGGACCACAACAGCAGTAGTGCCGTGAACGCGAACAAGAAGGAACAGAGAATGTCCCTGGGACGGCGGCTGTTTGGTCGCCGGAGCACAAGCGTTGTGTCGACTGAGGCGTCGACAGGTGCGTCGGAGTCGCAAGGCACCTTGTCTACGCCTCCATCTACGGAAGCAGCGCCTCGGTCGACCAAGAAGCGGCGGCGATACGACAGTGGCCTGGGCTTCTTGGATGAAGAAGATGCAGAGGATATGTAACGATGCGTTCCTTGTTTGCATGTGTACGGTGTACGGTGTATTTTGCGTCATGTCCTGCCATTTCTTGCCTTTCTTGCCTTTCTTGCCTTTCTTGTCTTACTTGCCAACTTGTCACTCTTTTGCATACTTTCTTTTGTCAAAATTCATTATTTGCTCTCTTCCGTATCGAATTGGGATATCTGCATGCTATACGCTACCTGCTCCTGTCTGTCCCCTTCCCGCATACGCAACCATCCCGGCTGTCGCCTAATACACAAACACAAATTCATTGTTCTGCAGGTCCGTCAGGTCCTCAAACGCCCGGTCGCCCGTCGGCGCACCGGTCTCGCCCGTCTCGCCCTGCGTCACCATCTCCTGCATCATTCGGTCCGCGTCTTCCGCCGAGAACAGCGACACGTCCATAATCGTCGCGCTCTTGCCCTCCGCCACGCGCCGCGCCGCGTGCAAGGTGTTGAGGATCCGCAGGTACCCCATCGTCACCAGCGTGAGCACAATCAGCACCACGTACAGCGCCAGGTTGCTGCGCAGGCCGCGCTTATAGAGCGGCGCCTCGGTCGTCTGGTACAGCTGCGGGCCCACGACATTGCCGACGCACTGGCCAATCGTGAAGATGGCCGTCGTGCACTTGCGCTTGGTGTCGCCGGCCGTGTTTTGGGCGGACCACGAATAGATAATGGGCGTGATGCCTGGGTAGACGGAGATCAGATAGTAGCCCACGAGCAGAGCGGCACGGTGCTCCAGATCGTGCGGCACGGCCATGAGGACAGCACAGCCGGCGATGGGCGGGAGGCACAGCAGGATGAGGACGGGGCCCTTTTTGCGGATGTAGGTGGCCAGAACCGCACCGCCGACAGTCGCGACGAGCTGGACAAAGCCAAAGGGGATGTTGAACAGGATGGTGTCAAACGAGTCAAAGCCGAACGACTTGACAATGAGCGGGCCAAACGTGGAGATGCCGCCCGAGGGAATGCTAATGGAAAAAATCAGGGCGGTCCAGCACCACGTCTTAACGTCCACCAGCGCCTCGCGCACGTGGTCCCAGCGCCACTCGCGCGACAGCACACCCATCTGGTTCAGCCGGAGGCGCTCGACGGCCATGACCTTGTCGGCGTCGTCTAAAAACTTGGCCTCGACGGGCGAGTCCGGCATAAAGATGTACATGACCAGAGAAAAGGCCACGGTGATGACACCAAAGAACAGAAAGATGATCTGGTACGAGTGCAGCACCTGCGAGTGGATGTGGCCCAGGCCGTAGGTGATGAGCGAGCCAAACATGTTGGTGATGCCGTTCATGGCGTACCAGTAGCTGACGCGCACCGTCTGCTCGCGCCGGCGCCACCACATTTGCGTCACGGCAATAAAGCAGGGCGCTACGCAGGCCTCGAACAGGCCGAGAAAGAACCGCGACGCAATGAGGCCCTGGAAGTTGTGCGCCGCCGTCATCGCGGCCAGCGTGGCGCCCCACAGCAGCACGGCTGTCGAGATGAGCTTGCCCACGGGCACCGTGACCAGCAGCCAAGCCACGGCCGGCTGGGCCACCAGCTGCGCCAAGTACACAATCGAGCCGAGCCACGAGTACTGCGTGCCCACAAGGTTGGTGTCCGTAATCAGACCAAAGACGGAGGCGTACGACAGCGTGGCCTTGTCGAGGGCCTGCAGAAAATAAACGATCAGGATGATGGGCAAGATGACCAAGTCAATCTTGCGCAGGATGCGCTTGTTGTCGGCAGGCGACACAATCACGCGCTCACCGCCGCTAGCCTCACCAATCTTGCGGAGCAGCTCGCCGGCAGCATCACGCCTGTGCGGGCCCTGCGAATCGAGGGGCGGGGCGGGCTCGATGCCGAGCTGGTTGGTGGGCGCCGTTGTACTGGTCGCTGGCTGTGTGGTGTTCTCCACGGCTTCGATGCCGGGCTTTTGCTGAGCCTCGGCCATGGCAGGAGGAGGTGGTAGTGTGAGTTGGGACGTAAGGAAGGGTGTTGCTGCGAGTGGATGAGTAAGGGATGTCTGATGACGAAAGCGGATGATGTCCACAAAACGAAGACGTGGAAACAGACAAGACGAGATGAAGGGGAAAGGAAGGGAAGACAGTAGAAAGATCGACACGAGGAAAACACAAAAGTAAAAATTAAGACCAGATTCAATGGAATAGTCTTTAATTTGTAGGCATTTGGTCGTACGCGCTACGAATGGCACGTTCGCCCCAATGATGGACAAGATGATAACCGGAAACAACGAGACAACCTCAACGGCTCACTCTTGCGGCGTCAAAGCTAGGTCGCAGGCCATCCATCGACAGTAAGAAAATACAACATTCTCCAAAAGATCTTCCGTCCTCCGTGGGACAATGCAGTCCGAGATGGTGTGGGCTGCGGCTTGGTTTCGTGGGATTGGGAGGCGTCTGGGGAATAGATCGCTTGCCGTACGATTTATGGCGCGGAGAAAGATGAGTGAGAAAGACAAAGATGCGGGACTAGAGAGGCGGGCACTAGGCTTCTCACTCTCCACTCACTGGGAACCACGACATCCAGCTGGGGTAAGTTATCTTAACATGGAGTCTGCCTCGGCATTAACATGGCGGAGTAGACCAACTTAAATCAAAGCACAACAAACAACCATGAATACATGCAAGGCGAAAAAAAAAAAAAAAAAAAAAAAAAAAAAAAAAAAGAAAACTTTAACGTTGCAATTCAAATGTTTTTTGACAGCGTCCACATTTTGATACAAGAGGGTGTTGTCAAACGATGGGGAGAAGAATGGTCAAAGAGGGAGATAAACAAAAAGGAGGGTGCCATTGACCGGGACAGTTACAAGCACCTCTATGGAATATGTCGTACTCTAACTTGGTCAGGTGCCGTCAGAGTGTACTTGAAAGGCTCGTAGTTGAAGTTGTTTAAGTTGGTTAAGGTTGGTTGCAGTGATTCAGTCGGCCGCCACCGTTGCAACTATGGAACGTGCGCCACACCCACCACGGCCTAGCCGGCAAAACGCTTAAGCAGCGAGGAACTCGAGATATGGACGAAGGCAAGTGAAGCTGGTTGGGGGTATGTAAACTTCCACCTTTGGACAGCCAATTCACTGTCAAGTAGAAATAATCGAACAAACACTCCGTACAACGCCAGCAAACGAGACTACGCTGGCAAGAGGGGCTGTGAGGGAAGGAGAGAGAAAGAGACAAGCGCAAAAGGCCACCGTTTGGGGGCCATGGGGAGAACGAGGGCACAAACTGTGGAGGATACGGACTTGCCATGGGGATGTTGGCTGCGGAGCCGGGGTGAAGTCGGGGAAAAGAGCAGAAAAAACGAGTTTGGCGAGGATAGGGCATGGACCACAGGAATAGCTAGGAACATCGTCGTCGTCTTGTTTATGCACGTCGGTGTGTCTCGGTGTTCTGGACCGAATAGGAGTGAAAAGAGTCCTGACATAAGTGACTGTCCGAATCAGGCAGGGAACTAAAACAGAAGGATGCTCGTGCATTGCCCGTTTGAGTAAACGACCGTGAAGGGCAAAAGCCAACAAATGGAAGAAGACGACAACACGGAACTCTCCGGTGCAGGTCGTAGGCTTGCCATCGAATTGGGATCAACAACCGGTGGGATCTTGGAACGGTCACGATGAGTACAAGTGTGGCGCGAGACGGGGGAGGATGAGAAGTCGTGAGGGGGAGCGTAGTCCCGAAAAGAAAAGCGCGGACAGGGCTCGCCGGCAGTAGTCGTTGTTTTGTCGGCTGCGCTTCGGATGCGAGGTTGGCCCAGTCGTGGTGACGAACGACGAAAGTTTGAAAAGGGTGAAAGTTTCCGAAAACTAAATAGGGGCTGCGAGGTAGAACATATGTCAAACGGCAATGCCACATCTACCAAAAGAGGAAAGAGGAATCACAACAAACGATGAAGTCTGTCGAGGAAGCTACGCCTGGCCTGGCAGTCGGAATTGTCAACAAAGGAAGTCGCGCTTCGCACACCGAGACGACCGAGATATCATGACACGAGAAATGCTAGAAAGGAGACTGTTACAAGGTCAATGTGACAGGGACACGAACTAGAACCAAGAAAGGCTCCAGGAAGCGACAATGCGGACGATGCTAATGATCGCGGGTTTTTAAAAGGCCACCAATGTGAGGCTGCCGATTGCGTGGATATCTGGGTTATCTGGGCCATCTGAGGTGCCATGGCCCTCGGTCAAGGAACATGAGGCATGGTACAAAGTGGATAAAGCGCGTATTTTGATATTTGACCTGATTCCAGTGAGGATCGTGACGCCGTGACCGTCGTGAGCGCAGAAGTGATTTGCCAAGAGTTAGGCCGATGTGAGTTAGTGGGTTCCCAGGGCCTCGGAAATCTCCGCTAGGCGTGTCCGTCGCTGTCCAGCAGGCGCTAACACACCTAAACCCCAGGGCTACGCCTTGTAAGCCTGGTCCTGGAAAAACACTCACTGTTACTCTCCATCTGCCGCGGGGCGACTGCCGACTTACAGAGCATTCCGATGTTGTATTTCGGACTACCGTACCAAGCGCTAGCACACCAACACCCACTAAAGCCGGCCCAAAACCACTGGACTCGAGTAATTACCGAGTGCACCCAAAACAAGACGAATAAGCTGCCTCATCAATATAGAATACTAAAAAGTGTAAGAGCACGGACGTTCATAGGCGGAAGCATTATCAGGCGATGTACGAAGATGTAAATGAATGCGAGCTGACACGTCTATTATCAACACAGAGGGCCCGCAGTTGAAGAAAGCCAAGCAACAGAACGCCGAGCCGAAAGGCGTGAAATCGTTAATTACTGAGCACACAAAACGGCGGTATCAGCCCTAACGGATACATCTCTGAGCCTCAGAAAGAGCACTGCGCCAAGGCACGGTCAGAAACCCAATCGTGGCCTTGTGATCACATCGAGTTGTGCGTTTTGACCGCCCAAGCACCAGGCAATGGTACAGACTGAATACTGTGTAGACAAGACGCGGGATCATCCACTGTCCAGCTGCCAGCTCCCCGTACGTTGCATTTCCCCTCAAAACCCATCGCTTCACGTGGGGACGCCCAGCCAACCACAGCTCGCCGTCGGGCCTGAACGACCTCCGTCTGGCGTAGAAATGTTTCCTCTTTGGGCGACTCCAACGAACTACTTGGACCAGAAGTCAACGCACTCTGACGCTCAACTCTTGAACTGCGCCTATGTTCAATATCCATGACACACAACAAAGCCAATGGCCAACTAGAGGTGCCGATGAAGGTAGCTGGTTTGCGTGGTCTTCTCCAACAAGACGCAGCGACGCATGCACGGGTTGGAGAGGCTGTTGCAGATGGCTACCGTTTTGTAGAGAAGCGAGCAGAAAGAAAGATGTATTCAACTTGGATTTACTTTTGTTTCTTGGATTTACTTTTGCTCATCGTTCTCGTTTACTCAGGAAAGCAGCTTCCGCCTGGTATGTCCCCAATCCGTCCCTCGTCCTCATGTGCCTCTCTGGCGCTGATGCTTCAGTCCAATGGAGCAACATTTTCCAAGCATTATTTTAAAAAAAAAAAAAAAATGCATGTAAAAAAGCACCAACAAAACTACACACTACACAAACTAAGCACACCATCCCGCGGGATGATCAACAATGGCATCACTAGACCGCGTCGTTTCCAGCCACAATTCGTGCAATCGTTGTGTCATTCTTACTGCTTTCTCCGCTTACGGCCCTTGGAGGCCCAAATGTCTCCTAGAGAGCACGGCTGGTCCTCTCCGCGACCTTCTCCGCTTGTTAGCCACCGTCGTCACGAGCTCATCTACAAGCTTCAACAAATGACCAGCATGCTTGTACACTCCTTGCACTCTAACAACGCCCGTCTCAACGTAGTCAATATTCCCCCATTTAGATTATTTTCTTCTAATGTCCTAACATTTTGGCCGGCCTCGTCCCCTTGTCCGCCCGTCTCACTGCGGCCTCGGCTTCGCTACATCTCGCCCCGTCCCAACGACACATCGCGCCCGTCATCGGTCCACAGGAGCTACCCTGGCTTACACACTGTAATCGTGCCTTTTCCAGGCCTCTTGTCGAGTCTCGTCACGTCTTTTTCTGTAGTCATTGTAGCTTCACCACGATCCCTCCTTCCCTTATAATCGTGCTCTCTGGCGTTCCTTCCGTTTCTGCCATTGCCGGCCCTCGCTCGTTCCATTCGTTCTTTCTTCGTCTTCTCTCCCGTCCCCCCTTTTCTCATCCTTCCCCCTCCCCACGTCGTCACAATGCTGCATCAGTTTGAAAACACTCCCCAGCAGTATGCTCTGCAGGAGCCGGCCTCTGCCAGCGCTCCGTCGGTTGCTCTGCGCTCGACCGAGGCCGTCAACGGCAACCACTTCGATTTTACCTTTGAGGCCGTCCGCCCGGGCGTCTTCCGCACGACCTTTGCCTCCCCAAGCCACCCGCTTCCGCCGTTTCCCAGTGCCAAGCGCGTTGAGACAAGCTCCTCTGTTGAGGTACCCAAGACCTCGCTTGACGCTGCCAGCAAGACCTTCTCCGTCGTCTCCGCCGATGTCACGGCCACCGTTGACTGGTCCGGCGCGCCCATTGTCTCTCTGACCCGTGAGGGCGTCGCCAGGCCGCTGTACCGCGACATGGCGTACCGCTCGTATGTCGTCGACGGCCCCGGCGTGGCCCACTACTCCTCCTACAAGAAGGACGACCTCTACGTCGGCCTCGGCGAAAAGGCCGGCCCCATGAACCTGGCCGGCCGCGGCTTCCAGATCACGGCCAGCGATACCTTTGGCTACGACGCTCTGCTCACCGACCCGCTCTACAAGCACATCCCCCTGCTGCTGCACGTCAGCCGCCCGGCGCCCGGGCAGCCCAGCGGTCCGTGTGTCGGTCTCTTCTCGACGTCGCACAGCCGCGGCACCTGGAACGTCGGCTCCGAGATCGACGGCATGTGGGGCCACTTCAAGGTCTACCGCCAGGCCTACGGCGGCCTCGAGCAGTACCTGCTGGTGGGCCACAGCGTCGCCGAGGTCGTGCGCCTGTACGCCGACGTCGTCGGCTACCCGCTGCTGACGCCGCGCTACATGATGGGCTACGTCAGCGGCGGCATGAAGTACACCATGGAGGACGAGCCGCGCGCCGCCGACGTCATTGTCGGCTTTCTCGACAAGTGCGCCGCCCACGACATCCCCGTGTCGGCCTTCCAGATGAGCTCCGGGTACACCATTGCCGAGCAGCCGCCCAAGACGCGCAACGTCTTCACGTGGAACTACCACCGGTTCCCCGACCCGCGCGCCTTCACGGCCGCCTGCCACAAGCGCGGTGTGCGCCTGCTGGCCAACATCAAGCCGTACGTGCTGGCGAACCACCCGGCGTACCCTGGCCTGAAGGCGGCCAATGCCTTTTTCAAGGACCCCAGCGCCCCCCACAAGGACAAGGACGGCGGCGACGCCCTGCAGACCGGCGTTGCCCGCCTCTGGAGCGCCGGCGGCGGCGAGAGCGGCGAGGGCAGCCACATCGACTTTACGAGCAAGGCGGGCTTCCAGTGGTGGTACGACGGCGCCAAGGCGCTCAAGGGCGTCGGCATCGACGCCATGTGGAACGACAACAACGAGTACAACATTTTCAGCGACGACTGGGAGTGTGCGCTGGAGACGGTGCCCATACCCGCGTCCCTCACGAGCCGCAAGATTGGTCTGTGGGGCCGCGCCATGCACACGGAGCTCATGGGCAAGAGCTCGTACGACGCCTGCGCGGACGCCGTGCCCGACGAGCGCCCGCTGGTGCTGACCCGCTCGGCCACCGCCGGCACCATGCGCTATGCCTGCTCGTCGTGGAGCGGGGACAACGTGACCAGCTGGGACGGCATGCGCGGCGCCAACGCCATGTCTCTGAATGCCGGTGTGTCGCTGCTGCAGTGCTACGGCCACGACATTGGCGGCTTCGAGGGCCCGCAGCCCACGCCCGAGCACCTGGTGCGCTGGGTCCAGATCGGCGTGCACCAGCCGCGCTTTGCCATCAACTGCTACAAGACCTCGGAGGACGACAATCTCGTGGGCGGCGTCATCGAGCCCTGGATGCACCCCACGGCCACGCCCCTCGTGCGCGCCGCCATCAAGCGCCGCTACGAGCTCGTGCCCTACACCTACTCGGGCGCCCTCCAGTCCCACCTGACGGCCCCGCCCTCGATGCGCTGGACCGGCTGGGGCTACGAGACCGACCCCGAAGTCTGGACCGCCCCGCTCCTGGCGGGCGACACCCAGTTCTGGTTCGGCGACGCCCTCCTTGTCGGCGGCGACGGCATCTATGTGCCTGGCTCGTCCGAGGCGCGCGTCTACCTGCCCACGGGCGATGCGACGGCCGCCGGCTTCCTGAACGTCAACGCCCCCCACGAGTGGCTGCCCGCCGGCCAGTGGCACACCATCAGCAGCGCCTGGCACGCGTCCATCCCCGTGCTGGCCCGCTGCGGCAGCGCCGTCCCCGTCGGCCGCAACCTGCCCACGACGAGCCGCAAGAACGGCCGCCACGCCGAGGCCGAGCAGACCGAGTTCCCTAGCATCGCGCTGGACGACTGGCGCGGTGTCGAAGTGTACCCGGCGCCAGCCACTGTCTCGGGCGGGGCCGGTGGTGCCAAAGATTCTACCTTCACAACCACCTGGCTGGAAGACGACGGCATCTCGGCCGAGGGCCGCTCGCCCATCTACGAGATTTCCGTGGCATACACCCCCTCGGCCGGTGCCATCGAGGTCGCCGCCTCGGCCGCCCCCAAGATGGCTTCCACGGCCCAGGGCGACGACGTCCCCAGCTCGTGGGCCCCGCTGTGGCTGTCCAACGGCCTTGACGTCATCCTGCCGGTGGGCGAGGAGCGCGTGGTCAAGGCCGCGGGCGGCCAGGCGGTCGAGGACAAGGGCCGCGACACCAAGGGCCGCCGGGTGTACCACATTGCCGTGAAGGTGTAGTTGCATCGAAAAAGGAAGACGTCAAAATCAAGGGAAAAAATTCAGACGGGTAGAATCATAGACTTGCTTTTTCGGCTATGTACAAAGAAGAAATGTATACAATTAATGGAGCATAAATAACGCCCTACAAAGCGTAGACGGCCAAAACGGCTACGCCACCGATCCCGAGCAGGGCCAGGGTTGCGCGTGTACCGGCAGGCGGTGCTGCCCCGGCCGCTGGTGTGTTTTTGCTACCATCGGTGGCTTTTGCGGCACCGCTGCTCGTATGTGTTGGCGAGCCCGTCGAGGTGGCGTCGGCCAACAGCCCGGCAATCTCCGTCGACATCACCGACAATACCGTCGACGCAGCCGTCGTCGCTTGTGCACAGATACCCGGCGCCAGCGACTTGACGGCGTTCAGGTCGGAACTGTTGCAGCTGTTGCCTGGCCCCAAGAGAATGCAGGCGCCGAGCTGGGCCGCCAGGGCCGAGGCGCCCGAGCCGGAGCCCGAGGCGCTACGGCAGACGCATGTGAGGTCGGTGGCGGCACAGCCGAGGTCGGTGGAGGCGCGGGCCAAGCAGGCGAGGGCGCACGGCGGGATCTGGGCGAGGAGGTCGGGGAGGGTTGTGGCGGTGGTGGATGTTGTTGTCGTTGGTGCCGTTGACAATGACAGTGATGATGAAGCTGCTGATGCCACGGAAGCAAAGACGATGGGTATGGAGAGCCTCATTTTGAGGAGGCCGCTGTGATGTAGTGATTACTATGAGAAGCCTCTCGAGCGTGAAGGCCGAATGTCGTAATTAAAAATAAGTAAACATAAGTAGGCGTGTGTAGAAGGTGTATAAGAAATTAAGTTGTTGCGGCTGATATGCCAAAGGCTTGCTGGATGAAGCGTATCATATGAATGAAAAAAAAAAAAATGAAAAGAAAAGACCCAGCTCGATGAGAACGTCAAAATGGCGGCAGGAATATTAAAAAATAAAAACATAAAGGGTCACAAAGAAGAAAATATAGCCCCCTTTCGGGAAGAGTCAAGATGCTATACGATGAATGAGAATGAAATAAATTCAGTTAAAAGCAAAGGAAAATGACGTGAAAGTGAACTCAATAAAAATGATAAAGAAACCGACACATTCGAGAACGAATAAGATAACGACGCCCGTCAGCCGTAAAGCACGTCTTGGGGGTCGCGACGAATACGCGACCTGGTGGTGGAAAAGCCACGCAGGATGACAAGGCGTAATGATGCAGGACGATGGCCAGATAAGGCAATGCAGAGGGGACAAAGGAACAGTAGAAAAATAAGACCCGTGCCAAAAGAAGTCTAAACAGCAACAGCACCAGGAGCTGAAAATAGATGCTGGCTCAGCCTCGCTCCCGAACAAAAATCGAAAAAGGAAAAATGGTGTAAGAGGCAAGGTGGGATAGTGAGGAAGAGGAAAAAAGAAAGAGAAGGAGAAAGATCAGTTAAAAGCCAATTGAAAGGGAAGAGACTTTGACACAATAAAGAAAACAGAAAAATATAGGGATACAAAAATACAGGAATACAAGAACAGCATCCCCTCTTCTTCCGCTCTCTCTCTACACCACACCTTCGCAGAATCTCACGCTGGCGTACTCCTCGCCTGTCGCCTCTCGCTCTCTGCATTGCCTTCCTTCCAAAAACGGGACGGGATCTTCTGCCGGCTGCCATGAGTAGAAAAACAGGAAAAGCATCAACGATACAGCGCGGCGATGCAACAGTGTTTCTTGATTTTGCCTCGTTGCACTGCACTACCCTTTCCTTATCTGCCTTGCTCCCTCTCTCGCCCGCTCCCTCTCTCGCCCTTCCTCCGTTCCCCAGGCGTGCGTCATCTTGACGGCGCAGTAGATCGGGATCGCGCCACTTAAAACACGCCGTCAGGTAGCTCTCTCGTTTTATCTATATTTCTGTGCTTCCGCTCCGACTTCTGAAACGAGGTCGCATAGTCCGCCGAGCCCGTCATTCGCCATAGAGTACGTATGCTAGGCTATTTATTCATCAATCTCCAGGCGTTCGTGAACCACTTGCGCAACCTTTCTTGACTATTTCATGGGAAATACGAAAAACAAAACAGGAAAAAAGAGAAGATCGCCAACAACGGACATCCGGCATAGGAAACATCTTCCTTTCCCATGACGGCCCTTTTCTCGCTCTATTGAAAATCACAAAATTCCAAGCAACACGACCACATCAAACAAACAGACTGCTCCGGCAAACATTACTCCGGCAAACATTACTCCGACAAACAGCTTCAATCCCCCCCCTCTCCCCCTTTTCACTCCTACCATCGTTTGTACACGTCTCGCGTGATGTTCACCACCGTAAAGAACCACCGGCTGCTCTCGGACAGGTGCACGATGCGGTTGCCGACCTGCCGCCAATTGACCTGCCGCGTCACCAGCGCCGCTTTCACAAACAAATCCGAGCTGGCGCCAACCGCCAGAAGTGCGGCGCCGGCGACGACCAGTATCGTGCGGGCCGTCGCCGACAGAGTCGGGGCGTCAAAGATGAGCCACCTAACAGTTAGACTAGAAAAACAACGGCGAAGCAAAGCACAAGCCATCACAAGACAACCCACTTGGAAGGCTGTCCAAGGCCAACACCGACCAATGCGCTCAGCGGAATCTTGCCGTCACTGGAAGCCATGACAAACGATGCAAGGGATCGGCGTATAGAGATTTGCTGTTTACACAGCATACATTTGGTTTCCGCACATCAATGTACAGAGATGGCACACGCTGGAACCACTGCACAGCGTCGCCAGGCAGCAGCCGCTCACCGCCCTGGTCTTTTATCTGGTGATACTGCGCATACTGCACCGTTCACGCTCAGACATGTCTGGACACCTGCAGCGAAAGGAAACAGCCCCAATGACAAACCGTTGACGAGACGCTCCTGGCCCCCACAGATCCTCAGCAATCACACCTGCATGTCGCCTGCACGCACTGACAGCTCGTCGTTCGGTAGACCCGCCCCAGCTCATTCTGCATACACTTTACCCTGGCGAGCCTGGTTTCCTCTCGAGCCTCTCTCAGAAACAACATCTGCCGACGCGTCGTTGGACCGTATCGCCATGTAAACTCGCGAACTGGTGAGGCCAAACCTTGTTGACTTTTGGCGTCAAGTGAGGAAAGCCAAGTACAGTAGATGCACTGTATGGATACTGTATTAGAGCGGCCTCCGCCTGTCGCCACTGGCAATCCTGACGTAATCAAACTAGCAAACTCTGAACTCGCTCTGCGCCGGGATTAGTCATTTGACCTGTCCTGGCCAAACAGGTGTCCCACCTTTAGTAACGGAAAGGCCGCCTCGCCCACTCTGATTGGCTGCAGCGTGCAGCTTAGCCTAGCAACCGCGTTGTTTGCCTATGGCCGGCCCTGTTGCTATGACGCATGAGCAAAAGGCCTGCAAATGAGGGGCAAAACTGGAAGCCGTTAGGTGGGAGCACCTGCCAAATTAAAATAAATAAGAGGGTCGGTGCCGTCCACGACACTGCTCCCTGTTCGGGAAAGAACCACCACCCACTTCGTCCCCACAAGCAAAAGTAAATAAGGGAAGGAGCGACCAAAAATTATTGTGATTGTAAAGTAAAATAAACAATAATTAAAAATTGGTCGAACGGGGGCATCGTGCAAACAGGCTTTGCTGTCCTTTTTCTCTGCTTTTGGTCTCTACTTTGTTCTCTACTTCTGTCTCTCCCACCCTCTGTCTGCCTCTTGCAATCAAGGCTGCGCGCGCGTGGCCCCTCCAATCCAAGACAAGATAGGGCCATTCGTCGTCATTGTCCCGCCCTTCGCCCTTTCCTCTTTGACTGGCGCTCCTGCCAAACGGCCAGCCTTTACTTAGCCTTGACGCAAACCACATTTCATTCACATCTCCATTCTTCATCCATCTCCTTTTTTGGGGTGCGTTCTCTCTTGCACTCTCGTTTCGTCACTTTAGGCTTCAGGCATATCGCAACCCTGCTCTCGAAACGCATCTCACTGCTTTCCACGACCTCCCTTCCTCCCGTCCCCGTGCCTGCACTGCACCGCGGGCCCCTCCCAAAGCATGTTTGTGCTACGGAATGGTAAGTCTTCTTTTTTTTGCTCCTTCTTGCATCTTCTCACTCCCTAATACGATACTGACCATCGTCTCGCCACAGCTGCCAAACTCCTCTTCGGCTCGGGCAGCCAAGAGTCCATGATCGAACTGCCCCAGGGCCAGCTCTACCTCGTCCGCCCCCTCTCCCCCAAGGGCTACTCCGAACTGCTCTTCAAAGACGCCGCCGCCCGCATCCGCCGCACCGCCCAGGACTTCCAGTACCAGCTCGTCGTCCAGCGCGTCTACGAGGAAGGCGAGGCCGAGCTGCTCGCCGACGAAGAGGGTGAAGACGCCGAGACAGATCCGCTCGCCGCCGAGCGCGACGAAAAGACCTTTTTGCTCGACGAGGCCCTCGAGTTCCGCGTCGAGAAGCGCGACGAGGACAGTGCCGAGCACGTCCTGTGCTGGCGCGACCTGACGGGCGACGCCGGCGACGTCTACGAGTTTGTGTGCGACCGCAGCACCACCCACGCCGGCCTCGTTCACCAGTTTGAGCTCGCCGCCAAGCAGTGCCAGTACGAGCGCAAGTACCGCAAGCCCTACACCACCGCCACCGACGAGGACCTGCTGCAGTTCGAGTTTGCCGGCAAGCTGATCCCGCCCGCGAGCCCGCTGCACAGCCCCTCGCTGGCCCGCTCCATTGCCTCGACCGACTCGATGCTCGCAGGTGCCGGTGTCGGCACCACTGTGATCGACACGCCGACCAAGGCGCCTTCCAAATCCAAGACGGCCGTGCCAGCAGCAACCCCCGCGGCACCACCAGCCGATCCGGCGGAGACGTCGGCTGGCACGGCCGCCGCGGCGCTCAAGACCAAGGTCGGCGACGCGCCCGAGGCCAAGGAGATTTTGGCCGCCGAGCTCGCCGAGCTGCACTTTTTCGACTTCCCCTCGGGCTCGTTTGTGCTGCAGGACGCGTCGGTCACTGCCATTGTCAGCGAGACCGGCAACTGGCAGTACTGGCTGCAGGTCGCGAGCAAGGACCGCGACTGGCTGGGCGTGCCCGTGGTGGCCGACATCAACCCGGTCTTCAACTTTGAGTTCCTCAGCTTCATCTTCAACCAGTTCACCGCCGACGGCACCGCCTACTCGTGGCTGCTGCGCTTCAAGGACCAGGCGACACTCGAGCGGTTCCAGGAGGGCTATCCCCTGTGTGCCTTGTGGGAGCAGCTCAACGAGGTCAAGTGGTCCAAGATCAAGGACAAGGAGCGCGACTATGTCGCCGACGCCTTTGCTGACCTGGCCATGACGGACGTTCCCGAAGACGAGGAGGACGAGGAAGAGGAAGAGGAGGCGTCTCACACGGAAGAAGAGGACGAGGATGAGGACGCGGACGCCAACCGGCCAAGGAGCGAGCACTACGACACTGACGAGGAGGCCGACGACGTGGACCATCAGCCCCGCGACAAGTCCACCAACAAGTCGCTCGCCGTTGGCTACAAGCACGACCGCTCCTTCGTCGTGCGCGGCTCGCAGATTGGTGTCTTCAAGCACACGCCCCAGAACCAGCTCGAGTTCTCCACCAACATCTCCAAGATCGAGACGCCCGGCGGCAAGCTGTTCAGCCCCAAGAAGGTCATGCTGCACAACGAGGATCGCAACATGATCCTGCAAAATGACACCGACCCCAACAAGTTGTACCGCATGGATCTCGAGTACGGCAAGGTTGTCGACGAGTGGAACGTCCATGAGGACATTCCGGTTGTGACGTTCGCGCCCGAGAACAAGTTTGCCCAGATGACGCACGAGCCCACGTTCCTCGGTGTGTCGCACAACGCCCTGTACCGCGTCGACCCGCGTCTCGCCGGCTCCAAGCTGGTGGACTCGGAGCTCAAGCAGTACGTCTCCAAGAACGACTTCTCGGCGCTTGCCACCACGGGCAAGGGCCACATTGCCGTTGCCTCCAACAAGGGCGACATCCGCTTGTTTGATCGGCTCGGCATCAACGCCAAGACCCACATTCCCGCCCTTGGCGAGCCCATTCTGGGTTTGGACGTCTCGGCCGACGGCCGCTGGATCCTGGGTACCTGCCGCACCTACCTGCTGCTCATTGACGCGCTGCAGTCGAGCGGCAAGAACGAGGGCCGCCTTGGCTTTGAGAAGCCGTTTGCCGCCGACAGCAAGCCACAGCCGCGCCGCCTGGCCCTGACACCGGAGCACGTCGCCCAGTTCGCCCACGAGACCGGCAAGGGCGTCACCTTTACGCCCGCCAAGTTCAACACGGGCGAGGGCGCCGAAGAGACCAGCATCATCACCGCCACGGGCCCCTATGTCATTGAGTGGAGCCTCAAGAAGGTCCTGCGCGGCAGCAAGGCCCCCTACATGATCAAGCGCTACCGCGACGACGTCAAGGCCGACGACTTCCAGTACGGCACCGACAAGAACATCATCATGGCCCTGCCTCACGAAGTCAACATGGTCGACAACAAGTCGCTCAAGCGGCCCACGCGCGAAAGCATCGCCGGCGCGGCTCTCGCCGGCGCCGGCGGCAGCGGCGGTCGGCGGAGCGGCGGCAGCCGCATCTCGGGCGTCAACAGCGGGCGCTACAAGCTGGGCAAGGACGACGTTGTGGACTCGCCTTACTAGGTTGAGTAGGGTCGAAGCATGCTCTTGGGTGGGATTTTTGGGCGTTTCGGAATGCGTTTTATGGTCTCGTCAATTTCTTGTCTATGTCGTTGATTCTTTACGTTGTGTTTGATGGTTGTTGCTACAGGTCTGCCTTTGTCGATCTTTTCTGCCATTCCCCCGTTTCGCTTCGTTTTCGATTTAGTCGGACCCTATTTTGTATCTTTTGTTTTTATCTGCCTTTCTTTGATACCTCAGTTTCGAATAATATAAAAATTAAAAAAAAAAGTGCCGTGATTCCTTTGTTTCGTTTCTACTTATACCACAGGAGATAGAGTATGTATACCAATGAAATTTTCTAACACAAAATGAAACCATCGTAGCGCGTGTCACGAACTAGATAAATGCGGTTCGTATATTTTGAGGCTTGGTCGCCTTGGACGGCAAGATGAAACTATAAAAATGTAATACACTTGCAATGAAAGTATGAAAAAACAAAGCAAAAGCAGCAATATCCACATGCAAACGCCCGCAGCTTGTCGTTGTTGTTTCCGTCGTTCGCTTGTGTGTTGTGTATGATGAGAGATGCCGTCCTCGCAAAACAAGCAACCAAACTAACAAGAACAAAAACAAGAACAACAATCAAAAAGAAATCAAAATCAAAATACCAGAGAGACACCCCATTCGTTTCATCCTAATAACGTTGTCCCAAATTCTGTGTCCGTCATCCTCACGCTTTTTCCTCGTTTGTTTCTTTCTCGAATCGCTTCCATTACGCCCTTACTGATCCCCCGACTTGACGGCCCGCAGCTCCGACACAAAGCTTTGGCCCCACCACTGGCTCGTGTACTGGTAGACGTACCGCCGCAGCTTCTGGAAGTTGCCGTCCCGCTGCTCGGCCGGCATCGTCACCGCCGTGTAGATGGCCTTGGCCACGTCCTCGGTGTTCCACGGGTTGATGATGAGCGACCCGTTGAGGCTCTGCGCAGCGCCGGCAAACTCGGACAGGATCAGCACGCCGTGGCGGTCGTTTTGCGCCGCCACGTACTCGTAGGACACGAGGTTCATGCCGTCGCGCGTCGACGTCACCAGGCACACGTCCGACACCGCGTACAGCGCCGTCATCTCCTCGAAGCTCACGCTGTGGTACAGCCAGTGGATGGGCATGTACTCGACGGTGCCAAACTTGCCGTTGATGCGGCCGACCAGCTCGTTGGTCTCCTTCCAGAGGTCGCGGTACTCGTCGACGTCCTGCCGCGAGGGCACGGCCACCTGGACGAGCACAATCTTGCCGACCCACTCGGGGTGCTCGGTCAAAAAGAGCTCAAACGAGTGCAGCTTCTGCGGCATGCCCTTGATGTAGTCGAGGCGGTCGACGCCGACGACGACGCTGACACCGGCAAACTTCTTCTCGAGCTGCTGGATGCGGTCGAGCACTTTGGGGTTCTGGAAGGCATCTTCAAACTTGGTGACGTCGATGCCAATGGGGAAGGCGCCGACGGTGACAAAGCGGCCGTTCAGCTCGGCGCCGTTGGGTAGCGTGTTGACGCCCAGGATGCGTGAGCAGCTGCTCAAAAAGTGGCGCGCGTAGTCGTAGGTGTGGAAGCCGACAAGGTCGCAGGACAGCAGGCTCTTGAGGATGCCCTCGCGCACGGGCACGGGCAGGATGCGGAACATCTCGGACGAGGGGAAGGGCGTGTGCAAAAAGAAGCCGATGCGGACGTTCTTGCGCTCGGGGCCCAGCTCCTCGCGCAGCATCTGCGGCAGGACAAAGTGGTGGTAGTCGTGGACCCACACAATGTCGCCGTCCTGCACGTTCTGGGCCATGGTCTTGGCAAACTCGCGGTTGACGCGGTTGTAGGCCTGCCACGACAGCTCGTCAAACGTCACGTCCGACGGGTGGTAGTGCAGCAGCGGCCACAGGATGGAGTTGGAGAAGCCGTTGTAGTGGCGGTCGATGTCGTCCTTTGACAGGAAGACGGGCACGGCAGAGAAGTCCTTGGCGAGCGAGTCGATCATGGGCTTGCGCTCCTGCTCCGGCACCTCGAGGCCGGGCCAGCCGTACCAGGTAAAGTTGACCTGCTTGGCCATGCCCATGATGCCGGTGACAAGACCACCCGAGCTCATAGAGAAGTCGTACTTGCCATCGCCCTGGCGCTTCACCGTGAGGGGCAGGCGGTTGGATACGAGGATCAGGTTGGCCTTGCTGCCGTCGTCGGGCTTCTTGGAAGGGTCCATGGCAGAGGCTGCGGCGGTTGTTGATTCGATCGGCGGTTGTGTTGGCTGCGTGGGCCCCGTAACTTCAACGTCTTCGTCGGCGGCGGCCGTGGCGGAACCGGTGCGCTGTCGGGTTCGCGGAGGCTGCACGGGGGATGAAGAAAAGGCAGTGTCGGCGAACGGGCTGCTGTCGTTGTCGGTTCGAGGATGCTTGGGAGGCATCACGATGTCCTAGGCCCAAGCCAAAAGACAGTTAGTGGGCTGCTTAGGCTCTTTTATAACTGGCACGGATTATTGTGACCACCCCAGAAAAAAGCAGCCGGCCAGCAAAGGGCTAAACAAGCGCAGGAAACGTGCTCCGTAAGTCCACTCGCAAAGCTCCAAAAGCGGCACCAGCCAAGCCAAGCTTGCTATTGGGCAGTTCTGGGCGGATTGGGTCGATTTGGGGCGATTTGGATGCTTTTGGTTCCCGTTTTTGGGCGGGGCTTCGTGGCGTGTAAGACACGGCTTTGCCTCTTTGCTTGCTCGCTGCGTGCAGACGGCGCACTCCCGGTGCTATGCATAGAAGGGCCGCAGTGGGCTGGGGGTGCTGCAGATCATAAGCGCGGGCATCAGCTGCATGTCAGGGCGGCATAGAATTCACGATATTTTTTTCTGATTATGAGGTGTTTACGGCTTCTCCTATTTTTGGCTCTACTTTGACCGCTGGGAAGGAAGGGCACACGTACAAAGTAACGAACCCGACAAAGGCAGGAGCGAAGGGAGGAATGGCTTTGTGTGGGCAGATACTACGAGGCGGGGCAAAGGGCCGAACACAAGGAGCAGAACTGAGCAGCGACAAAAAGAACGCTGCACGAAGCGCTCGCGCCCCACCAACGACGTAATACGTTTTTCTACCACGCAGCACAGAAACGCCCAAGCGGCAAGACCTCTGCATCGTTCCTGCCCGGTCTCGACCATTCCACTGCTATCAAATTGTGCACGGAAGGCGCGATGGGTGAATAGTAGTCTCCTGTCAAATTAGCTTGGCAGCAGTGATTTGTGGCCGTTTCTCTGACGGCGAGGCATCGGCATCTCTTGGCCACACAACGCCCCGTCGTTGCACACCCTCTCGCGATGAAAAGCTAAGGGCGCGATTTTACGTTGGCATTTTTCCACCGTATTTAGTCACTTTGCTCCTGCCGTCCTCTCACTGTATATTCCTCTCGTCTGCCGCTTGGATGTCACGATAAATTCTCGGGCATTGTTTTCGGCCTGTTCCATCGCACCTTCTCCCGCCGGTGATTTGCTCGCGCTCACTCTTTCCGGCTTTGGTTTCCGCTGTGCCTTCCCTTCGCCCCAGCTTCGGTCCCTCCTTCATTCTTTCCCCATCATATGTTGTATCGAAGACTAGGCCCGGGCCTTGCTTTCCTATTTCGATGGCATGCAGGGGAACTGTAGCCATAGAGCTTCTGCGTGCCTATTTATGGCGTAGCTCAACAAATCGCTCACGACATGCTATCTGTCCAGTACAGCACTTGGCATGAGAGCTTCAATTGTGTTTTTTTTTAAAAAAAATAAATAAATAAATAAATAAGATCATACATATTTAAGAACAGTGCAAAAGTCAGGTATCTTGATTATGAAATCAAGCAAAAGGTTACAAAATTTCATCAATGACATGAGAAGGTATAATATATAACCGAAAAGAACAACGAACAGGTCATTTTTCAAGCACCTCTCCTCCCGCACATGCGCCCGTCATTTTCATCCAATCGGATCTGCACATGGGCAATGAACTGAAGTAGGCTTTCGCAACCGGTTTTGAGTCGCCACGACTCAGCGCGAGACATTGTCTTCGTCAAAGATATTCACGTGACACATCACGTGAAACATATGATTATGTAATAATTTAGCGTGTTAACGGCGCGATCCTTTGTTGCATTTGACCCAAACAAACCTTGAGCTTGAAGCTTCACCAAAAGCTGGGCCTCGTGCATTCTGTCTCTCGGGACTCGATCGACAGCACCCCAACACGATCATTACTAGTCCCCTAGACGACGTACCAGATTTGTTCGAGAGACCACGATAATTATATTGCTTTTGTGTATTTATTCTCGACTTGCAGCGCCCAGAGCTGCTTCCACGACTACATCCCAACATTTATTTGACTTTTACCCTCCAAACACCGTTGCATTCCCGCTGCGCCTGACCTCCCGACAATGGCGGTCTTCGGACAGCGTGTGCGGCAGACGCCTCACAATGTTCAGTGCCTGTTTGTTTTAACCAACGTCCCTTTTTTACCCCTTGCGTCGAGGCAGTTGTTGCTAACCTCGTTGCTCGCCCCCAACACAGATACGACCTCGACAGGCGCGTCTACTGCGTCAAGACCTACCCCGTCCTCTCGCCTCAGGGTGCCAACATTGTCATCTGCGGCCACGAAAATGGCGTTTCGATTGTCTGGCGTGGCGGCCGGCGTCTCAAGGATGTGCGGAAGCCTGACCCAAAGCCGGCTGCGGCAGCCAACGCCGACTCAGTGATGATTATCGACTCCGACGACGACGACGAAGACGCCGCGAAAGCCTCGTCCGCGACGTCTGCGGCGAACTTTGTCGACAAGCCCGTGTTTGAGGACGCGCCCGCCGACACAAACGCAGGCGGGTTTGCCGAGGTCGTGCAGACACTGGATCTGGCCCTGAACCAGGCCGTCCTCAGCGTGGCTGTTCTGCCCATTGCACCCTGTGCAGCCAAGGAGGCCGAGCCCAGCATTCTCCAGGAGACGATGGTGTTTGCCATTACGTGCCGTGCGACAGCCGACGTGTTTGTCGTCACGCTGCCCCTGACACCGCCCTCCAATGAGAGCAAGAACCGGCCGCAGCTGCGGACGAACCTGGTCGCCGGCAACTTGGGCCGCGGCGCGTTTGGCGATGTGCTCATTCCTCTTGGCGGCCAGAACCGGCGTGGCGAGGGCGTGGCGATCACTCTGGCCAAGCAAAAGACGGCACCGGCGCCTGCACCGTCGTCTGGCGCTGCATCCCGTTCCGCATCCGCAGCCACCACGCCGCCGGCGCGCGTGATTGTGGCGGTTCATGCACGCGAAGCATCCGGTACGCTGCGGCTTTGGGACGTCACGGTGGGCGCCAAGCGTGCGGCTTCAGAGCGGCCGATCGAGCCTTTCCAGACCGAGTACCTGCCCAGCCCTCTCACGAGCGTGGCCTTTAACCCGACGCACCCGACGCAGCTTCTTGCTGTCGACCCGCAGCGCGCCGTGCGCATCTACGACTACACCATCCCTGCGATCCCTTTGGACGACATGGCCGAGGGTTCCTACCCGCCGCAAGGCTCGTGGCTGCTGTCCCTGTACCCGCCCTTTGCCCGTGGCGGGCTCACACACACTGCGCGCAAGCCAGTTGTGGCCGCTTCGTGGATCGCACACGGCCATGCCATTCTCGCCCTGCTGGCCGATGGCCAGTGGGGTGTCTGGGACATTGACCGTGCAAGCTCCGGCAGCGGACGTGGGGGCGTGTTCGGCGCAGGGTCCGCGACACCGGGCATCCGCGGCGCGGCTCTGGCCAACTTTACCATCTCCGGTCAGATTGAGGGCACGACGCCGCTGCGGAATCCTGCGACCAGCGCCCGGAAGTCGACCGAGGGCGACTTTGTGCCCATGACACCGTACACCCGCCGCGATGCCCTCGCCGCGTCGTTTGCTGGCGGTGTCGAGCGGCTTGTGGCCATCCCCGGCGGCGTGGAGGTTGTGCAGCAGCGCTCGCTCCGTGGCACGGCTGCGGGAACGGAGACGGCTGTGCTGTGGCTGGGCGGCGCGGACTACACAGTGGCCGTCATCCCCGATGTATCCCGGTTCTGGGACGCGCAGCTGCGGCGGTCGTCGGGCGGCGGCGTCAACCTCTTCAGCGGTGCTCGGCCGACCCGCATGGTCCGCGTCCACGACCTCGGCGCCAGTCTGCAGAGCGAGCGGTGCTGTGGCGCCGTGGCTGTGTCATGGCCTTCGCTGCCAACGCTGCCAACGCAGCCAACGCAGCACAGAACCTCTGGGGTCCACGGTGGCGATGAAGACGAGGATGACGATGACAAAGACAACGAGGCAGCGACAAATACAAATGGCGGCCAGTCGATTGAGGTGCTCGTCCAGGGCGAGACCCGCCTGGTCGCGACCCGCGAGAGCGGCGAAGACGCCTATGCTGGTGGCTTGACAACACGTCTGCTGGCAGCCTCGGCCCGCCGGCGGAATGTGGGCGACACCGTGACAAGCGCCATTCTCGTCGAGCCGCGCACGCGCAAGCCCGGCACGGTCAAGTTTGATCTGGACGCGAACCAGCTCCGGCAGCAGCAGAGTCTCCTGCGTGGCGGCAGCAACAGCCAGCGCGGCAAGCTGGGCCCCTCGGCCTCTGGTGCCGGCGCGACGCCACGCCGTGCGCCGCTGACACGCTCGCTCTTTGAGTCACCTTCACGCTCTGGCCCAGCAGGCAACAACAACGGCGGCGGCGGCGACGACGCTGCCGACGCCGCCGACGATGCCGATAATGCGCTGGCGCTGACGCCGCAGCGGACACAGCGGTCGTTGTTTGACGAGAACGAGGTCACGCTGACGCAGAGCATGATGCGCCCGCCGCCGCGCAACGTCAAGCCCGACCTGACGTTTGCGGGCGGCCTCGAGGACGCAGCCAACGCGCTCGACGACGAAGAGACGGTGCAGGACCGCAACGTCGAGGAAGAGATGCTCGACATTATGGAGATTGACCGGGCGCTCGAGTCGATGGAAGGCCGCCGCGACGGTGGTGTTCGCAACGTCTTTTTCGAGGGCGCCTAGGGCTGCCCTCCAACGGGCGGCTGGCGGCCGCGGCGGCGGCCGGTGAGCCGCGAACATGCCTACGCGTTTCTGCGTGGCGGCGCGGCGCAAAAACGCGACAGGGACCTTGGCCATGTCGATGACGTTCTATAGGAGGATACCCGAGGCACGAAGAGAGATTATACGACGGCGTTTGGGGATGACGGAAACGAGGCGGACAACGCGATCGAGAAGAAGATGAATACGGACAAGCAGACAGAGAAACAGACGGACCACCTGGAGGACTCCCTCGAGGCCTTGAAGAAGAGATTGGCAACTGCAACCCAGGTTCTGAACGAAACGGCGGCCGAAGTTTCGCAGCTGGAATCGGATCTGCAGCGAATGAAGCAACAGCAGGAGGAAAGCGAGCGCATTAAAGCATCGGTGCGAAAGGTCCCAGACTACTCAGACAACGTGGGCCTCGCGGACATGGACCGACTCTTCCGTATCGACAGCCGGCGCATCAAAGCCGACGTGGACCGGTTGGAAGCGCTCCGCCGTCACGCGCATGCCGTGCGGCAAGATTTCCACGCCCGCTTTTACGTTGCCGATGTGCTGCGGAACGAGGATCAGAAGCGCCTACGCCGGCACCAAGGCCCCCTCAAGATGTTTGGCGACGACATCCAGCGGATGCCACGGCCACCGCCCTTGGTCCGCACGCACAACCCCGTCTACATCATGCGCGGGAGAAAGTCGTTTGTCCACCACACCCGCCGGGCGGATGCACGCTGCCGCATGCCGGCCAACCGACGCCTGCACAACCACGCGGTGACCAGTCGCAGTCTCCTCGTGCACGGCACAGAACCGTTCCTTCGGCACCTTCGCGCGTGGAACATGTGGAAGGCGACGCAGGAGCAAAACGCCACGAAGGCGCAGCAAGCAGCGGCAGCGGCAGCGGCAGCGGCAGCAGCAGCGTTGGGGCCGAGCGAGACGGACTGCGACGGGGCGCAAGGCTTGTATGTGCTCGACAAAGGGCCCTCGCCAATGACAACCACGGTCCGGGACGGCACCGGCGACGACGGCAACAAACAGGCGTATTTCGATCGCTACGGCTATCCCACCCGAACGCCCCGGGGACGCCTTCCCCGTCTGCCGTCCTGCTGCGACCAGCCTCCGGCCACGCTCGATGACGACGACGACCGCTTGATGCGAGCCGACACTCCGGCCCCCTTGCCTGTCTACCAGGACTGATGCCATGCCGGCCGTCCTTCTTGTCGTTCCTAGTTTTGTTTTCTGTTTTCATCACGTCGTTTCCTACGTTGTCTTGTTGCTTCTTTTGTTTCTCCCCTTGCCGTCTGTCATTGTTTTCCCACACAGAGTATTGATACTGAGATACACCGAACTAGCTCTCCGCGACAGACACTAAAATAGCGAGTTTATTTTCCTTCTTCAAAGGGGTTGAGTGAGAGACGAGGCCGGTCACCAGGCACGCGTCGTCTTTCCAACACCCGTGATTGTTTTGCCAATATGTCCACCTCTTTGGATCTGTCCCCTTCTTCTCCCCCCTCCCATCCCCTTTCCGCACGGCATGGTGGAGCACAAGGCTTTAAACTTGTCCATCCTTGTTCCAGGCTCTGTATTCCGAGCGGTACATCAATCCCAGCCCGGGGCAAAATCAAACAATGAAGGACGAGGTTGCGCCGTGAGGGGAGACGGGGGGCGTTTGGTCATCCGACGCCGTCCGATCGCCCTCCCCGCAGCCTCACTACGTCTTTCCCGCCCGGGGCGACGCGCTTTGTTTTTGCAGAACGGCCTTCCCTTTGTTGGGATGACCGTTTGTGCAAAATAAACAACCACTTTTGACCAAATGGCCTCCCCGTCTTCGTTTCTCTCCATGGAGACGGGGCGACAGCGCGTCGGTACATTCGTCCCCATCGCCAGACACGACGGACAAAGTGATGACGTGTAACCACGTGGAGTGCCCCTAGAGTGCAAAGAGAGTGTATCAACGTGTTGAGCGGACAACTGACCTCGCGATTGGGTCACGAGGCCGGCTGTGGCATGCGCAGCTGTTTTTTTCTTGTACTTTCTTTCCACGCCCCAGTGTACGGAGCTTCGTGCCAGTTAGTGCTCCATTGTTGACAGTGCCGTACCTGCGGGTCGATGAGAGTCTAGACGCTCCTCTCTCCAGCCCCAGAACGGGCACTTGCGGTCGTACCTAAGGCATCAACGTCAACTGAATGCGGGTAAGCCCAACACACCACAATACGTAGCGTAATACGGAGTAATTGCGGCAAATCGGATGGGATGGAGACGGTCGGTCAAGCGTCAGTTTACTTTTGGTGTTCGCGTTGTTTCGTTTCCGTATTTTACTCTCTATTTTTGTTGCGTTTTTGGTGGCTCGGTGCCTGAGCATAAGCTTGGCCCAACGTTATGCACGTCTGCACAGGACTTGTCCAGGTCGGTTCCTGCATATTCAGATGCAAGGTGGAGTTGGCCCTGCATATGCGTGTCTTGCACTTCGGCCTCCATATGTTAAATGAACGTGGCGAGGCGGTAGGCATCTCCATGCTGCTGTCTGAACAACCTTGCTTTTCTCCCTGCTTATCCTGGTCATCCGATGTCTGCAGGCCATCAAGCCTTTCTGGTTCGTGGCATTCATCAGCCCGAGAGACTATGTCGTACCGCGTCTTGACACGTCGTACAACATAGAGTCAAGCCAGATCGAGGACACGTGACAAACACTTTTCCCTTGTGCCCCAAATACGAGATGCGTGGCCGCCAAGCAAGCCAAAAGTAAAGCCTCTGGTGTTCTAGAGCTCACGGCCGTGCCTGGGCCAAGAATTTGGGCCGCCAAAAAAGAAGGGGAAAAAATGGACAGAAAGGAAGGCCAATGAAAAGAAACAGGCGGTGCCCACCGACCATAAAAAAGACGGGGAGACCAATGCACCCTGCGTGGCCGATGCGTGACCTCGTGGAGTCTTTTTGTTTCTCCGTCTGGTTTTGTCCGTTTTGTCTTTCGTCTTTCGCCTCTCTCCTTTCTGAATGTCTCGCCGTGTCTCTCATATGACAAGCATCTTGACCCAGTTCGTATCTTACCCTTTCCACTTCAGCTCTGCCTCAGCATGGGTGCGGCCCGGTTTTCTGGTACTTTTTCAATGTCGTCTGGTACAAGTCACTATTTGTACTCGCTGTGTTTTGCTCCTCCAGACCCAAAATAAACGGCCCTGGACATCGCAAGGCAGACTTTGACTTGTATACCAGGTAGGGACAGAGTCTTCACCTCAATGATTCCATCCGGTCGTCTTAAAAGTCCGGGATGGTCGATGCATGCATGGCCCAATTCCGGGTCCCTCCCGCCGGCCGTTCAATAGTCGAAAGTCCGTCAAAGTCACTCAACACTGTACTGCGCAGACAGTATGACATTCACGTACAAACGTACGACATCCATTCCAAACATTCCGTCTCACGTGCCTTTCGCCAAGACGAGTCCCAGTGCCATCGAAACGGGCTGCGGTAAAGAAGTGTGGACCTCATTCTCTCGCCCCTCGACTCTTTTGCTGGGCTTGTTGGTCTTCCGAAGCGTCTGGAACTGCCAAAGGCCGTAAGATGGGGGGCACACAGGCTTCCCACAGATTGCGACTCCGTAATTACTCCGTCTTCCGTGCAAACGGTCAAGGTTGCTTTTCTCGTATTCTCAGCAAAGACCACCGGAAGGATCGCGGGTCTTATTCAAGACGTCCTATTTCGGGCAACAAAAACACATTCTTGGGCAAATGACGCCGTTGGATGGAACGCCGATATGGTATAGTTGTGCGCGTGGATGTGGACGTGGATATGGACGAGTATATATGTGCATGTCGCACCGATACTCCCAGCGCTCGTACTAGACTGGCGGGCTGCAGCTGGGATATTACCGTCGCGTCCAGAAGCAGGTATTCTTCTTCATGCTTGCTGTCGTATCGAGAGAACTGGGAAGGCGATGCAGTGTCGATCGGGCATCGCACCCATTTTTCATCGCCCAAACTTTGATGTACATACATGTACGTCGCATTGTAGCACTGCCAGGGAGCACAAGGACACGCTCAGACTGTGTAAAGTGGCACATTTCATGCCAGGGGCAGAGGGGGGCACCGAAAACAACACGTCTCCCTCGCATCACTCTCAACTCCAGATCGGGCCAGCAGGTCATAACCCGCTGGCCGTCCCATCTTTGTTTGTGCCTCTGTGCCACGAAACAAAATGCACGAATCGATGTACTGATGATCGCTTTTTGTTTGCATTTGAGCAATCCGAACCAAACCTGTTGCACGCCTTGGCAGCCCGTTGGCACATAGAAAGGACAAACAGAACATAAAAAATGAACAATGCAAGCAGCACAAGAAAGAAGGGACAGGGCAGGCGACTCAAAGCGGCCTTAATGCTTGTGAAAGGGAGCATCGAGATCAAAGAACTGTGCAAAGTGAGAGGCTAAAATTGCCGAAAGAGGCATACAAAGCAAGTTAAAGCATCCAGGAGATAAGAGGGGGGGGGGAAGACAAAAACAACGCATCGACTGTCGATACTTTGGTCGGCGAGTCCATGGCTTCGTTTCGAGTTGTTCTTAGCCACTTTGTTCCCTCGTATGACCTCATCCAAGGATGCTGTGCCTGCATGTGTCTTCCCTTTGTTTCTTGGAAAGTTGTGTTTCGTTTTCGGCCAGGGGACAAGGAGACGCGGGCAGGGGACGAAACCCAAAAGTGAACGCGAGCTCGACTTGGCAGAGTGAAGAGGAAAAGGGGGGGGGGTGGTGTTAGGCTTGAGCGCGGCCTGGGCTTCAGCACACATTTAATCGTTTGGGACACAAGAGGCTGTGCTGCCGTTCCCCCGGCGAACGACGCCGGCAGGACGGTGCCTCGGATGCAGAGTTGGCACTGTCTGCAAGTTTTTCCTCTTCGTCGAGCATGGCCATACTCACTCGTCCCCTCAGCGAGATGATCTGCTGTCTCGATTCATCTGCCCACGCGTTCTTCTGCTCCTCTCCCTAGATGCCGAGCATCGCAAGCTGGAGACCATTATGGTTGTCGAGCCTGATTCTCGAAACGCACGACAAAGACCGGCCTCATGATTGACGGGAAGACAGAGTGAGAGAGTCAACGGGACACCAACAACCAACGAATGACAAGGACACAAGGACTCACCAACGAGAAAACGACTTTGCCTAAAAACAGGGCCTGCCCGCTATTCATCTCGGATCGCCGCTGGTGTTTCCCGTTTTCTCTTTTTTGGGTGCCAACTGTGCCTGTCTCGCTGCTGATCTCTGTGCGCAGGGACCCAGACGATCCACTTCTTGGCCTGCCTGGCCGTGCAACAAAAGACTGTGTCGTTACTCAGTACGAATAATACCGTGTACGGTGCGCGTTTCGTTTCCGCGGAGGAGGTACGGAGTAAATGGGATTCCAAAGCGAAAGCGAGCGAAAGCCGCGCGGTCTGCCTCAATTAATTTCTTTGCCTCTTCAAGGTGCATCGCGGTCCATTTGGGACATTTGGGTGCCTCGAGGTGTGCTTGTCACTCTCATCATCCGCTGACTCGCCGTTATCAACGCTGTTTGTGCCTCTTTGTTGCCAACGTCCACCAGGGTTCTGTCTTCATTCTGTGTCGCCGTTCATCGTCAACTTCATCCAACCGCCAGGTCCTTTCTTTCATCTCGGCTGATTGTCTCTGATAAAGCGAATTCCGTGGTCGTCGCTTTGGCCCGCCGTATCGTCCGTGGCACAGGCTTCAGGCACAGCCGGCTGTGCTTGTGAGCACTGCAGCAGTGCAGGTATGAAGCCGAGAGGCAGATCTTTTGGCGCAGTGCCAGCGACAGCACGACGTTTGCCTCCCTGCGTTTTCATTCGCACCGTGCAGATGATCGACAGTGTCTTCCATCTCCCGCGCCTGATACCACGAAACCAGGCTTAGCCAGGCACCCTGGCAGCCTGGCTCGCTGTCACCGCCTGTGTCTCTGTTTCGCGCTATGCTGCTGTGCTGTGCTGTGAAATTACCGAGGAGCACACACCCTTTGGGTTGTTTTGATTCAACGCGCTCTCCCGCCAACATCCACCCTCCACCACAAGAAAAAGGGGGGATGTCATCCGTTCTTTCCCATTTCCTCGCTAGTGCTTTTCAGGTACCGGCCAATGACAACACTGGATCGGCGATTCTTCTCCACTTTGTTGTCCAATGAGCCCATACCCCTATGAATACTTCCGAACTCCACGTTCACGTTGAACGGGATGCCCCCTGGTGCAATCCTGTGATCCTGTGCCTGGTGGCTGTACAATAGCTCACAATTTGCATAAAACATCGCTTTTGTGCGCGTGCTGCTGGGTGCGTACCTGCGTTACGCCTGAATAGTGCAATATAGCGCCAGGTACCGCGTCCCCCCTCACCCAGTCGCTCCTTCCCTCTCAACGACAGTCGTATCGCTGGAAAGTGCTTTGCTGGCGGTATCCACAGTTGCAATTTCCCTTTTGTGCCTTGCTTTTCTCCTCACTGTCCCATCGCCCATGGCGCAAACACTCCCCTGTAAGATGCCTCGCAAATGTATCTCATACTCCGTGTAGGCACTGTCTTTGTCTCTTTTTTTCTTCCCTCAACGCGCCTCTTTATCGCCCTGCCAGTCAGGAATGAAGCCTGTGAACGGGCGACCCACACCGTAACAGCCCAGAGTCGCACCTTCCCCAGTAGTCCACACTTTATCCACAACCCAGAACTCGCCAAACTCTTTCCCTTCCCAGACGGTTCCTCAGCCAGAGCAGGAGCCAGCCAGCCAGCGTGCCTGGCCAGGTCCTGTCTGGCTCTTTCCCCCCTGGCCTGGCTGTGCGGTGCCTGCCCAGCCCTCCGCACCCCTACCAGCAAAATCTTTCTCACCCAATTTTCTTCGCAATCTCCTGTTTTCTCGCTCTTTCCTTTCACGCCCGCACACCCCTGCTCCCCACCCAACCATTCTTTCTCCTCCCTCTCCGTCCCCCATTCTCCTTTCCCTCTCACTCTCTCGTCTTTTCCCTCCCTTCCCCTTTTCCCTCATTCTTCCCATCGTCCCCTTCGAAAACCTTCACTCACCCACCAACACCGTCGCCATTTGTTTTCGGACAAGCCACTCGTTTAACCTCCATTTCGTCTCTCCTTTTTTCAATACGCTCTTTTTCTTTCTTCTCGTTCGGTTTCTGCTTTTCTCTTTCGGTCTTGTTTCGTTTTTCATCGAACCAGCCTACGATCCCGCGCTCGTCCCTGATTCTTGGATTTCTCCCGACACAAATCACAACGCGTCTGCTCATCCGCGGCACGTTCGTCGACGATCATCGAAACGAAACAACAGAAAATATCTCGAGGCGGATAACAGCAAATCGACTGGGCTCTTCAATGTCGACACTCCTGTGAAGGATAGCATCGACAGGAAACGGCCACGACGAAGCATCTCCGACAATTGAAAGGCTGTCTCCGACATCAGAAAGAGACAGCAACAAGAACACAATCCTTTTCCCCATAGATCTCGAAAGTCGACCGTGGCAGGACCAACGCATCGGCGCTCCCTCCCATCCGTTCGTATTCACCACCGGAATCGTGACAGGGACTCTCTTCTACGTTTGAAGAGTCGCCTCGCTATTTCGACACCTCCGACACTTTCGACACGCGTCACCTACAATCTCTCGGATTCTCTCAAAAAAACCTACCAAACTGTACCAACATGAAGTGCACTGCATTACTCGGCATCTCTGTCGCCGGCTTCGCGGCTTCGGCTGCTGCCGCCACGGCAACCAAGATGGGCGTCGAGCAGCCGTCGTCGCCCCCCATCTACATGCAGCCGGTCGTCCAGGGCTGCTTCTCGTCATCCGGTGACCTCGTTTTCAACTCATCCCAGCCTTTCAACTCGCGAGGCGCATGTGGCGGGACCGTCTGCCAGGCCATGGGCAAGGCCGTCGCCGCCTCCACCGAGGGCAGCAAGTGCTACTGTGGTGACAGCTACCCGCCCAACTCCACGCTCGTCGACGACAAGTACTGCAACGCGCCGTGCACAGGATTCGGCCAAGACGCCTGCGGCGGCACTGGCTACTGGACTGTCTACAACACCGGTCTCGAGCTGTACGGTGTTCCCTACGCAAACGACTCTTCCTCGTCGTCCTCGTCGTCGTCTTCGTCCGCCACGACTGCTTCGACGACCATGGTCGGCGGCCAGACCGTCTTCGTGACACAGACGAGCGAATCTGATAACAGCGGATCGAAGAAGTCGAGCACCAACACGGCAGGCATCGCTGCCGGAGCCGTTGTTGGCGTTGTTGCTGTGGCTGCTGCCGTGGGCGCCGGCTTCTTCATTATCCGCCGCCGCCGCAACCGCGCGATCGAGGAGGAGTACCGCCGCAACGCTGCTGTCAACGCCTTCTTCAGCGGCGGCAGCGGCAAGGCAGAGAGCACGACGGGCAGCCACAGTATCTCAGATTCCCGGCTAGACCCCGTCATGTCTCAGCGCCGCATGAGCGACGGCAGCATCGCCGACAACGAAGACTACTCCAGAAGGATTCTCCGAGTACGTGTAACCCTTGCGATGATGCCGTGACGGTTTAATATTTAATATGGTTCACAAGGAACACAGCTAACATAGCAACGCAGGTCACCAACGCTTGAGCCAGCCACTTGCCTGAGTCACGACGACGCACGAACTTGTGTTTGTTCTTTACTTCTCTGTCCTACCATCGGCATACTCGGCGTTTGGGTTTTTTTCGTTTCTCTCTCTCTATCCACCACACTTTCGACTACCGGTCACCCGACCCCCACGGGTTCTACGATGACTGGATTCGGCTTTCGACTTCTTTGAAAACCACGTCCACTACTACATCACTTTCCGAGGCAAATACATTTTGGCAGCCTCGTCCATTCCCTTGTCGCGATTTGATTTTATTTCCTGCTGCGTTATATACACACTCCTTATTGATACAAAGTCAAACTATTGTTATGGCTTCTTTTTTGTGGGCTGCCGATGGGTCGATGTGTTGATATACTTGTTTTCTGGCGGGCGTCTTTATTTCTCAATTGACCTGTTTCCTTTTTCGTCTTTTTCTCTCTCCTTTCCTATCTCTCCGTCTTTCTTCCGTATTCTTTTATATTCTTACTTTTGTTTCGAAATGTCGCCTTTCGAATCTTTTTTATTTACTGTTTTGGGTCCTCTTTTTCTCCGCCACCATTAAAGCCTTATGTTGGTGGGAAAAGACGAAAACACAACACAAAAGACAAATCAACCTCAAATACTACATCTTAAATTCCTTTTTAGCCTTGCCCGCCCAGTGGACAGTCGTGATTTCTGATGCTCGTCGCTGGATTGCCTACAATGTGGGTTTTAACTGACATTTTACATAGGAATTGAAACCTTAACGCCCACAGCATATTCACAAGCTACCTTATCATGTACGGCGACTCGATCCAAATGCCACTACCGGACGCATGTTTGCAGTTGCTCCACGACGTGCGTGCACTCACAATCATTTGTCTCCCTCGCACCCTCACGGCTCGTCCCGTTTGTGGTCAATCGTGCCTGTTTGCACGTTGTCATTCCAGTGCATCGTTTTTTTTTGTCCTATGCCATCCCCGATACGGCCTCGCCGTGGCCGAATCCATGTCCATTGTGTCGCTCTCTGTCTTCCTCCTTCACACGTCTCCAGAAAACGGGAAGTGAGGGACACACTCGATGGGCGCATCCAGCTTTGGGGTTTACAAGACGGCACCTGTCAGCCTGGACCACGATCACGATCACCACCATCACGATTTGACATCCTCGATCGCGCGACAGTGGCAGCGATACAGCACGGCCCAACTCTGTTTCCCCTGTGGCCTTTGGGTCAGGTCACCACAACAAAAACATGACTGCTAGTTCGACGACGCTACGCCGGGACGAATGCTGCCAACAGGCAACGACCAACGACAGCAACAACAAAGCTGGTTGTCAGCCAGTACCAGCAGCAGTATCCTCAATTCGTGTCATATCGTGTCCTTATCTGGGCGTAAAATCTGTCCCGTCTCCATGCTGCCACGCCTCTGGCGATGCGTCAATGGGCAATGAGCCCAACCGCCTGCCTGTCTCTGCTCGCGCTGTTGTTCCTCCAGCGGCGTGATGCACTGTATCATGTCACTACATAGATAGGGGCTCTGTCTCGATATGAGTAATACCTGTAGGGAAAAAGGCCGTGATGAGACAAGGAATTGCTCCCCTCCAGGAAGATAGATGCAGAGCTTCACGGCACAGCCTCGTTGTGACGAAAGTAAGGATGTGGAACAGTCTAAGCTATGCCATTTTTTTAAAAAAAAAAAAATGGTGTCTTATAATATCTCATTTTGGGCTATGATTACAGCGTGAGACATCTTGCAGAATTTAAACATCATCGAATCTCTTGGTTTATTTTATTTACCTATTGCCAAAGCTTATAAATTTATAAAAATAAAATCAAACTTATGGGTTTTCTGTCATTTTTTATATGCTATTTATTATTATTGTTATTTTTTATTCCCACCAAAAAAAATCCAGATTATGACTAAAACACCCTTTCCCCTTCAAAAGACATTGACCCTCTCTCAGGCATAGCAACATAGGCCTCGTGGGGATGGAGCAGGGGAAGAACAAGACACACATCGACATTGCGTTTTCTTTGGGTGAAGACCGAAGTCTTACTAGCCGGAGACAAAAAATGCCACGACAACCTGGTCGCAGCGGTATGCGTCAGGTTTTCCCGACAGTTTACAAGACATGAGCAAAAAAGGGTAGACCGCAGTCTTCCAGTCGTTTGGGATGACGCAAGGGACAAGGCAGGGACAAACAAGGGACACAAAAGGACGGGTAGAGGGATGCACCGGACTCTCGGCGGACTCGTAAACGGACCGGAAAATGAGACGACATGAAAAACGAGCTTGACAAGAGCAGCTGAGCAACTATTCGGCTGGTTTTCTTTTATCTTTTAATTTTTTTTTCGTTTTTCTTCTGTCTCCCTTGTATCTACTTCTTCTCGATTCCAGTGCCACCCGATGTTGCTTGTATCCCCAGGGCGAGTCGGCCTTCTAGACGCTCTAAAACCTGCGCACAAAACGTATGATATAAAAACCAAGGGCGGAGTGGGGGTAGAGAGAGGACACAACGGGGAAGCTACCCGAGAGGGTCAATACCTTAGTAGTGTACGATGGGAGGGCAGTCCCGGACGGGATGGTACGGGGCAGTGGAGGGCCAACGTGGGCAGTGGGCTTTCGGGTTGGCTGTTGCTGGCTCTTTGATGGAACGACGTAGACTAAGCATGGGTCGGTCTGGGACGAGTCGAATCGCCGATGCATCAGCGAAGAGGCATTTTGGACAATCTGCAAAGCGATAAAGGCCGAGAAAAGCCCAGACGAAGAGCCTGGCGAAAACGAAAAAGCGAGGGCTGTTCGGCGTGGAGGACTCGTTTGCCTGTCAGCACGGACAACGGACAACGTACAACGGAAAGAAACGGGCCCGACATGACATGGACCACTGCAAATGCCTCGTCAGACTAGACTGCAACTGGTGAGACACCGTCGACATGCATATTTTTGCTTTTGTTGCTCGATTTATGTTTAGTTTTGTTTCCCTTTTTGAAATCTTTTCCCGTCTCTCCCCCCTCCCACATGATCGCCTCGGTGTGAACCAGACCCCATGTTCATGGCCTGCAGATCGCGTTTGCACTTATGCAAGGTAGGTGCATACTGGCGAAGAAAAATCGACAAAGGACAAGAGTGAAAAGGCGAAACAACAAGAACAAGAAACGGCCCTGCAGTCCTGCAGGTCGTGCATGCAAGGCTTTGCATGTATCCAATGAAAGGCGAAGCGGTGAGATACCGGAAAGGACTAGCGACATTGTCGCTCTTCCTTTTGACTCTCTTCTTTTCCGCTTTGGTTGGGGCAAGACAGCAAAGACAGGCATTCTGTCACTTCTGACAACTGGTCCTCGAGGAGCTCATCGCTTTTTTTATATCTTTTTTCTCTCAATGTCGTACGCCGTACGGAGTACTCATTCATTCTGCATACATGAGAAACAAGTACTTTGCAATTCCATTTTCTTGGGTCTTGGGTTCGTTAGGGATGCGCTCTCGTGCCATTTCCTATTGGACAGTAACGGACGAGCAAGGGTCCCCCCATTTTGCCGGAAGACCACCCTGGTATGCCGGCAAGCATATTGAAAGAACAAGAACGGCGGAGGCAGAAAGAAAAAAAAATAACAAAAAAACAAACAAAAAAACACGGCCGACAATTCCCTCTCGTCAAGGTAGGATGCAGCTGTAGCTGCAGATTCTGAAGCACGCCATGAAAGCACTCCAAGGCGCGGAATGGGAACAGAACCAGGAGGGGATGTGCAGGATTGGAGGAACGAGGTGTGTGACGACGCTGGAAAGTTACGATGCAAGGGGGAGGGGGAAAGGGAAAACAAATACGAGTCGTCATCAACAAAATGAGCAGTCAACAGTCCGCGTAATCGGATAAACGAACAGCTTTCGAATTTGTACCACGTATACACGACAGAATTCACTTTTTGCGACAGAGACTCGAGCCCATGCTCTGGCAGAAAACCGAAGCCAGTGATTTGCTATGTGAGGCTTCTTTGCATGGGGCATAAACAAGCGAGAGCTCTGGAGGGGACGCACAGTATCACATTCCACAACAGGAATAACACGACAGGGACAACAAAAGCCCGCGCGAGCAGTGGAAAAGGAACAAAATAAATTAAAGAGGGAGGGAAAACACCACGTGTGGACTGTGTGCCTCTTTGGTAATCACGGCGGTCGCATGGCTGGTGGACAAGCTGCAAGAATGCACATGTCTAACTTTCCAAGCATATATACAACACTATCTCGACGTTGTACCAAGTACACCGTAACGACTTTGGCTCGCCATCCGTCTTTCTTTGTTTCTCCCCTTGTCTTAGCTCACCACTTGGACCTGTTAGGCCCCCAAGATGTGCCGAGTTTAGGCGGCAAAAGGCGCCAGTGTTGCCAACCGCCCAAGACCGTGTGACACATCTTTTCCTGTTCGCCAGAGCAGGATGCGTACCGGTTCGGGGGCACATAATTTTTGTTTTAACGAGAGCACAGGCCAGGCCAAGAGCATGTTGCCGTCGACGATCGACAGCCTCGGGATTGCGTAGAAGGTGGGCATGGCATATCTTTGACTCTCTTTTTGGCCTTTTCGGTATCTGTTTCGGATTGTGTGTTTTGCGTCCCTCTTTTTTCTTTGTCGTCCAATATCTTGCTGGGCGTTGCCCTGGAGCTCGGTTTGAGATATTTGGAATGACGACCCCTAAGCTTGAAAGGCGAGCGACACTGTCGACGTGAAAAAAGAGGGGCCTGCCACGTCGTAGCTTCCTCACAGCAGGCCGGATTTACTTAAGGGGACAACCGGACACTGGACTTGCCCGATTAGGCGACAAACTTTCCTCCAACAGACTGCCTTCCAAGGGAGAAAAGGCAAGAGGCCGGGGCCAACACGGCGCCAAAACCCAAACGACGGGGAAGGAGCCAAATCGATCGACTGGCTACATCGCCTCAAGGAAAGAGCAGGCCGGGTTC